CTAAGTTTTAATAGAATTAAGTCCTATCTACGTACTAAGACGAGCGACGCCGGGCGGGGTTTTAATAGAATTAAGTTACTTCCTTCGTCGGATTATAGTTAGGCTAACTATAGGTCCTCTTACGCGAGGGTAACTTATAGCTACTGTTTCGGGTCGGGCGCGATCCTAGTGTAAGTTTTATACTGCTTATATTCCTCCGAGCTCTTACGAACCCGGGCTTATAACTAGTCGAAAAGTGTCGCCTAGTAATCGGAAGCTAGAGCTATAGGGGGAATAGTTATTAAGGGGTAGAACTAATACGTGTGTTATAATTAAGTTTTTATAACTACTGTTATAGTATAGGAGTCTTTATATTATAGCTTCTCCGTATTACCTGACTTTCTCTTACTATATCTGTCACCCTAACTGCTATATTATAATATACGCGATATATACGATTATACCTTTTATAATTCGAATATTTACGTATACTAACTCTACCGATACTCTCTTTAATTTCGTAAGCGGTTTATAGACGATATCGAGTACTATTAGCCTTAGGTAGGACGAAAAGAAACTATAATAGCCGAAATAAACCTTAGAAGGTAATAGTAGCTAATTATATATATTAGCGTTAGGACGACGCTAGTATAGGAGGAGGATAGTATTACGATCCTAGCTAACAATAGGGTCTCTCTAACTACTCTATTATTCTCTTACCTCTTAGTAAGGTAACTATAGAGTAAAACGCTCTATTCGAGCCGCTCTACTTTATACGCTTTATATAGAGTATCCTCGCCGATTATAGAGTATATAGAGTATAGTATATTTATACTTATTATATAACGAATCTATAAGTAGGTAGGTCTTTACTAGAAAGATCTATATTTAACTTAATTAGTTAATCTAATAGTCCCTTTAGTTTATACTATTACTTACTACTTACTTTACTACGCTTAATACTCCGCTTTACGAGTCTAACCCCGTAATATACTATCTTACCTAAGAGAGTTTAGTACTTAACATTAATATAGAGAGTATTATATTTAATAAAACGCGCGACGCGTATATTAACTGTCCGCGTGCACGGACTGTCTAAGACTCCTAGGTTAGCCGCGGCCTCTACGTTGCCCTTTAAGGTTATTATGCGCTTATATACGTACCACCTAGCATTTCCTATCGAGAATCTCGAGTAGCTGTCGGCAACGTGGCTAGCGAAATCCTGCTCGTTCAAACTTGCAGTTGACGCATTTCCGGCCGATCTGACTCACAGTTGGTGGCGTTTAACGAGCGTCGCCTCACCCTCGTCATTCTGGTGACGCACCGCAGGCGCTGCAGTTACTTTCTGCCTCTTGACAGTCGGGAATTTAGTTCCTCCACCACACCAATCGACGGACCTCCACCCACTAAACGCACACCACACTCCTCGCTCACTGCGCGCGCCGGTAAGCTTCGTAATTGAATCGCAATCATGGCTGACGGACAAGGACTTGACGACATCGATGCTGGTAAGTATATACATTTTGCAGATTTTTTGCACGTTGTTGACAAGTTCCTAGCTGACATCGAGTCCAACTACGATGAAACCACCGACTCCTTCGATGCTATGAACCTTAAGACCGACCTTCTGCGTGGAATCTACGCGTATGGTTTCGAGCGTCTGTCTGCTTTCCAGCAGCATGCTATCATGCCAGCCATCAAGGGTGAGTACAAGTCGCAATAACATGCCAGACTCATGCTCACGATGTCGAAAGGCAAGGACGTTGTTGCGCAGGCGCGGTCTGGTTCCGGGACGACTGCTGCCGTCTCTATCTCCGTCCTTCAAAAGATCGACCCCAATGTTAAGGCATGCCAGGTCTTAATCCTTGCCCCAACCCGTGAGCGTGCACATCAGATTCAGAAGGTCATTGCTACTATCGGTGCCTTTACAAATATTGAATGCTACGCTTGCATTGGTGGTACTCGCATAGGGGATGATACAAAGGCTCTTCGAGATGGGCGACAGTCAGTAGTCGTTGGCACCCCTGGCCGTGTCCATGACATGATTCACCGCCGTGCTCTCGGTACCGACAAGACAAAGATGATCGTGCTCGACGAGGCCGATACCATATTATCCCGCGGTTTTGCTGAGCAAGTACACGACATCTTCGGGATACTTTGTCAGAGCACGACCACTCAGGTCGTTCTCTTCTCCGCTACCATGCCTCAGGACGTGCTAGAGGTCATCACTGAGTTCATGCGTAATCCAGTCCGCATCACAATTGAGAAGTACGAGACTTGCCTTAAAGGTATCAGACAGTTCTACGTTACCGTCGAAAACGAACAAGAAGACTGGAAGGTCGACAGCCTCTCCGATCTTCACAAGACCATCACCAACAGACAGGCGGTGATTTTCTGCAACACTCGTGGGAAGGTCGAATGGCTTACCGATAAGCTTACTGCCCGCAACTTTGCTGTCTCGGCTATACACCGTGACATGGACGCGCCCCAGCGTGATAACAGTATGAGGCAATTCTTTTCAGGCTCTCACGTCCTGGTCGCTACCAACATGCTCGCCAATACGATCGACGTCCAGCAGGTCCCTCTTGTTATCAACTATGATCTCCCAGCCAACCCAGAGGACTACATTCGCCGTGTCGGACGTGGCGGTGGCGGTCGACTCGGACGTAAGGGTGTCGCCATCAACTTCGTGGCCGCTGGAGAACTGCGCACGATGCATGAAATTGAGCAGTTCTACTGCACCCAAATAGAGAAGATGCCGACAAACGCTGCTGGTGAGTAATTTTTCTGCGTTCTATGATGTCGCAGTCACTAATTCGCTTCTCAGACCTCTTCTAAGCGTACAAGCGCCCTTGTCTTGCCACTGCCTTCCGTTCGACTGAGTCAGAAAATTTCAGCTTGGAATGGACTCGTCGGACCACGAGGCACCACTGACTTTAATTTCTATTTACATCCAGCACCCGAGCGCACGCCACACGACACTACAGTACGCTGAGCGTAGATGATGATGGATACGCATGTGCAAGGCAAAGTCTTCGTTGATGCGTTGAGACTCACTAGGAGGACCATTCTGCTTGCTAGTTTGCGACACTGGTTGAAGCTTTTATGCTCTGCTGTCAAATCGGTATCTATATCGTCCAATCGTTCCCAAACTCCTGCGCTTTCGACAATGTCCTGATACATCTTCGAATGCCTCGCCTGTCTCGTTCGAAGCAAGTAATGATCATTAAGAGGCGTGGTATTCTGTCAAGGTAATATCTCCCAAGCCAACCCACTATGCAACATTGCCATGAGCTTCGTTTTAGTTGTGAGGACCAGGAACAACTCTCCCTCCCTCCCCCCCCTCACCATTCCATGTGCCCAACAATCAAACCAAGTAGCAGAAAGTGCAAAATCAGCCTTCTTCCCAATCGACTTATGGCCACTTCTAATCCTTCCACACCGTCACGGCATCATCTTCACCAAACAGCCATGATTATTTGAAGCGGTCACCCAGCCCCTGCATTGGATCTTCCGGCAAAGCCATGGCCCCCTGTACAGGACAATTAATGCTTGGGTCGCTGGCGCCGTAATTTTGGTAGTCCTCGGAGTTGAGGTAACTGCGGGATGGTCACTGCGCCTGACGGCTTTCGAGCAAGACCGTAACGCCATCATCTCCCCTAGGTAAGTGTCTCGAACCCCATCTAAAAAGTGTCCACTAGAATCCCTGTCTTGTTGCTTGTTTCTTTACCATGGTAGCACTTTTTAACGAGAGGTACAGATCTCTTCGACCCTTTCCTAAGCATAGCAGGGCAATCCATTGAAATGAGTGTGCGTCTGGGTGTTCGATAAACAAACACTTTCACGAACAAACGCTTGTTTGGACCATGATAAACAAACAAACAGGCGATTTGAAGGACCCACAGTTATGGTAAACAAACAAGCCAGTTAGTCTGCTTGTTTGTTTGTTTGTGAGCTCGTAAGATAGGTATATTCATCGAAAGATTGGTGTACTATACTACTTTTCTCGACCCTAACCCTGCCCCTAAGCGCGCGGGGCCCCGAGGACTACCTAATTTGAAGACCTTCGAGCTCCGCAAAAGTCCTTCGACGCGAGAATACGTCATACCTCACAAAACACCCCCTTTTTCTACGCCAAGACTTGCTATACTATCGACATTTACGTCATTATGTAAACACGCAAACAAGCATTGCTTGCGAGATTACTTCACGAACGAACAAACACCGGCCTCTGATTGGCCCAAACAAACGAACAAATGGTCACAAATATGTTTGTTTGTTTATCGGACACCCTTTTAGCGTCCTTTCGACCATGTCGCTGGCATCCGACGTGTACTCGCACTTCAACGACGCTACGGGTGCCCAAATCGGGACCACTAACTTTGACGTCGGCAACGATGGTTGTTTCTCTGTTGCAAATGCGGAGCAGGTCAGCTTCACCCAAAGCGGTCCTGGCAGTACCGCTAATGGACCGTACTGCCTAACGGGGTTCTCCAATGCAGGCTGCTCAGGCTCAAGTGCTACCCAGGAGTTCTCGAACGTCGAACTGGACGACGGCAAGGGTTACGCACTGAACGCCGGTCTCGCGGACATTGGATCGTACATGTGGGCCACAAAATCCTGCTAAGAGTCTTCAAAACAAGCTTAGCAGTAGCGGAACATAGGACGAAGTGTTATGGCTAAGGCAAATTTATTTGTGTTGTGTGTGGAAGGGGGGCAATCCCGAGCGGCGAGCCTTACGCGCATTAACGATTGTGTAGCTTAAAATTACGCTAGTCTTAGGTTCACAATGGTATACGTGTTAGTTAGTGTAAAATGTGTCTTATAAGAAAATTTCCAAAACACGACATCGAACGAAAGCTGCCCTTCGAGATCGTATACCCGATACTGGCTGTTGATAAGACCTGAGCTGGCCAATCGTCCATGTTACAAGAGGTGGGAATATGGTCAGGGGCGTTTGGGAGATCGTCAACGCCTCGGCTGGAGACATTGCTCGGTGACTCATTCCGACTGACCTATCATCATCCGGAATGATACAAATTGGCACGATCGGTATATGGGTGCTGTAGACGACGGAAGTATTGAAGAAGTCAAGAGTTTAGACATCCTGTGTCAAGAAGTGGTGTTCATTTGTCTTAAGTCACTTGTTCGCTCTTCTGCTCTCTTCGCTTGCTTCTGCTGTGGCCATGACCTGTGAAGAGTTGTGATCGGGCAAAGCGTAGGCAGCTAATCCACAGTGCTGAAAAGCAACGTATCGAGTTGAAGCCATAGTTCGGGATCCATTGGAAAGTTCATGTTCAGCTCCTCCCATGGTCGAGTCTCTAGCGAGACACTGTCTGTGACTGTAAGCCGTGTAATTTCATCTTCCTGCCTTACAAGCATACAGGATAGCTCTTGCTGCAATTCTTCAAGAATGATACTGTACCGGAGACTGGGCGCATTGGTGTTCGTTGCTCTAGCCAGATGAGCTTGAACCGACTTTGCCAGCTCGAACAGCTGCATCTCGTCGTGTTGAGTGGCAATAACAGAGAGCCGGCCTTGTTTGCGCTGCATGATCCAAACGTAAACGATTGTCAGAGCGTTGAATGTGACGTACTGAGTATTCCAGAACGCCGGTATCAGGTTGTTGTCTACAGCGAGGTCCAGAACAAGGTCGAGAACAAACTTCGCAGCAGATAAGCATTTCTCAATGTGTGGCTGCATCATGCCTGGCTCTGTAAGTTGCCCGGAAAGCAGGGGTCTAGTGATTATCATGACTGCATGCGCACATCCTATCTGCAACACTGTGAGCTGTCTGCGAAAGATAGGTATCAGACTCGAAGGATGGATGCCCCCTGAGAGGAACAGGGGTAGCTGACTCCTCCACTGCTCAATCTCGACTCCCAGACGTTGTGCCGTCGCAATCATGTGCTGATCTCGAGCAGGGTGAAGTAGAGCCTGCTCCTTGAGGGCCTCTTTGACGATGCGAGTTAGCTTCGCATGCATCACCGGAGCTGCCTGTACGCAGTCCTTGGGAATAGAACGGACTGTGACTTCAGTCAAGAGAATATCATTATCGTCGACTATCTCCGGGAGACGTTGATCGACATATGCGTCGTTGATGTATGGCGGTCGTCCTAACATGACGCTGAGGTACGTATCGAGCATATGGACTGCCCAAAAACAGCGCCTCTGGCATTCTCGAAGGATCCTAGTCATTCCCGCCGCGCCTGGAGCCTTTGCACGATGGATACCTATGGAAAGAGCAAGCTGATAAGTGCTTCCCAGGGTGTGCCATGCTTGATTCAATCGCGAAGTGTTGAGTTGATAAAGAGATGTCGCCAATCGTGCCTGAACAGACTCCAAACGTGGCCGGCCAGTCTCACCTCCTATGCTCTGCTGCGCTGCTTCGTAAAGCGCTTCGCCCAATTGTAAATGACTGTGATTGCCATCAACCCTTCCAAAGTCGTTGGTCGGGCTGCGGGAGCCTGTCTCATCCCCGCTCTCGACATTATACAGACACGCAGTCGCGAGAACCATGAGAACTATCGCTTGACGAACAGGGCGTAGCGCCTCCCCTTGAATGACCGCGGCTGTCCCCTCCTGGTCCGATCCTTGTTGCTGATGGAATTCAGAGAGCCATGACTCGAGTGTAGGACGATGCAAGAAGCGGTACGTGGGAGCAGCGAAGTCGAAATATCTCGAGACCAAGGGAGTTGTCACACCGCGGTCGGGAAGTCGAGATCTCGGCGGTAAATCCAGAGCTGGAGATCTCCTGTCGCCATAGGCGAATATCGAGATTTCCTCCCTGGAGTCATGATTCGAATCTGGGGGCTCTGTCATACCGAATCGACGCCAAGCTTTCCTTAGGAACTAATCACGTAGTGTCAGTCTTGGGCCAGGAGAATCAGCGATGGTCATAGTTAGAACCGTAGTACGTTCGCACATTGGGCTGTCTCAAAGCACAATATTTTCTGGAGTTGCAGCGACATCACCGAGATTTGCCATTCATCAACTCTCTGTGCCAGTATTTTTGTATGCGACATGTCACTGTGCCTTGCTGCAGCATCTAGTTGCTTTGTTTGGATGCTTGGGCGACAAGAAGAGGGTGAAAGGAGGGCATACTTACTGAGAAAGTACTAGTCGGTCCTTGATAGCCAGCAGGCGTGATCCCCTCTCCATTTGGCGAGGCAGCTCGAGAGGTCTCATTGGTGTTGGGCGCGTACCCAGCTAGAGGTCTTCGTGCCGACACACTCTCAGCTGACCATTGAGATTGCGCACTTGGATCAAGGCAGGGATATGAGGCACCAAGAAGAAAGTTGCTGGAATGAGGTAATTCTTGTTGTCTGCCATGAGGGGACACGAAGGTACAGATCAATCCTTGCGAAACACAGAGTGGGCAGGGTTGCTCTCCTGAGCATTTTCTCTTGCGGGATTTGCAGTTGTCGCACGCGCGTTGAACTTTTCGTCGCTTCGCACTTGCAGCCGCATCTGGGGCTGTCGCGGAGCTTTCGCGACGGCGCCGCATCGTACTGTCGCGTGAGTCGTTGCAGAGTGTCGTAGGGGTCAAAGCCATAGTGGAACAGAACGCGGAAGATGCAAAACTCGAGCGGGGGATTGCTTGACTAATGTTGAGGGTGCGAGCTTGGACCACAAGACACGCTCGGGAGAAAGCCGCCTGGGGTTCCGCAGCCCCCGTAGTGGCGGGACAGGGCGGAGGAGCTTGACAGGTCCACTGAATCCTTATCCTTCCGCGAGCGATGATAATTCTGTTTTGGTGACGTGAGTTTGTTTTTGTCGGAGAACAGTCAATTAATAAGTAGCCAATCCCAGAAGGTATTGTTGTTTATATCACCAACCCTCCTGAAAGCTTCCACAAATGTTGCAAGAGCACTTCACCCTCAATACCGGCGCGAAGATCCCCGCCGTGGGTTTCGGAACCTGGCAGGCTGCCCCCAGCGAAGTCGAAAAAGCCGTAGAAGAGGCACTGAAGCAAGGCTACCGCCACATCGACTGCGCTGCAATCTATCGTAACGAGAATGAAGTCGGAGCTGGGATCAAGAAGTCAGGGGTCGAGCGCAAAGACATCTTCATCACCGGAAAGCTATGGAACACAAAACACAGAGCGGAAGATATCGAATCTGCACTCGATAAGACCCTTAAGGACCTGGGTACAGAGTACGTCGACCTTTACCTTATGCATTGGCCGGTCGCGTTTGCACCTGGAGACAAGTTCTTCCCTCTCGACGAGCACGGTGTCTTCAGGCTCGACAACATCGACCCTGCAGAAACATACAAGGGCATGGAGAAGCTGCTTCAAACGGGCAAAGTCAAGGCCATTGGCGTCTCAAACTTCACAATCGAGAAGCTTCAGGACCTTTTAAGCAAGACATCAGTCGTCCCTGCTGCAAATCAGATTGAAGCCCATCCCTACCTCCAGCAGCCCGAACTGCTCAAATTTTGTCAAGACAAAGGCATCCTAGTCGAAGCCTACTCGCCCCTTGGCAACAACCAGACTGGTGAACCACGCACGGTAGATGATGCCCAAGTACATGAGGTTGGAAAAGAGCTTGGAATGGACCCAGGCGTTGTACTTGTCAGTTGGGGTGTGCAAAGAGGCACAGTCGTGTTGCCAAAGAGCGTCACCCCACACAGGATTGCGTCGAACCTCAAGGTCAAAGAACTGCCGGTTGGAGCATTTGAAAAGCTTGACGCCCTTGAGAGACACAAGCGCTTCAATTTCCCAGCCCGTTGGGGCTACGATATTTTCGGAGAGAAGGGCGGCGAAGCGGTCAAAAAAATTGCACTGGAAGCTGGAGAGGAAAACAAGACAAAATTCGTGGTCTAGATAAATGCTTGAGACGTGTAGAAAACATCAAGACGATCCTGTTCAATGATCAACACCTTATTCAGGGTAGCTATGGGACTGTTGCAGTCAACGGTCTCCGAGCGACGGTGAATATCCAATTGCCAATGGTTTGATTGCCATATCGACTACTGGGTGAGGCGTATTGCGAAGGGGCACTTCCATCTAGAAAGTAGTCTTGTCATGCCCTGTTTCATCCTGCTGTCCAGATACCCTATATTCGAAAGTCATACGATCAAGCTCTTTGACAATCTCTAAGGAAAGCGCGTTGTACCTGGGTCTGGACATTGGGCGACTGTCCAATTGAGTCTTTGCTCTTCCATCAGCACCGACTTGTCACTTTGCTTTGGTGCAAGTACTTCATCCTGAAAATGACATTGGCCAGTACAAGGAGTAAAAGGGATTAAGAGAGATTTGTATAAAAATTGACACAAACTGTCCCCTGACGTCCCGACGATTCTTCCTAGCACTCTTATACACGCAATGACACTAATTTACAGCTTGTACTTGAACAAAGGCGACTTATCTCCCATCTTTTGCAACTCCTCATCGGTATAATTCTCTCTGGTCTCAGCCTCGTCCAAGGCATCTCTCTTCTTGTTGAGGCGCATGTAGGAGAGTTCGAGAACCACTGTACTGAGCAGAGTGAAGGCTGCGAAACCAAGACCGATACCGAAACCAGTAGGGTAGCCTGGCTTCTCTTTGTCAAGGAACTGCGAAGGCGTGTCAATAAGCTAACGGTGGGGGATAAATTCGGAGCGGTGAGAGTACTTACGATGTATGATCCAACGATGCCGCCACAGTTTCCAAGAGCAATGTTGAGGGCAATGCCCATAGCTCTCTTCGATTCTCCGGCAAGGTTGGACGAGATCCAAGCAGAACCGGCAGGGTTAGTTGGGTATTGACCGATGCAAACAAGTACCACGCCAATGTAGCAAGCAGGGATCTGGTGCTTGATGTTGGGCGCAAGCGCGAGTAGAATGGCAAAGCCAAGAGTCACAACAGCCATCTGACCAAAGATAAATGGGGCGCGCCACTGGAAGCGGTCCGACAACTTGGAAAGTGCGACTGCTGAAACAGCTCCTGCGACGTAAGGTGGGATGGTCATGAGCTGTGCTTGCGAAGAGGTATAACCCATAGACTTGGTAATTGAAGGCATGGTGAATTTGAGACCGTACGCGCATACGGAAGCGGTAAAGAGAATCCAGGCTTGCAGGTAGACCTTGTAGTCTGTGAGAAGGTCTCTCAAATAGCCCCACTTGAACTTGTCGGCTTTCTCGCCATCATCAGAGGTGCCGCGGCCGGCATTCTTGATGATGTTCTGGAGAACAAGGTAGCGACGCTCGTTCTCGTTGAGCCATCTACCAGAGAGACTTGGTGTATCTGGCATCACGAAAAAGCAAGCAACACCGACAATGACAGTGACAATACCTCTATTGATCGGTTGTCAGCGCTCATCGTTCGAAGATCGTTTGAGGGGATGCAAGGTAGATCGCTGCTTGCGAGACTTACTCGAGAAGGAAGATCCACGCCCATCCGGGTCTACCACCAAGTCCGTCCATCTTCGAGATGGCGAACGCTAGGAGTCCCGAACATGCACCAGAAAGGGCCGAAGCACAGTAGAATAGTGCAAGTCGCGTTTGTACTTGTCTTTGAGCATACCAATGTGTGATCAGATATACGGCACCAGGGAAGAAGCCGGCTTCTGCAACACCGAGTAGAACTCTGCAAACCATCAGACCGGCGAAGTTCTTGACGAGACCGGTGAGAGTCATGATGGTTCCCCAACTGACAACGAGCATGCCAATGTAGTGAGATGGTCGCTTGAACTTCTTGAGCAGTACGTTGGAGGGAACCTCGAGAAGAATGTAGGGGATGAAGAAGATGGAGAGGCTGTAATTGTTATAAGCTTATGTATCATGTTCCGGAGCGGTGCACTTACACAATATTGTATTGGATGCCAGACATGCCGAGATCCTCCATCATACCTTCAATCTTCGCGTTACCGATGTTGGCTCTGTCAATATGGGAGAAGAGGTAGAGTACGGCGAGGACAGGTACGAGTCTCAAATCGACCTTCCTGATCATGGCCTTTTTCTGATCCTCTGGAAAGGTCTCGAAGAATTCGGCTTCCTCGTGAGTGAGACCCATGCCAGCATACTTGTTGTACTCATAGACGTCGACATGTTCGACGTCTTTGGCAATCGAGCTTGAGGATCCTCCACCGTGCTTCAAGTCCAAGTTGTTGAGTGTTGTAGAGGGAGGCATGGTTGTCTGACAATGTGATGGCGCAGACTTAGATTGGAAGATTTGGTCGGTGAGAATATTGGGCATCGTATTGGTGTCTGCAGTCGCTCAGATATAGATGATCACCAGAAGCGCCATGGCCTGGTTCCCGGCCGTTTAGATTGACCGAGTGTCGTGCTGAGCCAACCCACATGGGCTCCCCGCAATGAGTGTGAGATCCGGAGGCATTGCTGTGGAGTCGAGATCGCGTTCCGCGCCAATAGGGAATGCGTACCGAGAAACAGTGATCGTACGTGCACGTTCTTTTCCAAGACGCCAACGTATGTCACGCCCGGAGCTGTTTTGAGACATGGTAATTACATGCTGAAGAAGTAACCATGAGACTACCGCTTTCCGTCCAGCTCTCTCTGCGGGGTTGCTTGGCGTAAAGTAAGACTGTGCTTGGAATCAGCACACTATGGTTTGTCTCAGCATAAGAGCGAACAGCGGAAGTGACAAACTTCGCCGACATAGGCGCTCGGATGACTGGGATTGTGCTGTTTTGCTCCTTCCGCGCAAGGTCCGCGAGCAAGGCCCTAACAAGGGCGCTAGCGGAACCATTGCTGATGGCGCTATGTACCCCGCTTGTGTCTTCCGCTAGATCCTCATAATTGAATTGTGGTTTGAGACCGGAGACTTGTTGTGGTCATGCCGAACAGTAGAAAATTTGTCGCTATATATGGCGTTGCATACTTTCCAGACTGATCTGAGCCAATTATCTATCCCACTGATTTCGTTATGACCGACGTAATTCCTATCTCGAGCAGGTCTGTCGCGCTGAACAGCAAGCGTTCAAACGTCAGAGTGACAGAGGTTCGCAAACAGCATGCTGACGGGAACCAATTCGAGATACCCTCAACTGTCGACGAGCTCATCAGATTAAGAGCTACTCAGCAGGGCAAAGATGTCCCAATCATTGCCTACCCCGAGCAAGGCACGGCTTACATCAATTATACCCCTTTTGAGCTTGATCAACTCGTCCAAAAGGCCGCGTCACTCTATGCCTCCGCAATCCCACAGAGAACTACATCGGATGATCCTGTGCAGGTCATTGGACTTTTGGGACCTTCAGACATCAGCTATCTGGTAGCCTTCCTAGCCATCTCTCGCTTAGGACACTCGGTATTGTTGCTTTCGACGAGAATCACCGACGAGGCTCATGAGTCTCTTCTTCGGACAACCAAAGCTACAGCACTTCTGTACAACGAAGCCTTCGGAACCACCGCGTCAACGCAAGCAGCACAGAATACCTATCTCCGCACCATCAAGATCTGTGACGTCAAGCTGCTGCCGGCGACTGGCAACCTCAAACCTGCGAAATTGGATATGACTAGAGAAAGCCTGAACATATCCTTCATCATACACTCCAGTGGCTCAACAGGCCTGCCGAAGCCCATCTTCCAGACACACAAGGCTTCATTATACGCGTATTCGCAACACTTTAACAGAGTTGGTCACATCACCCTGCCGCTCTACCACAATCATGGCATTTGCTGTCTTTTCCGAGCCATCTGGGCTGGCAAGAAGATCTACATATACAACGCCGACCTACCCCTCACATCCCAGCATCTACTTGCAACCCTCAGGGAGCACCTCGAAATCAAGATACTCTATGCGGTTCCATATGCCTTAAAGCTTCTCAGCGAGACCGACGAAGGTCTGAGACTGCTCAGCAACCTTGACATCGTGATGTTTGGCGGATCAGCATGCCCCAAGCCTATTGGCGACAGGCTTGTTCAGTCAGGCGTAAATCTTGTTGGACACTACGGTGCTACAGAACTTGGTCAGCTCATGACATCCTTCCGCGAACACAAGGAAGACAAAGGATGGGACTGGCTCCGGGTTGGTCCCAATCTGGAGCCATATCTCAGGATGGAAAGCAGAGGTCCCAATCTCTTCGAGTTGTGCGTCACCGAGGGCTGGCCTTCGAAGGTGGCGACAAACTGCGAGGATGGATCATATGCAACCAAAGATCTGTTTGAACCTCACCCAACAATTCCAAATGCTTGGCGGTACTATGCTCGTCTTGACGATACATTAGTCCTGGAAAACGGCGAGAAGGCCAATCCATTGATTGCTGAGGGAGTTATTCGTCAGAGCCAGCATGTTGCGGAGGCCGTCGTTTTCGGTGCGAACAAGTCGCAGCTCGGTGCCTTTGTCATCCCATCAGAGGCAGCGGTACTGACAGAAGAGGCTCTTTTGGACGCAATCATGGGGTATATTAACGAAGCGAATCAAGTCGCACCTTCATTCGCTCAGCTTTCGCGCGAGATGATCCGGATTCTGCCGTGCGACACCGACTACAGGAAGACTGATAAGGGCACTGTCATTCGTGCTGCTTTCTATCGCGATTTTTCAGAGCAGATTGAGGCCGCATACGCTGATGAGCAGTCTGGATCACTTGTGCTATCAAAGACTCAGTTGCTCGAGTTTCTCCGTCTGGAGTTCTTGCAGAAGATCACACGGAAGGAAGGTACAAGCTTCGACGAACACACCGACCTCTTCAGCTTAGGCGTCGATTCTCTTCAAGCGATTCGGGTGCGAGGAAATATAATCAAGACACTGAAGGTGGAAGCAAAAGATATCGGCAGGAACTTTGTCTTCGACTTTCCGACCCTGGATGAGATAGCCAACGAGATCCTACGGCTTCAGCAGGGTGTACCAAAACAGGTGAAGTTGAGTGTTGAGGAACGGATGGCAGCTATGGTCGAGAAGTATGCCGAGTTTGAGCAGCATCAAACCGTCAACAAGCTAGCTGACGGCGCCTACATCGTAAGTACACACCAGACTCGTCTCGCCATTGAAGGGCAAGATACGTTCGGAGCGTCTGCCGAGATGCACAGTGCTTTCCAGAGCCCAAATGACAGACGCTGAGAGACCTCAATTCCGATTCCTCTCACGTTCACAGCCTCATATTGGAAAGCGACTGTGCAACCCGAGCGCTCTACTACTACCTTATCACTAGTACGTGGGTGCTAATAAATGTGTCTCAGGTTGTTACTGGTGCAACAGGATCGTTGGGTGCACATGCTGTTGCGATTCTGGCAGCGCAATCAACCACGAAGAAGATATTTTGTCTTGTGAGGGCCAAGGATTCCAAAGACGCCAACTCGAGGGTGCGACAATCTTTGTGCGAGCGTCGTCTATTACATACTCTATCTGCGGCTGCCAGATCGAAGATCACGGCTTATCCCTCTGACTTTGCGGATGAGAATCTCGGTCTGCACCCTTCGGAGTATGAGAGAATCTCGGAAGGTATCACCCATCTTCTCCACCTAGCCTGGTCTGTGAACTTCAACAAGAGCATCGAGAGCTTCGAAGTTGACTGCATTCGGGGAATGCGCAACTTGACAAGACTCTGCTTGCAAGCTAGAAGGCCTCAGCCTGCAACCTTCAATTTCTGCTCTTCCGTCAGCGCTACGGCCCGCACACCCGGTACCATCGTCCCCGAAAGCATTCCTGCATCTTTCGAGTATGCACAAGGCATGGGCTATGCTCAGTCAAAATTGGTTGCCGAGAATTTGTGTCATCGTGCTGCTAAGCAGACCAACATGAGATGCCGCATTCTTCGAGTAGGCCAGATTGTTGGCGATACCCAACACGGCGTTTGGAACGAAACTGAGGCAATCCCTCTAATCTTCCAGTCAGCAAAATCGACCGGTACATTGCCTGCACTTGATGAGAGTCCAGCATGGCTTCCAGTCGATCTTGTCGCAAATGCTTGTGCCGAGATCACTCTCAGTGGTGCAGAGAGTGGCGTCATGAACGTTGTCAATCACAACTCTTTCCACTGGACAAGAGACCTGCTTCCTCTGCTGCTTAGAGCGGGTCTGTCCTTCGAGGCCGTCAACCAACGTGAGTGGATCAAGCGACTTCGCGCATCGAACCCTGATCCCAGGGAGAACCCATCAATCAAGCTCGTAGACTTCTTTGCCAGCAAATACGATAACGACGACCCGCGAAAGTCCTTGACCTTTGCATCGGAAAATGCTCGGCGTCACTCTCCGTCTCTTGCCAAAGCTGGTATCATCAATGTCGATATCATGCAGAAGATTGTGAGCTACCTCGATACCAAGTACACACCGTGTGTCGAAAGCGCTTCTCTGGGAACTGCATATATCATCGGAGGTCCTTGTGGCACCGGCAAGTCCTCGCTGGCTGGAAAACTTTCCAAGGAAATGTCTCTGCCGGTCATCGAGGGCGACGAGCTTCACTCTATCGCAGCTCGTGCTCAGATGGGCAACAAGATTGCTCTGGAAGATGTAGAGCGAATGAAGTGGTTGTCTCACCTGCGCGGAGCTGTTATGTGTTCTTTAACCACTTTCAGAGCACCGGCAGTGATTGTCACTTGTTCAGCATTGAAAGCAGTCTATCGCGATGAGCTCAGAAGACTCAATGAGCTTGCAGGTATAAAGACAGTATTCCTGCTCCTGGCTACCAACAACAAAGACACACTCAAGAGCCGGTTGAGTAAGAGAGAGGGCCACTACATGGATTCGTGCATGGTCGATGCACAGATGGCACTGTTCGAAGAAGTGCAGGAGTATGAAGTCGATTGCGTACAGCTTGATGCTATGAGGGACTTGGACGACGTCGTCTCCGAGGCTTTGTCTCTCAAGGATGTGATGCTCAAATAGTAAGCCAAATAGATAGCAACGAAAAGACCCACCATCGGAGTCTTGGGGCCTGATGAAGGCTGTGCAAATGATCAGTACATTACTCATGAGTACAGTTGACCCATCGTGTGCATTCAACGTACAGGGTTCCTGGGAAGTGCCAGGTCTCTTGGCCGGAGTTTGATCTGTTTCTCCATCTTCCTCATTCCCCATGGCCGACCTTGATCTTCTTCTTGCCCTTGACCCCGTTTGAGGTTGGGGGGATGGAAAGGAAGTAGCAGCATGCTGCGAGGGCGAAGGGGGTGGGATGAGGTTTTCTTGACCCGTTGAAGTCGGAGGAGGGGGGGACGGATAGTAGAGATGTGAAGGTTTGCCGCAGTGAGCGGGAAAGTCATTCGAAGCTCGTGTGGCAGATGCAGCCGACGGCAAACTTCCCCACAATCGTGGCGCGGCTGTTTATTTGTCGTCACCGTTGAAGCGCAGGCAACTCTGAAACGCGCTCGCTCTCCGGTACACAACCTCCCGACGATACCGTCATCAGTCGAAACACATGAACGAGACCAGGTCGCGACAAAGCAACACCTGAGCAGCAGCGCACGCCAGCGGACACTCAGCATGGCCTCTGTTCGCGGCTCAGAAGAGCTGCCGCCTTTGGAGAAATGCTTTGTCCCACTCGGTAAGTCTTGTCTCCTCTGTCGTTGTCGAGGACTCGTCCTGACACACGCGTCTTGCAGAGAACAACCCTCGAGTCTTTACACAACTCGCGCGCGATCTCGGACTGCCACCCTCTTGGACCTTCCATGATGTCTACAGCCTCACCGAGCCTGACCTTCTCAACATGGTCCCCAGACCCGTCGAAGCCCTGATCTTTACCACCCCCGGCGAGACCTTCCACCGCGCCCGCGACGCAGAGAACGATGCCATGGTGCCACACATAGCAGACGGTGAGAAGAACTCTGTCATCTGGTTCGAGCAAACACTTCGCAACTCGTGCGGTCTGATGGCATTCTTGCACGCCGCTCTCAACAGTGTCGCAAAGGATGACTTGCTTCCTGGCTCCGTGCTACAAGACTTGCGAGATCGTGCTGTTGCTCTCTCTGTCGATGGTCGATCTCGTCTGCTCGAACATTCCGCCGCCCTCGAAGAAGCCTACGCCTCTGCCGCTAACCTGGGCGATACAGCCGCTCCACCTATACCACAATGTCCGCTAAACCATTACATCGCCTTTGTCAGATTAAGAGACGGTACACTTTGGGAGCTGAACGGTGGTATGAAAGGCCCTGTGTGTCGTGGAACCCTCGCTGCCACGGAGGATGCCATGAGTGACACTGCCCTAGATCTGACTGTCCGTTCATTTCTCAGACTCGCCGAAGGCGACACCAGCTTCACCATTGTCGCGCTTGCACGTGCTGGAGATTGAGCTTTGGAGGGAAGAAAAAGAGAAGGAACACAATGTCAGCGCATATCCTTTGCGGGCTGCTTTGAGTAGTCTGCATGGCTATCGAGATGCGCACTCTACCAGTTGTCAAGAATACCCCAGGTCTAAGTCATTGCCGACGAGCTATAAAGATGTGAGTGTGTTCTGTTTGGAGCGTGCATCCCATTTTCATTCGTGTCGTCTGATCAATGCTTTCGTCCGCCACCGCATTGGGTATACCATCACGGAGGTCGTCCACAGTGGTGCAAACTAACAGTGTGCTGATCCTAGCCTGACTTCTTCGTATATTCCTCATCTGAATCTTTCTCGTTTCAATGTGTCTTGCCCAGAGCGAAGACAAAGTGCGACATGATCGCACCATCATCGGCCCCATGCCAGTGGTGTACACCAGGAGGGCACCACATGACATCACCCTCGTTGATACGCTTGGCCTTACCACCATCGTCGGTGCTGTGTTGCTCGGCAATGTCGAGATAGACTTGGCCAGTAAACCACTTGTCCGGTCCCGACATGGTTGGCTTCTCGCCATTCTCCTTGCGTGGTACGAGCTTGCTTTCGACTTGGACCATGTTGCTATTGTTGTTTGTATAGACGGAGTCGCTTTGCTTCGACTGTACGAGTTATTTAATGTAAGAACAAGGAGGTAAGGTGTTGCTTTTTGTAACACGGAGTGTCCGCTCAGAGGTCCACTGAGCCCACAGAAAGGATCAGCTGTGCCGGATCTAGTGCCTCATTCCAACCTCTCGACCGGATCAATGGTAGATGTGCGATGAGAACCAGAAGCAATAGGCTCAATGGTCTCGATTGCGTCGGCCGAAACAGCTTGCAGACGATTTGGCCGACATGGTATATGGACGGTGTTAACATAAAGCCGATACTCTGCGTTAAGTGGCGGCGCTTGTATTTCACGCCGCCGAGCGACAACAGTGGCCAGATCTTACTTGAACGCAACAAGCCTTGAAGGCGTGCAACTATGCCAATGGTGTTGTCCATACAGATGGGCAATGCAAGAGGATTCGACTCAAGGATGAGCGTTGGGAGCGAAATGTCGGAGCCTGGAAATGACGCCCGTTTCTCGGTCCCGAGCTTCATCAGCTCGGTCCCGAACTCACTCCAACAACCAGTCTATAAAGCGACACTACTCTCCTGCTCTTGCTATATGGATTATCGAAAATTCGAGTCTCATTGACCCATCTTATACCATCTCTAGGCCTTTCGGCTATTCAAAAACACCATGATCAACATCCCGAACAATCGTCAAGCCATCCGCGCCTTACACTCACCACAATCTATACTCATAGTCGGCTGCGGCATAGCTGGTCCTGTATTAGCGACTCTACTTCTCTGCTCAACGAGATCAAGACCGCTCCCAAACATCACGATTGTCGAGCGCAATCCCACCGCCCTCGGCTCTGGCCAAAACATCGACCTTCGCGGTATCGGCAAGCATGTTGTTCGTCTTCTTGGACTACAAGACGAGATCAAGGCGTCTACTACTGGTGAAGAAGGCGTCAAAGTTGTTGATGCGAAGAACAGAGTCTGGGCTCAATTCGCTGCAGACAAGACTGGTAAGGTAGAGACTGGTACCTCTGACGTGGAGATTTTACGAGGCAGACTTGCAGAGATTCTGCTGGATAATTGCAAGAGAAAGAGCAAGGAAGTACAAGACAATGGCGGGAAAGGTATTGAGTTCATTTTCGGCGACAGCATCGAGGCTCTTGACCAGGATCAGACCGACAACAAGGTCCATGTTTACTTTGCCAAAAGAGGTCGTCGCGCCTTCGACATTGTTGTTGGCGCAGATGGTCTACACAGCAAAACCCGCAGACTTGCCTTCGGCCACCAACAGGATGATTGTATCAAACCTTTGCACATCCGCGGTGCTTTCCTCAGTACCGCAAAGTTACCTGGAGACGGCGAATGGAGATCTTGGTTCCACGCTCCAGGCGGTGTTAGCGTCATGCTTCGACCATCCGGCACCAAAGAAAGAAGCACTGTACTTGTACTCATGGCTGATGACAGCGGTGTCTTTGACAAGGAGATGGATGTCGCAGCTCAAAAGCAAGCGGTTTTGAAAAAGCTCAGCGGAGTCGGCTGGCAGGAGGAAAGGCTCAAGAAAGCCGTGCAAGAGGCCGACGACTTCTACTTCGACATTACTGCTCAGACCAAGCTAGACTCATGGAGCAAAGGCAGAGTTGTATTGCTCGGAGATGCAGGATACTGCGCTTCCCCTTTTTCAGGAATGGGTACTACGCTGGCACTGGCTGGAGCTTATCATCTCGCCGGCTCACTAATGGAAAACGAGCACGAAGCGGCGTTCAAGGAGTATGAAGAGAACATGCGACCACTTGTTCACAAGGCGCAAAAGTTGCCTCCAGGGATGCCGCATCTGATTCATCCAAAGACGGTGTGGGGAGTCTGGCTTTTGAGATTACTTGCTGCGGCCATGTATTGGTCCGGCTTGATTGGTCTCATGTTCAGGCTCAAAGGTCCACCAGCACAAATCAAGGAGTCGAGGAGGTATATCTTCAAGATGTAGTTGAACGAATGACAAGCGACTTCTCCCTTCCCACCCTGGAGACGATGCAAGATGAGCTGTGGATGTAGCGAAGCACAATTATTTGCAGAATACTCGTAGCGCGTGGGAAGGCAGACGAATACTAGGAATTTGAAGTAATATCCTTGATGCATTGCCGCAGGTAAGCGTATACGACATGCCTTTTCAACCCAGAGAATGGTATGATAGGTCGATCTGAAAAACCCTGAACTGACCACTTGTGTCCGGCGACTTGTCACTCCGTCCGTAGTGCGTGGATGTCTTGGTCAATCATCATGGACCGGCTAGCTAGTGACCTGCCAAGAGTCGAGATCGCTGCTGATATTGTCTCGTTGTAGAGCTTTCATCCAATGGGCAGTGCGGAACTACAAATGTTCTCTTCAAACTAGGGTCTGTATTGCGTCTCGGCCCAGTCCATCAAGAGTAGAAGCACTAAGATGGTGGTATAGACACCACGATGAGTTGCAACATCGCCGAAATCGAGCTTGCTCCAGATTTTCTGGATTGATATTTGTCAGCTTTTTGTTGTGCGGATAAATAAGGGCGCTAGAGACTCACCACTTCTCTAGCAAGTGTTTTTTCCGTAAGTATGAATTTCTAATCAGAGCCTTAAGCGATAAGACAAGGCAACATTGGCGGACGGACGTGTGATCGGCCCGCAGCAGTTAAGAGTTCGGTTAGACGGGCGAAATGGGCAGAGGTCTAAACACCGAGTTAGTTAAGAGCGTCTTAAAAGTGCTCGCCCTAGCGTTTGGTCTCGATACTGACGGCGATGGGCCGACGAAGCAGAGGCGAATGAGTAGTATGGTTGAAGGAAAAGACTCCCTTGCCTGCGTTGATTGGCAAGCGAGCAGCGGCTGCTCTTAGTGCATCACTGTCTTCTACGACGAGAGCAAATTCCACTATCTTCCCTCTGATCTGTACATTGTCTTACGTTCGAGGGATTAGACTAGAAGGTCCAATGCGGGCGGTTGTTCTATAGAGTCGTTAGCTCAAGTTAGAAAATTAGTCGAATTAGAAGCGGCAGTTACGCGTTCGTGCTAGTCGTACGGCCCTAGTAAACCGAAGCGGCCTTGGCAAGTAAAAAGAGGGTGGTATCGATGTAGCTATTCCAGGCGGCTTCGGACTCGCCTAGTTCGCGAAATTTTCTCACTCGCTTGACCAGCTTGTTAACATCTGCTAGGGAAGGGACGCCGCCTAAGGTAGCACGGTAGTGGGTGTCGTCGAAATATACGTAGGGAAGATCAATGTTAGGATCGACAATGCCCTCGCGCGTAAAGAGATGCTGACAAGGGTATTAGTCGATCGACTCGTGTAATTACTTTCGAGTCTTCTTACCTTCTCCGTAGTAGGGAAGACGCCCTAGGAGCGTTCGAATTGTCGCAAGCGATTATAGAGTTGTCTAACACCGGCAGCTGCATTAGGAGGGACAGTGTCCTTTACGAGCACGGGAAACGTGATAGGTTAGATGAGACTACTTAAGATAGCGCGCTTGCTAGGGGAGCTACGGCTGGACTAGTAACTCCGCTTAGTGGCGCCGCTGTCACTTGTCGTAGTTGTGGACGCTGACGAGACCGGAGAAGCAGCAGTCGACAGGATGTTAAGATTCGTCAGTCGAGGAGCCCGGGGTGTATGTTCCGCTTTCGCGTCGTCTATAGCTTCGGTATCTGCTATGAGGGCCGTACGAGCCGTCGTTGGCGATTAGGTGTATTCCAACTCCTGCTCCTGCTCTTTCTCTTAGATGTCTTCTCGCTAGCGCTTCTGTTCTTACTCTTGCTGACTCTCACTTCCAGGCGTCGGGTAATGGTGCATAGGTCGCTTAGACTCGGGCGTAATACCGTCGTCGTCGTCGTTGTTGTCGAGGAGGCGTTTCGGTCTCGCCCTAGAGTGCTGTCGCTAAACAATCTTATCTATCTAAGATTCGATCCATTCGATCTTCATGTCATAGCCGTCGGCTACCACGAAGGTTGAGAGTTACGAAGAAGGCAGGAAAGTCTTGTCGTCTCGCATGTTTGTTTACAACGTTAGTTGCTCTTTCTGTTATGCTTTCTGTTTTCGCGACAGCGCCTTCCCCGCACTCTGACAGCAATCACGGTCATAGCCGACTATAAGCTTATTATCGATGTGACCCTTGCTAGATATCATTTCAAGCCCACATTCCGTCTGGCATCACAACAAACACTTCCACAGCCCTCGACCGAGAAAGAAGACGATCTGTGGAGACTGGATGATCGGGAAAGATTAACATTAGGGTCGCATAAGGAAAGAAACGCGTGTAGCAGCTGGGAAATTGCCTCGTGGAAGAGGCCAAATCATACTGCCAGACTATAAGTTCACTACAATCTAGCTTGAATCTTTTCCTGCGTATCACCAAGTGCATATTCATTCCTCTTTGATCGACTCCGGACTTTATCCGCATCTTGAAGAGCGGGATGTCTCGCCTCCACCGCGGGATTGTATTCGAAGGCTGACTCACGAATAATGTCCTCGTTACTGAGCTTGACATTCCTCTGTCCATCTGCCCTCTTGTAGATTGTCACGACGACTGCACCTCCCAGTCCAAGGTTGTGCTGCAATGCCACTTTGGTGTCCACGAAGCGATTGTTGGCCCAGCCTCGCAAGTGCCAGCAGAGTTCCGCACATTGCGCAAGGCCGGTGGCGCCGAGTGGGTGGCCCTTTGAGATCAGCCCTCCACTGGGATTGATGATGGGACCTTTGCCACCATATGTGATGTCGCCATTGCGAACCATTTCATGTGCTTTGCCGGGTCGAGAAAACCCAAGACCGTCGAGAAGTACTAATTCGTTCGCAGAGAAACAATCATGGAGCTCACAAACGGATATGTCTTTCGGGCCGACACCAGCTTCTTTGTACGCGGCAGCTACAGCTTTCCTGGTCATGTCGAAGCCAACAAGATCCATGGCACTCTTTGAGTAGAGGGCAGGAGTATCGGTCATGAGGGTCTGTCCGGCCATAAGGATAGCCTGATTACGAAGTTGAGGTCGAGCGTCCAGGAAGCGTTGCGATACGATGACTGCAGCTCCAGCACCGTCACTGGTAGGGCTGCATTGAAGCTTGGTCAAAGGAGCGTGGATCATGGGTGCATTCATGATCTCTTCCATAGAGTATTCTTTTCTGAATTGAGCATACGGATTGCGCTGGGAGTGCTCGTGGCTAATGCGAGCAATTTCGGCAAAGTCTTCTGGGCGAGCACCGTACCTGAGCAGGATTAGCGAGATAGTAAAGGTGGTTTCTTGGGTGCGTCAAACTTCTCCATGTATTCTCGTCCGGCGTTAGCAAAGTACTGTGCATTACGAGGACTGTTGTGCTTTCCACGAGTGTCCTACACCAGCAAGTCAGTCAAAACCCAGTTCGCAGTAAGAGTTATCAAGACTGACTTCCATCATCTTTGTGCTCAGCCCCATGGGAGATGGACGATCATCCCAGACGCTCTTGATACTGCCAGGGCTCATCTGCTCAAATCCAATGACCAACACACAGTCGGCGGCTCCCGATCGAACCATCGTTCTCGCCATGTGTAAGCCCGTAGATCCTGTGGCACAAGCATTGTTGGTATTGTAGATACTGCGATGGTCAGACTCGGGCATTCTCCCACTCCTCTCATACCTACGGGATAGCTGTCATGCCGAATTGATACTAAATAACGTCAGCCGAGATTCACCTTGGACTAAAACGCGACGGTCAGACATACAAAGATTCGCTGGCCAGATGTGGTATCTCCGTAGCAGAAACACGCCACACCCATCTCGACATCGTCGTAGTTGATCTGCGCATCGAGCATTGCTTTCACTCCAGCTTCGAAGCCGAGCTCTGGGTATTCTCGTTCACGTCTGGGCTTGATGAAGGGTGTGAGCCCGACGCCCAGAACATACGCATCTGTCTTCAGTTGAGGCGCCATTATATCTGCAACACAAGCGCTAGGACGGGTGTTCGTCTACGCTTCAATGCCGAAGAGGTTGATTTGTAGGAAGGTGACAGGCTGAAGGGGTCTATGAAGATGTTCATCCAACATGCCTCGGCGACCCCGCATTTTGGACTCTGCTTGTCACTTTCGCCGGGTGAATGGCGAGACGCGGAATCAAGGGAACCAGTTGATGCTGTATATGATCAATTTGACAACTTTGTCTTGGATCGATTACTTTGATATAGAGACACCATCACAGCGCGAGACGGTCATGACTGTAAATGATTTGAGTATAAAGAGGCGACCGCGGTGATGCTAGCAGCGCCGTGTCGCGGGAACCATCAAGGTACGTGGTCCAAGCTCGGCTTGCCCAGCCGGGAAACTTTCTGGACCCTCGACTTCCACGCCACCATCCCGCTCTCTATCGCTGTCAATTGCGAGTAGCAAGGGCCGAGACAAATACAAGACTTCGGAGTCGAGGAGAACTAGTATTCAGTATGAGACTCAGGGGGTCGCCCCTTTAAAACAGCGCGAATGTGATTGCTCGCATGACTTGTTGTTCCTCATGGTCTACATTTCCCGCTTCAATACTCTCAAGGAATTGAAGTTGGCGCCCCACAGCCCTCCGTTGTCCCTTCACGAGTCATTGGCTTCTTTTCCGTGGCGTCAGTGTACTGCAAGGGCATTGGCAAGGCTAGCGATGCCACCTGTTCCTGGTCAGATCTCTGTACGCAGACTGGGAATAAACCAACGTACCTGGCATGTTCAACGGGGTACTCATGAAGAGGAAAGACCAACGCTGCTCCTGCTCGCACTGTTTGGCCAGAGCCTTGTGGTAGCGTTCGTCAGTCACATGCTGTCAATCCCTCTTGCAAGAACATTACCTCGAGATCAAACATCTCGCCAATGAGGACGCCCCAAGAACCCAGTAAAAACTCGTGCTTTATTAACGTTGTATCAGTGAACATCGGCCAGCATGTCTCGTATCTACATACCAATGCCCATTGCTCTGGAGGCCAACACTCCCAAGCTGGCGCATCACCACCGACAGCACTGAAGTAACTATATGGAGTTAAAAGGAGATTCTCTCTTGGATCATGTCAGGTACTCACTTGTCGTGCAACCAAGTCTTCATCTCATCCGTCTGAGCCACACCGGCGAGACAAGGATGCAGCGAACCAGCCTCGACTAAGCGAGCCGGGTCATCCTGGTTATACTTGTCATATGCATCAGTGTACCCGCTCCTGATCAGTAAGATGTCGCCGACTTCAAACTTCAACTTCTGGTCTTTCGCTACAGCCAGTAACTCATCGAGATGGATAGCGTGGCTTGTGAGAGGATCGTATGCTTCGCCTCTTGCCATCTTCCAGCCATAGTAGTCGAGTAGAATTCCTCGACCAACAATACCATGATTGGAGACAGCTTGAATTCCACAGCGTGTTCCTGTTGAATATGAAAAGATCAGCAAGAACGGCAATCACTACCGGCGCTCTTCCCGAAAACTCTTACCGGTTTTGACCTCTTCGGGAGTCAAATCGTTATAAAAGCGTCCCTGGGTCTGATGCCCATAATGCCGAAACCCATCCCATTGGCTTCCAGATTGTATGTTCATGTTTAGCCAATCATCGAAGACCAGCGGACCATCTGGATGATTCTTGACCGTATGTTTGCACGCATCTCGGCCAAAAGCTGGTTTGGCGGGCAAATTCATCGGCCAGCTGGAGGAGAAGCATGGTCAGGCGCTTCGAATTGAGCGAGGAGGGAACAGCCAATGCCCGATAAGAGACGTACTTCAAGGAGACAACCTTGCCTTTCTTTACTTCAGCATGGTTCGCAGCAAGGACTCTTTTGGGAGTCAGGAGATTGATCCGACCAATCTACGATTTAGTTTCAGTTCAAAAGTACATTTCAAGTAGTGGTGGTGGATCTCTTATCTACCTCGTCTTCCTTGCCCCAGATCCAGGCTGTTTCAGAAGGAACATCGCGACCCTCATTGTGCTGCTTCAATCGTTCGAGCGTTGGCAAGCCGTCAGGGAAAAGCGTCAGTGCATGTTCCATTGTTATGAAGAAGACACTGGCGCTGGACTCTGGGGCATCGAGTAAGTGGTTTCCCTTCCTTGACATATGCTTAGCGATGGCCACGAGTGCGCCAGACCTCATACAGCCGGGTCGTGGCACGGGGGACTGTCATATACCCGGATAGCAAGGACTGCGACGGCGTTGCACCGGCAACTCCGATGGGCATTGGTATCCAACTGCGCATTCGCTCAATTTCGATTGAAACAGGCGACGTTGACAGAAACGATCGGATTCTGGTCTCTCCGCGCTGCTGACGCGAGCTACAACTAGACTGTGCCTTACTGCAATCATTTCGTTGCTCCAATTCCAGACGCAGGGATTATAAAGCTCGCAATTACTCGTAATCATGTCACGTATCCCCAATTTTGCTATTTCACTTTTTCAAAGGTCGCTCGAAAGATACGGCGACACTTTTGACAAAATCAATCATCCTACGTGTCTTGTCTCCATGACGCCAGCCTGCTCGGCCTTCCTGAAGGTGTTCGTCTCCGCCTCCACAAGATCATATGAATCCAATGACTCTATCTCTTTGATGAAGATGTGATCAATTTCCTCGAGTGAAAGCCTGGTGGTCTCTGGGAAGAGGAAGAAAATGGAGGGAGCTATCGCGAAATTCTATTCAACATGGTCAGTCGATTGGGCGAAGGTAAGGGTCTCGTAGTCTTACACAAGCCATGAAGACAAGATAAGTCTTCCATTTGATGTTCGTTATCATGGTTGGAGTGACCATTACGATTGTGAATACCTAATCCAATAGTCAATTTCTGTCGCAAAGGCTATGTCCCAAGAGTAGGGACCTACAAAGACCCAATTCATCATCACGGCCAATGATGTGCCTTTGGCTCGTGCTTTGAGGGGAAGTATCTCCGGAGCATAGCACCAGGGAATGGCGTTGAGGCTACTTCCGAAGAACAGCATGTACTTGTCTTGAGTCAGCTTGTGCACATGAGCTGGACACGTGTGTTACTGACCAGTACGAAGAAAGCGATGGCCACCTTCGAGGTCACGGCCTCCGACGACGTGCCTTGATAAGATAAAAGGATTGAGATGACCATCAAGGAAAAGCCCATGGCAATCGTTCCACAGACTACGGCACTAATATCAGTGTCTCTTCCTCGGCTAATAGTATGGCTCGATACACACTCATGGGTTTTCTACGTCCGATGCGGTCCAAGAAGAGAGCCGGTACTAAGGAACCTGCGGCGAAAGCGAGATTGATGCAGCCCCCAGCTACGAGGGCTGTACTTCTGGGCAAGCCGACGTTGACTTCCAGGACGGTGCCAATGTAGAAGACAATGACGTTGATCCCTGACCACTTGCACAACCATACGTCAGCCACTTTTCAGTCCACCGGAAAATCTCCGGGTCTTTTACCTGGTTGAAAGAAAGAGCAAGTATAGCAAGCCACACTCTCCATCCAGTCTGTACACGATCTTTCTTGAGTACATGTTTCCAGCTGAACGGATTTGCGCTCTCGAACTCCAGAGCCTCGATGATGGCGGCTTTTTCTGTAACGATGTATTCGTCTTCTGGACCAGTGCCATAGACCTGGCACATGACTTTAGTGGCCTCATCGATACGTCCTCTCTCAATCAGCCATCTCGGCGTTTCGGGTAAGCCGAAGAGTACGATCGAAATGACGACAGCTGGCAGGATCTGGGCGGCAATCGGTAACCTCCAGGCAACCGCTCCCCCGACGAAGTTCATTCCGAAGGCAAAGAAGTAAGCCACCGCAATCCCGAGCGCGGTGAAAAGCACCTCGGTGGTGACGAGACGACCACGGACATGGCTTTTGCACAACTCCGCTTGGTACATTGGCACCGTGGATGTGTCGACACCGACTCCTGTGTGGTCCATGTCAGCGATGCTTCATAGAAGGCAGATGGCTTTCGTGGAGTGTGGAGATTGTACCGAAGCCTGTAACGATTCTTCCAACAACCATCTGCGGAGTCTTGAGACTTGTCAGTGCTCCTATTCTTAGCTTTAAGTGTAAAGCCACGGTAGAGACTCACGCCAAAGGCTGCAGCCTGCAGAACAGCACCTAGACTGATCAACAACATGGCAAGCCATAATGTTGGTCTCCGTCCGATACCACTGCCGACAAAGAAGTTGAGGAGGCATCCGGCGAGACAGCCAAGATTATAGCTCGAGACTTCGCAACGCATTAGCACCAGTACATAATGACGGCACACTACTCAAACAGTCACATATACCTATGAAACCGAGGAAAGCCTCTGAAGGATGTTCAACGACAGCTAAGAAGTCCGGGTTGGAGATCAAACCGCCAAAGACTCCTTGATCGTAGCCGAACCTAATGCCACTGTAAGTTCACTCGCCTGGCAGGGCCCGGTAGCGTGTTACTAACAAGAAGAAAGCGTGGAGGCAGTTGATAGTGATAGCCCATTGAGTCTGGCGTCCTGGCTTGAACCAGGTACTGTGATAGCCCATCGCCAAAGCCTTGTGCAGGATACGGATGACTTGAAATCTTCCAGGCAAGTAAATGCCGTGCTCAATCGAGACGTAGATAGTCACGGACCGGCGTGGACTACCCAATTTGAATGCTACGGAAGCACTGCCGAGAATGCGGGGCGACAATCCGGGGACTCCATCCCCGCACGCACGGCGACTTGGGATGATTGAGAGCTTGCAGCGCGGGCTCTTGGCGTTTCAATCGTCAAGCCTTATAACCGGCTGCACAAGTTTCAGGTCTTTCGGTTACTTGCAAGCACTTCTACAGCCAGAGTCACTTCAGCCACCTAATGACACACTATCGATCGCAGAGACTGGGACAGGCGGGCAGAGCGCGCGAGCAACCATGTTAAAGATGGCCAACCACGGTGCGCAGTCGCTTCTGCCCACCTATTTTTGCCCGGACCAAGTTACTGGTTGCGACAACGACCATGGACAGCCCTCAGCAATGCTCAGCTATGGGAAAAGATTTCGCTGACTGCGATACACGAGACCAACAGGCAGTCCGCGAAGTGAGAAAGATTGTCATTGATATCTGTCGTCAAAACGGAGGTGGTCATGGAGGATCTGCGATAGGAATGGCACCCATGGCTGTCGCTCTTTGGAAGCACACGATGCGATACAACCCTTTGAATGCCGAGGTATCACAAAGACCATCTCGCTCTCGCTGAGACACCCGACTGATGTTTGATGCAGTGGTTCGACCGCGACAGGTTCGTCCTCTCCAACGGCCACGCCGCCATGCTCCTCTACACCATGCTCCACGTCTCTGGTTACCCGCACATGACAGCCGGCGAGCTTCGACTCTACGGCGACGCCAAAGCTGTCGATAGAGAGACTGGTAGCTGGAAGGGCACCCTCTGTCACGGCCACCCGGAGATCGACGTGCCTGGCGTCGAAGTCACCACAGGCCCTCTGGGTCAAGGTGTCGCCAATGCCGTAGGTCTGGCCATCGCTTCCAAGAACTTGGCCTCGACCTTCAATCAGCCAGATGTTAGTGTCATCAACTCCCGCATCTATTGTGTCACTGGAGACGGCTGCATACAAGAGGGGGTCGCAAACGAGGCCATGGCCATTGCTGGTCATCTCGCTCTGGATAACCTGACCTTGCTCTACGACAACAATCAAGTCACTTGTGACGGGCCTCTTGATTGGATAGTATCAGAGGATACGAATGCCAAGATGCGAGCGATCGGCTGGCACGTCATCGATGTCCACGATGGAGACCACTCCGTGAGCGGCATTGCAGATGCTCTGGCTGCTGCAAAATCCTTGAAGGGCAGGCCAACATTCATCAACATCCGCACCACCATTGGTTATGGAACAGCAACAGCTGGCACCTTCAAGTCTCATCATGGCACATACTCTGACCATGATGCCGCACTTTATGCCTCTGATCATGCTTCCACCCATACTCTCACAGAGGAGTCCAGAACCTACTGGAAGGAGGCGATGACGAGGGGCAAAGAGCTCGAGAATGCCTGGTCTGAGAATATGAAGAGATACACTTCCTCATACCCAGAGCTCGCGACCGCGCTGAGGCTCCGCGTGCGAGGCGACTACGACGTGCATGAGTTGCTGAGAACTTTCAAGAAGCCCGACGATATCCAAGCAACACGTCAATTCAACGGCTTCTTATTCAACGAGCTGATGTCGAAGGTGCCTTCTATGATTGCGGGAGGCGCCGATCTGTGGAACTCTAATCAGATGGGAGATCAATCGCACCGTATCTTTGACCGAGACCATTTGGATGGCCGAGTTATCCGGTACGGCATCCGCGAACATGCGATGACCTCCATCTCTAATGGACTCGCCGCATATGCCCCGGGTTGCTTCTTGCCAGTCACGGCGACATTCTTCATGTTCTACCTCTACGGAGCTGCGGGCGTGCGGATGGGCGCTCTCAGCAATCTCAAAGTCATTCACATCGCTACTCACGACTGCATCGGGGAGGGACAGAATGGACCTACCCATCAACCTGTAGAACTGGATTCATTGTTCCGGGCAATGCCCAACATCCAGTACATACGACCAGGAGATAGTGAGGAGGTCATCGGTGCGTGGATCGCTGCATTGGATGCAAACGGCAGACCCAGTATGCTCTCTCTCGCTCGAGACCCCGCACTATCCCTCGTGCCAAATACGGACAGGCAGAAAGTGTTGAAAGGCGGGTATGTCATCGTTGAGAAAGAAGCAGCCGACGTGACTCTTGTCTCTTGCGGATCGGAGTTGCAATTTGCCGTCGAGGCCTCGAAGCGTTTGGACGCTGCTGGCGTGCTTACGAGAGTGGTGAGCATGCCCTGTATAAGTCTTTTTGAAGAGCAATCGCAGCAGTATCAAGTATCTGTGCTCTCGGACTCAGCGCACATCATCTCGGTCGAGTCGTATATTGCGACAACGTGGGCAAGGTTTTGTACGGCATCAGTAGCCATGAATTCCTTTGGGTACTCCGGTTCTGGTCTCGAAAACTTTGCTAGATTTGGCATTGATACAGACGGAATTGTTCGTAAAGTGATGGACCATGTCCAAAATACGCCTCGGGATGTTCCTGATCACCGTCGTCGCTGGCAACTCCTCACGTAAATGGCTAAATGCCCAGATTCTCACATTGTCGATCACCCGGAGCAAGATGAGGCAGAAGGGCGCTCCAGACGGTCTAATGGGTGCACAAACTTCGATATTCAATACTCTGCTTATGAAGTTCCTCCGTTTGACACGGAAACGTTGACTCTACTTCAACAAGACCCAATTATCGTGATTCGTGAGAGATTGATGAACCGACTAGGGTGACCCGCACGCGATCAGATAAGATGCGGAGATCGCCAAGCACGGACTTTTCTCTTCCGGGGACTCGATGAATCTGTGACGCGTAGCTGGACTAAAGCACGATTGATTTTGTAACATCGGTCATGTCTAATTCGGGCTAGCATCTTGCCGGCAGCCCAAGGAGCCTCTCTTGGGCGAGAACATAATTGCGATTCAATACAGCTCGTTGTTGTTCTTGACCGTCCTTGCTGAAATGACCCTCTTGAGCATATAGCCGTGCTTGCTGCACCCCGCCATGCCCCGCACCAGGAACATGAGATCCTACTTATCACCTCGCTGAGAGTAGGATCATTGTCTCTGGAAGCTTGCTGTCGCTGATCTTGATCTTGATTATCGTTGCTATGCCGCTGCTACGTGTGTTGTGTCGCCGAAGCGTCTTCGCCGTGAACTTCCACTCGGGGGCTACTGTCTCGACCTTTTGTGCGTTACGCTCAGCCGGGTTGCACGTCCAGAACTCCAGGTCGTCTACAACATTGACAAGACAGAATGGGAATTACGTCAGGTCGATCACGACCAAGTCCGCAAAGGATGCCATGACAACGGCTTCTGTCTTGCCTACAGACAGCTACCTGACCTCCAATGTCATGGATCTGATGTCTTTAAAAGATCGCGTGGTTGTCATCACAGGTGGAGCCAAGGGTATTGGACTAGCGCTCGCCTTTGGCGTTGCCGAAGCTGGTGGCAAGATTGCTATTGTTGATGCAGCACCCCAGCCCTCTGAGAACTACGTCCGGCTTGGACAGATCTGCCACGAAGTGCGGTATTACCAGTACGTTGATCTAGACTGTACCCAGGCGAGGCAGGCCACTGCTGATCGTATTTCAGGACTGATGTGACAGATCATGCCAGACTTACGAGCACTTTCGACCAGATCACCAACGACTTTGAACGTATTGACGGAATGTAAGCTTCAAATTTCCTCTATATTTTCTGCGCTCTCGATGGCCAGAGTGTTGACATTTGCCATGCAGCATTACAGCAGCTGGTATATGTCCAGATGAATCATTTCTCGACCGAGACCCTATTTCCGTGAAGAAGTGTGTCGAAGTTAATGTTCTGGGAACGTATTACGCTGCACAGTTAGCTGCGCGACAGATGGTCAAACAGTCTGAAAGGAATCAAAGCTCTGGAGTGGGCTCGATTGTCATGATTGCGTCTATGGCTGCTCATCGAGCCAGCAAAGATCAATTCACTAGTGACTATTGCATGAGCAAAGGCGGCGTCTTAGCTCTTACGAAGCAGCTCGGTGTCGAGCTTGCTCATCACAAGATACGAGTCAACTGCATTTCTCCAGGGCAAGTAGCACGCTCCTATGGTTATGGATACGAGCTGACGATGTTCTCAGGTACATCGCCACGGATCTGATTGCGGACCTTGTCAAACAAAGACCGAAGCTGGGAGAAGTGTTTCAATCAGAGCCACCCATGAAGCGAATGGGTGACAGGACCGATCTGAAAGCTGCTGCTGTGTATCTGCTTGCAGACGCTAGTGCATACATGACGAGCGGAGAGATGTTAATCACTGGTGGTTTGCATGCTGGGCAAGTCTATTGAGCGACAATCTAGCATCTCTAAGCAGCAAAGTCTCTTATTGATAATTAACTGATGCAGCTCCATCCACAATCAGATTCTGCCCAGAGACGTATTGCGCCATGTCGCTTGCAAAGAAGACAACGGGCTTCGCGATGTCTTCAGGTATTCCCAGTCTTCCAAGTGGTACTCTCTCTTCCATCGACCCTCGCTTTGCTCCACTAAGATCTGCCTTGTTCATTGCTGTCTCGATAGTGCCCGGACTAACAGTGTTGAAACGAATGCCATAGCGTCCAAGTGCTACTGCACAGCTGACAGACATTCCCAGAAGTGCAGCTTTGGTGGCAGCATAGTGAGTCAGTCGAGATGAACCCATGGTTGCTGTTATCGAAGCGATTGATACGATTGACCCCCCTGTGCCCTGCTTCTTCATCTGCTCAACAACAGCTTGTGTAATGGCAAATGGGCCGTGGAAGTTGACGGCGGTATGAGTATCGAGCTGCTCAGCAGTGACAGCCGCAAGGTCAAGAAATTGACATATTCCAGCATTGTTGATGGCGACGTTGAGCTCACCGAACGATGATATCGCAGCATCAACGATTCTTGTTGCGAGGTCAGTCAGCGATTCTGCGCTCAAACGATCTGAAAGCTGTCATGATCACCTTTGACCCGCTTCTGGGTCTCTCACGTCTGCTGCTACACTGATTGTTCTGGCCGACTTGTTAAGCCTAGTTATTTCGTCCTGTAGTGAGGATATATCATCCGATGACTTCGTGTCGCCGATATGGTGGAGAATAAGCCGTGCACCTTGTCGTGCACATTCGAGTGCTGTAGCGCGACCAATGCCAGTGCCGCAGCCGGTGATCCTGTTGAAACAGTGTATAAGTATGAATTTGGAAGCAGAGAGTCATTAGGTCTTACGCAACCACTTTCCGTGCTAATAATTGCGCCATGATTGTACGCCGAATACACTTCGATATCTCGTTCGATGTAGACTTAGTATTCAGATGCAGCACATTTATCCGGCAAGTGGTACAGTGAGATATAACCACAAAGCTGGTATGTGTATATAAGATGGTCTGGGAACATGTGACCGAGATGTCGGGAATGCTTTCCCGATGAGCAAAGCAAGACTGCCGCCTCGCTCACTTGACCTTTTCAGAATAACAAAGTAGCCTCAGGGTCTAATATAACCGAGATTCAGATTAAACAGTGGGGCAAAATAAGATTGATTCCATTGACCTCTACCAATTAGCGGTATCCATGGTGGTCAACCTCTCGAAACTTGCGTCAAGTATCTCGACAATATTTCCCCAAGGATCTCTGATATAGACACAAGTGACTCCTCCCGTCAGCTTCACGGTCTTTCCCTGTCTACTCCCACCCGCCTCCAGGATTTTCTGCACCAGTTCATCCGGCTTCGGATCCGTGACGCAGATGTGAAAAAAGCCACCACGATTATATTCAAACACTGTCTCGCTCTTGACGAACTCAGGGTCTAGAAATTGAAATACTTCGAAACCGACGCCGTTGCCAGTAGCCATATATGCGAGCTTGACTTCTCGAAGCGAGTCTCCGTAAATCGCGAAAATGGGTGACTCCGGACTTTCCGAGCGTTTGATGTGGGCGATTTTGCCGCCTATTATTTCGAAGCCCATGATAGTTGTGTACCAGGTGGTTACGGCTTCGATATCCTCGACAGAGACTGCGACATGGTTGATGGGGCGTGCAAATGTCTGCCATATGTCAACACCTCTGTTGGCAAAGCGGGAGCAAAGCACTCACAGTAGACATGGTGGAAGTATCAACATGCAACTATCTGACTTTACCTGAGTGGACACTTTGCTCTCGTAATATGAGCTGGACTAGTACACTACTAACCTGTGCAATTGTTGATGCCAGGAACTTGATGGCCAGAGAAGAGAACCCTGACTTTGCCCCGCGTTCGGGCCCGGCTACCGGCTATGCACCTCCCGACTATCCACAATGAGATGCTCAGCAATCATCATACAACCGGTGCCTCTTAGCAAACCCGCACCGTCACTCGCAGATTCAAACTATTGCTCTTACGCAATATTCAACATTATTATTCCCAGTCATCACCTTGCTTGATTCGTCCGGACGCTCTAACTTTGGCAGACATCTCGCTGCACATATACAATGACAAGTCCAGATCGGTGTAACAAAGCTTTCACCCTGAATGATGGTACATGACCATTGAAACGTCGCTTCAGTAAAATGACTGACGCGAAGCAGGATCGCAAATACCCGCTGTTGGCTTAGGAACATGGCAAGGTACATCTGCAGACAAAATTCTGATTATTCTTGACTGACACGGCAAAGGCGGACTGGGAACAGACAACGAGAAAAAGCTCGAAGACTCAATTGTCCATGCTCTACAAAGCGGCTATCGTCTAATCGACACCGCACAATACTACGGCATCGAATCTGTCGTTGGACGTGCTGTACGCAACAGCGGTGTACCCCGTTCCGAAATCACTGTCATCACAAAATTCTGGAGTCACTGGCATCATGACCCAGCGGAAGCATTGCGAATCTCCTTGAAAGATCTTGACATTGAATATGTAGATATCTTGTTGATGCACTGGCCATTCGCGACCACTCCAGCTCCAGAGCGAAAGCATCTTCGGAAAGATCAGAGCCCGACATTCGTCGAGACATGGAAGATGATGGAGAAGCTTGTTGGGCCGCAGTGCAGAGCGATTGGCGTCAGTAACTTCACCCAGAAGACGCTTGACGAGTTGCTGCCGCACTGCAACATCGTACCAGTGGTCAATCAAGTCGAGCTGCACGCCTTCAATCCAAATCACCAGCTTGTACCGTACTGCGTCTCAAGAGGAATACACGTGATGAGCTGGAGGTGAGTTATGCGACCGCTCCATGTACGATCCAGGCCTGACACCACGATTCAGCACGATGGGCGGAGAACGTGAAGGCGAAGCGAACTTGATTCACACACACAGCCTGTTCAAGAGCATTGCCAAGAGACACCAATGTTCCACGGGTGTTGTATCTCTGTCTTGGGCGGTACAACGCGGCGTGACCGTGATTCCCAAGAGCAGTTCGAAGATGCGTATTGCAGAGAACATCAAGCTTGTCAGACTGACCGAACAGGAGATGGCTCAGATCAGTAGAGCCTCCGAGACAATCATGAAGTACAGAGTTTCGGATCTGATCAAGGAGTTGTATGTAGAGGTAGACGGTAAGGAGACTTTCCAAGGATGGACATTAGAAGAGCTCGGGTGGGCAGACAAAGATGGCAAATGGTTGACGTAACTCGAGTTCCTGGACCTCAGGACTGCGGGGTGTTGAACATGTTGATACAAATGATCATCTATAATTGAACATCTCGATGTCTGCAACCAATGAGGCGTGAGGCTAAACTTAGTTTCTCTAGTGACAACACCATACGACGACGAGCTTGTGAGAAGGCACAGTCAAGGCCAGCATAGAAGCAGCGCATCCCAGAAACGATGAATAAGGAGCTCTCGATGAAATGTGGTGTTTGTCAGAACTATCCTCTCTTGACTCGGGTCCATGAGACAGCGGACTTGATCGAGATGTCCAGCGAGACCACTTTGCTCAGCTAGCACACATATACGGCGAGCTCATACATCTGCCATCCGTGACCAGTTGCTGGGTCCCGGAGTGTTGCCTGAACGATTGCCGAAGTTCGGAGTCAAGGGAAGCATACTCGGCATGTTATCGAATAAATCGCCCAGTACAGGATGACTCTGCCATATGTCTAGATCGGTGGCAAACACATCATTGCTATCGAGCGCATTAATACCCATTCCAGAACTATCATTCATGAACTCAGCCGCGTTGTTCATGGTGAAGTCATCTTCAGCTCGCTGTTTGCTCGATTGCGGTGCTCCAAGCATCTTGTCGAGTAGCTGCAGGATCCATGGGCTAGGATCCCAAGCGCCTCTGCTCTCGTGCAAAACCATTTGACAGTTACTCAATCCCGATCTTCCTGATTGAGCATTCATCAAACTCGGACTCTTGGTCTGCATGTAAAAAGTGACCGCAGCGATGAAAATGCCATGCAGTAGCTCGTGAGGAGCAGTTAGTATGTCCGATTTGACTACAACATCACATGCGGTAGAGGCAATCTGCTGTGCTGCGATAATACATGTGTCTTCTGCAAGGGACTGGTTCATGTAGACGGCAGCAAAGCCAGGCCGCACACTACCTTCCGGAGGGGCATTGAGATTCGCAAGTATCAAATGATGATTGTAGAGAACTCTCAAGCTGCCCAATAAGATGCTGGAGCCCGCTGCAGCCGCGTCCGTCCAGGTGAAATGTTGAGGTAATTGCGCTCGCCATTTCAGCAGTATTTCCGTGAGAGAACTTGTGATCTGTGGTTGCGGACGAGAGGGAGAGAAGCGAGCCGTTATAATTTGACGTAGAATCAAAGTTAGTTTCATGGCCTCGATTTGGTAAGAGCCAAAGTGCGGATTCAGCTCGTGGTAAGCAGCTGTCGTCTCACTCATGAAGTCTTCCGGCGTCAAAGGATCAGCATCGCAGTGGTCCAAGTTTACTCGGAACGGACGACCAACCAGAGCGGAACAGTTTGCGTCTCTCAAAACAAGTATCCACCATAGCCTCTTGAGCAAGCTTCTATCTCGCGGTTCCATGTTCGTACCAGCCAGCGAGCGATGACAGCCCAATGCTTCGGCGATCGTGACACCAGTACCAATCCAGGAGTAGAAATTCCAGTAATTGTTTGGCCCACCTCCCCAGAAGCTCAAAAGGATGGACACTTGTAAGACAACAATTTTATTGCTTTCGTAGCCAATGTCGAACAGAGCTTTGGCCTTCGTGTAAAACGTCCATCTCGCCTGTCTGCGATTCTCATAACCGGCTTGGTGGAGTATCTTGAGCGGACAGAACGTCGCAGAGATGAAGCACAACGCATGGAGAAGAATCCAGGGCACTCTCTTAGCCTTGTAGTCTTCAATGAACTCTCCACAGTTCAGAATGGGGTACAAGCAGAACACCCGTGTTAAGAATGTGTCGACTAGAGCGTCAAGTGTTTTTCTATCGGGTGATTCAAAGGCCTTCTTGGCCTCCAGAAATGCGACCTCTTCAGGTAGCATGTGGCCGGGATGCGTGTCCCGAGGCAGAGTCAACTCTTCATTGACAGGGTATGGTGGTCCGGGGTGATGGAGCCGCGGTCGTCCCTTACGCCCATCAAGCTCCTCCAGAACGATAGCCAGGGGAAACGATTCCCCAAGATAAGTAATCGAGCCCTTCTCAATCACATCTTCGCCGCGTAAGTGGCTCTCGAGCAGGTGATCGAACATAGTGGCCCAGCTGAGCTCACGATAAGAGGAGGTGCTCACGTCCGTACGAGCTGAAGGAGAAATGTCATCAGGTGGAGCACCGGCCAGTGCTGGGGTTTGTTGGCTGTACCAGTTAATTTCCACATCGTTTGTGATATGACTGCGGGCATTGTTTACGGCAGATTGCTTGCGAGCAGGCATAACAGGCGCTAGAGAGTTCTGTTCTGCTGTCGTAGATGGGATAGTCTCGATCACACCATCGTCGTCGTTGCTGCGCTGTCTTGCTTCGTCACTCCTGACGTTTGGCCCATTCTTACTTGTGACCGCTTGGACAATAAGACCCTCCTGGTAGCCTAAGCCGCAATTGTTCCCGTTGGCGCTATCAATATCGTCCCCTGGGGCAGGCTCAGACTGTGTGTTGCTGACACCAACATTAGCCTTGTTGCTGATCTTGTCGCCAGTCCGACGGGTTTTCCGCGGATATATCCCCCGGCGGGATTCGATGAGGGCACACTCAGGCTCATTCTTGTGTTCACATCGCGTGCAAGGGGTGCCACGTTCGCTTGCATCACACTTCACACGAAGCTCGTTGCACCGTCGACAGGCTTTGGCAGCACGACAGCGATTCACGGGTCCTGCGCGAGAGCGTGGTGGTGCTGGCTGCGCGGCCGGTTGTGTCTCTGACTGCGGTGGTGATTGGATGAGCATGGTTCGCGCTGCAAATTCTCAGGCTTATAACCGCACATTGTAGGACTCCCATTCTCCTTCAAGAGTGGATGGCTCGCTAAGCCATTATCATGCTGTCCTTGCTGGCACTTCCAGACTCCTCGAGCTACCCCGCAGTAATTCATGCCAAGGTGAAAAGAGGAGAATTGCGCCACCGACGGGCACCCCTCTTCCTTCTCCCGGCTGTGTGACATATAACCGGCCACAATCCATTCAGTGCTCTTGTGATCAACTCTCAGATGACAACAGCCGGTCGATTGTATATGAGCACGTGTCTAGTGCTGGTCAGTATGGATCGCTTCCGCCACCTGGCTTGATACAGCACTCGCCTACCTGACGTCATAGCTTATCGCGACTAACAATTCCGGAAGTCGTTGCAGCTTTGAGAAAGCAGAGTATCACTCACATCCAGGGGTAGAACATTTGTTCCACTTGAAGAGAGCCTCATATTTTCTAGATCCGCGAATTTCAACAGCCTGACGATTGTGTAATATCCTCAACAAACCAACGCGCCTGCGTGACTTCGATATGCCTGCTAGCACTCGCGATTCACAGCCGCGGGTCAAGGCGCTTCGCTTTTATGACCGCGGTGATCTGCGTCTGGAAGAAGTTGAAGCACTGTGAGTCTTGACTTAGTGCGACACCATGCTGCTCTGACACACTATCTAGTCCTTGCGGCTCAGATGACGTCCGACTTCAGATCAAGTACTGCGGGATCTGCGGTACTGATGTGACCGAGTACACCAATGGTCCCATCTTCCCTCCCAGCAAGGGGCACAAGAACGCCTTGACCGGAGTCTCGCTGCCTGTCGTGATGGGACATGAGTTTGCAGGAACCATCACTGAGGTCGGTTCGAGCGTCACAGAATTAACCACCGGCCAGAGAGTGGCGGTAAATCCTGCTTGCGACCATCGCCATTACGCTTCTGAACATTGCGATCCCTGTCGAAACGGTCACTACAACATCTGCGATGCTACAGCGACCTACGGGTTGAGCGCGCCAGGTGGTGGCTTTTCTCAGGAGATCGTCGTCAAAGCGATCAATTGCTTCGTCTTGCCTGAGAACGTGGATCTGAAGTCAGCTGCGCTGGTTGAGCCTCTTGCGGTGGCTCATCATTGCATCAAGCTTGCAGACTTCAAGGCTGGACAGACTGCACTAATCTGCGGGGCTGGTCCTATCGGCCTCGCGATCTTATTGATCCTTCGCGTCCTAGGCGCGTCCAAGGTCATTGTGACTGAAGTACTTGAGACACGAATGTCGCAAGCTCGGAAGTTTGGAGCAGACTGCGTGCTCAGCCCATTGCAGTCTTCTGACATCGACACGAGCGACGAGAAAAGTACGCTCGATGCCATCCGTGACTTTACCCAAGGTGGTGTCGATGTGGCATTCGATGCCACCGGACTGCAATCAACGCTTGACCTTGCAATCGCTGCTTCAAAGCCTCGTGGTACCATCTTCAATGTCGCCATCCACAAGAAGCCACTATCTTTGAATCTCAATCTTCTTGCCATCAAGGAAAAGCGACTGTTGGCCGGCATTTGCTATCTAGCAGAGGATTTCGAAGCAGTCATCCAGATGATGGCGGATGGAAGTCTCCAAGCAGATGCCATGATAACGTCCATCGTTCCGTTGTCGGACATCATCGAAGGAGGATTTGAGCAATTGATACATAACCGGGATGCGCATGTGAAGATATTGATACGGCCCGATTGAATTCTCGTTTGATCGAGCTACACATGTCAAAGTTATCTGATTCTGCCACCCTTTTAATCTGTTGTACCTCGTTGTGCTTTGGTGAACGCCTCCCACGGTGGCTGGTTACAATCCTTTTAACGCTTCACGCAAGCAAAGTATGGCCGGATCACGATTGCACGATTGTCTGTCGGGGAAACGAGCCTGAAATTTTTAGTCCAGAGTCGTCAAAAGTTGCACTCAGCTAACAGACGGCACGACTGTTTTGCACATTGAGGACATTTCGCCGAGAGTCAATGCAGGTCGCACTTACAAGACCCAGCGCAGCGTCGCCGAGATACGTAGTACCTTGCTACAACTAATTGAAGGACTGAGAGGAAAGAGCAGGAACACTATGGTTATATTCGACAAAGACTAGACAACTTCAGAGAAGAGTCCTGAGACCATGCACCATGCTAACAACAGCCACCGGTGTTAATGCAGTCCATAGGACCAGCCTGGTCCAAGGAGCTAGAGGCAACGATATCTTGCTTCCCGACAGATTGAAGTCCTCCCAAACAGGCCAGTACAAATCCCACCAGAACTTCCACGTTGGATCATGGTAGTTGGTAGTGTTTCTACCAGCTTCGTTCAAGTTCCAATTCGCACATCCACCACTCCAGACCATTGTCTTCAGTTTCTCTTGTACGTGCATGGTGTTATAGTTTTCCGCGGCCTGCTTGACGTTAAGCGTTTCGAAGCTGCCGTCCAAAACGGGCTTGATGAGAGTTTTGACGATAAACTCGGCCTGCGTTTCGTTTGTGAAGATGACGGAGTTGTGTGCAGGGAATGCATTCGGCCCAAAGACGATACCAAAGTTGGGAAAGCCATGGACGAACGTAGCTCTATAGGCTTGAGCACCTCTGGTATCCTCCCAATGCTCATTCAGAGTCTTGCCCTCAGTACCAATTATCTCTATGGGGGATAGGAACTCTTGAATCTTGAAACCGGAGCTCAAAATGACTGCGTCGAAGTCGACGGATCGTTTGGGTGTTGTCAGGCCAGCCTTGGTGAAACCTGTGATTCGCTCATTGGTGAGCTCGACGTTGGGCTCGTGGAGGGATTGAAGGTAACCAGGATCGAAGATACGACGCTTGCATCCGAGCGGGAAAGTAGGTATCAGTATATCCAAGTATTTCTTTGGCGCGGTCTTCCTCATGTAGCTCTCGGCTTCGACCTGAGCTGCTGCCCGCTTTCTGTCCAGAACATCTGTGCCCGTGACGTATAGATTATGGAGCGCATCAATAGACAGCCAAGTCGAAAATCGGTACCATCTAGCATAGAAAGGAATGTTGCGGAAGCACCATTTTTGGAGTTCCGAGAAAGCAGGATTAGGCCGCTCATTGATCCACTGAGGGGACCTTTGGAATTGAATGACCTGTGCAGCCTCTCTCGCGACATGAGGCATCAACTGAGCCGCTGAGCATCCATTTCCAATGACAGCCACTCTCTTGTCTTTCAGGCTGTAATTGTGGTTCCAACGGGCAGAGTGGAAAATCGAACCTTGGTAATCTTCGTGGCCGGGGATGTCGCAATCTTTCGGAATGGAGATAGTACCGACACAGGACACGAGCATTTCCGCCTCTTGATGATGGACCTTCTTGGTGGTCATGTCTCGAAGACCGACGCGCCACACATTCTTTTCGCTGATCCATGTCGCTGCGACAACTTCGATACCGAGTTGTACGTGTGGCCGCACGCCGAACTTGTCCACTGTGTTGTTCAGATATTCGAGGATCTCGTCTTGTTCGGCAAACTTCCTTGACCAGTTGGGATTCAGGTTAAACGAGAATGAATACAGGTGAGAGTCGACATCGCAACCAACTCCAGGATAGGTATTGAGGTACCAGGTCCCACCGATGTGACTCTCTCTCTCATAGATAGTGAAGTTCTTGTATCCGAGCTGGAATCGTAAGCGGGAAGCCAAAGCTATACCAGCAGTTCCACACCCGATGATGATGAGACGAGGCTCGGTGGGCGCCATGTCGATGCTTGTGCAATGTTGTTGTTGGACGTTGGGTTTTGGGGAACAGAGTTACGACTGGCATTCTGCTGGTATTTTGTCATGGATGTTTAAGTTGTAGAGAAACAAGCACACAGAGGCAGAAGCGGCTACATGACAAGCAGCCGGTCGATCGGTGAATAAGGTTCTGTGCGGGGTCACACAGGATCTAGCAGGCTGCAGGCGAAAGGGACATCTCCTGTGGTTTCCGCTTTCTCTTACGTTCTATTTGCTGCTCGGGAATCATGATGTCTTGTTGATCCAGCGCATTACGCATGTGAAGCTTCAACAATGGAGCTTGAACGCCCCTGATGAACGCCGCTTCTCCGAAAGTCCCCCTTTCCCCACGATCGCTCAAACAACAACAGGCAGCCTTTTTGTCTGCATATACCCGGCACCTTTTCGGAGACTGCACCACTTTGCGATATAGCTGGACATTATGGAGCCATCGGAGTGCTCGGTCTCGCTTGGAACCTCTTTACATTACACACTACTGTATTCAGCAGCCTCTCGCTTCCATCAACCGGTTCACACATAGATCGATCAGTCAACAGTTCTCGCCATCATCCAGCAACTATGCACAAGGCAGCAGTTCTCTATGGAGCTAAAGATATCAGGATTGAAGATGTAGAGACGCCAGATCTAAGACCACACGAGGTTCGTGTCGCCCCACGAGCAACAGGTATCTGCGGTACCGACCTGCATTACTATCAGAACGGCAAGAACGGGATATACACTATACGACAACCTCTGGTTCTGGGTCACGAAGCTGCTGGTGACATCGTTGAAGTCGGTTCAGCTGTGTCGAATCTCAAGCCTGGCGACCGCGTAGTCGTCGAGCCGCAGCTTGCCTGTTCAGCATGCCAACAATGTCGTCTGGGTAAATACAACTTGTGCAAGAGCATGCGTTTCAACGGATCTGCCAGTGCTTCTCCGCCTGCTCAAGGATCTTTACAGAAGCTTTGGACTCATGCTGCATATCTGTGTTATCTCCTGCCGGAGAATCTCACCTTCGCCGAAGGGGCGATGGTTGAGCCATTGTCGGTGGCGTTGCATTCCGTCAGGAAGGCCAAGCTCGAAGCGGGCCATTCTGTCTTTATTACGGGAGCAGGCGCAATTGGGTTGCTTTGTGCTCGCGTCGCTAGGATATCAGGAGCTGCAACAATCACCATGGTAGATGTCGACGAAGCACGGCTCGATTTCGCAAAGAAGCACGGGATCGCCGACAAGACTTACACAATTCCGATGGACAGAAAAGAAGGTGAGACAGGCCCGGAGTTCTCGGCGAGAATGAGTACGGAGATTCAGGATCTTCTCAAGATACCTCAGGCTAATGTCGCATTCGATTGCACTGGCATTGAGTCTTGCTTGAATATTTGCATTGCGATGGCAGGTCCAGGCTCAAGAGTTGTGATCGTTGGTATGGGCAGACCGGTGCAAGAGGTCAATATTGCCCTTGCTTTGATTCGTGAGATCGAGATCGTCGGTGTTTGGAGATATGCAAATACGTTCCAGCCCGCGATCCACTTGATAGAGGCTGGGATGGTGGATGTCAAGTCTCTCGTCACACACCAATTTGAGATAGAGGATGTCGCGAGTGCCCTGGAGTTTGCTCTGCAGAGACCAGCAGATTTAGTGAAGTGTGTGATAACGTCGAGTTGATGTATCAGAACAGTGTCGAGGACCGTTAGATTGGAGATTGCAGTCAATTGGAGAAATCTTGACAGGTTGAAAGTCGGTGAATAAATTCGCGTGTCACGAATGCCACATCCATGGCGTCATATCCCACAGTGCTTCCACATTGAAGACGGCAATATGCAGTCCAGATGCTCATACATAAAGCGATGTTAGCGCATGGTGTATATAAACCTCTACCAATTCCCGATATCCAGCCTCGAGCCAGGCCCTTGATAACTGTAGGAGACAAAGTCCAAGTCATAAACGCCGCTCAATCTCTGGCATAATCTTGCACCCACAAAGAACATGTCTCCCAAAGTCTTCGTGTAAGTGGAATCAGATCAGAGTATCATATTTCGCTGAATAAAAGCAGCACGGGTGTCACAGGATACATTGCCGGCGATGCTGTCTACATATTGGCTGGCACCATGCCAGAGATCAACTTCACTTTCCTCGTTCGAAGCAAAGAAAAGGCTTCCGCTGTTCAAGAGGCATATCCAAACAGCCGCACCGTGTTGGGAGACCTGGACGACTACGAGCTTTTGGAACAAGAGTCTGCTACAGCAGATATCGTCCTTCGTGAGTTTCAAAGGCACTCGGTCCGGTGACTTGCGCTGACAGCAGACAAGATGCAGCAGATGCTTCAGATCACGAGGGTGCAGCCAGGGCTATTGCAGCAGGATTGGCACGTGGGCACTCTAAAGAACGACCCGGATACTGGCTACACACTGGAGGAACAGGCATTTTGTGCTACAAAGACTCCGCAAACAACTTTAAAAGTCTTGGACAATGGACAGATGAACAGTACGATGATCTTGAAGGCATTGATTCCGTGGTAAATCTTCCTGATGAAGCCTTCCACCGAAATGTCGACAAAATTGTGCTCGAGGCAGGCACCAAGAATAGAGAGATTGTGAAAACGGTAATCATCTGTCCTCCGACCATTTACGGTGAGTCAAATGCTTCCCCCTAGATGTCGGCAATCGCTGACAGATTTGTAAAGGCACTGGCCGCGGTCCCGTCAGCCAACGTGGCCGTCAGGTATATGAAATGGCCAAGCTCATACTCTCTCAAGGATTCATCCCAGTTGTCGGGCAAGGAAAGGCGAGATGGAATAACATTCATGTGGCTGACTTGAGCAATGTCTATAAGTCTCTTGTGATGAAAGCTATTGCTCACGATCTCAGTGAGAATATTTGGGGCAAGGATGGATACATGTTTGTCGAGAATGGTGAGCATGTCTGGACCGATCTCGCTCAGCTCATGGCCAAAGAAGCACTGGAACACGGATACATACAGGATCCTCAACACGAATCACTGAGCAAAGATGCAGCTCTCGAGCAGGCTGGCTTTGAAGCCGTCAGTTGGGGCCTCAATTCGCGGGCCAGAGCAAAAAGAGCCGGGAAACACCTTGACTGGAAGGCAGACAGACCATCACTCGAAGAGACTGTTCCTGAGATAATCCGCCAAGAGCATGACCGCTTGTCGACTACGTAGCTGATAATACCGAGCATCATATTTGGGCTTATTTTCATACAGAGAGACGCGATCGCGTAAGCGAGCGAGTGATCCTTCATGCGTAAAAAGGTGATTCTTCAGTCACCGCTCTAAGTGAAACGCCTATCTGACCAAGTTTCCGGTTGTATGCATCTCAGACCGTCGGGTCAACTTGGTCCTATCACGGCATAAGAACAAGCACAAAGCCGTGTTCGAGAATATCTTTCGACAAACCACAATCTCTTCGGCCATCATTCTTCGAAACCAGGCTATATCAATTCTGAACAAATTCCTCCGCAATAATGTCGGTCCGAGCCATCCTCCTCTACCCGTTCAAAGCAGGCTCCACCTTCAACATCAACTACTACATCAGTACCCATATGCCTTCAGTCGCCAAGCTATACGGTCCTTATGGTCTTGTAAGATGGGAAGTCTTACAGTTTTCTGGAGACGAGACATCACCTTATATCGTGCAGACTGTACTTTTCTGGGATAATCTTGATCAATTGAATGCCGCGAATTCAAGTGACGGTGCAAAATATCTGCGCGAGGATATCAAGAACTTTAGCTCGGTTATGCCCGTCGCGTTGGTTGGTAATATCGCAGGCCAGTCTTGAGGCCATAGTCGGGCAGAGAGATCTGATCGTTGGCCAGAATCAGATATTTGCATCTACAAGCCACCTAATACCATACCTTTTCGCGTGCCGGAGTGGGGCACGCTTGTAATTATCGCAAAGCACGAGACTTTCCAGATCAATAGCCGGGCCACCGAGATATGATGATTAAACGACTCCCTGCCTGATCATCTGTACATGGATTATTACTGTGCTTCTCCACAGCTTATCTGCGACCTGCTCTGCTTTAGTCATGAAAGTGAGCATTTGTCTTTCTGTCACTAGACTCGATCATATCACGCCTGTCTTCAATGATAGGACGTGCACCGTTCGCAAACGTACTAGAAATATGGTCAAAGATTTGCTTGTACTACCTCTCGAACGCAGTAGTCTCAACACTCTCTGGATACCTAAGATCGCACTGCCCTCGTATATTATCCATGACCTCCATGATCAAGACACTCTCTTTCCATGGCATGACCTCACTTTCCAACAATCCGTCCCTTACGCATCTGGCCGCCTCGTCGGCTTCATAGAACATACCATGTCCGCCAGCAGGAAATGGGCAACTGATCTCACGAATCTCGACAGACTGGTCTCCAATTTTCAGGGGAATGACTTTGTAACGGTCTGGTTGGAAGGCCATACCAAACACCTGTATCTCACCTCTCGTGCCTTGGATCCGAACGGTAGGTCCAGCTGATCCTCTTTGGTCTGGATCCGAAGCAAGTGGAAAGGCAGTCATTCCAACACCGTGTGACGTCCTCGACAGCTCATTGATAGGTGTAGTCGTTGGAAAGGATATGATGAATGTGGTGTCTTCGTCGACTCCAGTTTTTGGGTATTTCACCATGTGAGACATAATCTTGCTCGGAGGTTGTCGCTTGTCGACAGGCAGCGTATGGTACATTGTCTGAAAAATCCAGGTGATGGAATAGATCCCGACTAGGAGAGGGTCAGCTCCCGGTCGAAGGGCAACGTAAATCTCCCGAGCTGAAGAAACTCACTCTCAAGCAATGCGCCGCCAGCGAGGTCGAGGTTGACCTTTCTCCGTTTCTGCTCCAGCCAGAGATCATCTACATCTTCGCCCATACTAGTATCCGCAATTACTCGGAGGACTTCCCCGATCTCACCATTTGAGATTATGTCGCGGATTTGTATGCTCAACGGGAAGTATCGTGTCCAGACAGCGTCCAGAAGGAAGAGGTTCCGCTCCTTTGCGACCTGATAGAGGATTCGCGCCTGAGCAGCATTGACTGTGATTGGCTTTTCACAAACAACGTGTTTGCCAGCGTATAAACACTCCAGGGTATGTTGAAAATGGTGCGAATGTGGACTAGCAATGTAGATGATGTCGACGTTCTTGTCATTGACCAGCGCGTCATAGGTTCCATAGCATGCGCAATCTGACGGTGCCTTGACCTTGATCCTGAATGTCTCCGCCCGAGTTCTGCCAGAAGACGACGCTATCGCTGCCACAACATGAGAAACGTCCTTGACGTCGCGGGTGGTCGGATCAATCAAGAGATCAACAGTGAATTCTAAATCAAACACATGAGCAGGACCAGACGCCATGGAAAAGCTGAGATACTCACTCTCCGCAATCCATCCAGTTGCTGAACCCATTATGTCAGTGACGCATTCACAAGGCAAGTGCAGTCGGCCTCACCCAAAATTCCCCACTTGAGTTGGAAGACCATTTTTGAAATGCTTATGCAGCTGCGAGCCTGCCAACAGAGTCAAACAAACGCCTCTCAATTCATCTAGTGAACTCGATTCATATTCAGCATCGGGTTCTTTTTTAAATCTCTCTGCCTCTTCAATTTGGATTTTATTGGCTCTGGCTGACAATGGTCGGTGATGACATGTCGATGTCATATAGCCGTGCTGCACGTCGAAGATCGTACCCGGTACCTCAACTCCCGAGCGCATCCCGCAGCCACCCACTGAAATGCGCAAACTGTTCTCTCACTGGAACACTGGAATATAACATGGCTGTATCAACGCATAGTCTGTTCTTGAATACTGGGAGCATCATGGAAAGTCTGCGGAGGCAGGCTTCTCCTGCAACAGTCTTGCTCCTTACCAAAATTTGTGCACTGCAGTAGCTTAGAGGATGATGACCTCGCATATGGGAGGAGTCACTCTTGTCATGCAGCCGCACAATCAGTCCAAACGAAGAAGCCGGTCGCTGTCTGCATCCATCCCACCTCCACACCACGGACACTGCATCGCGGGGCCCCGGATCGCCTTATCTTGGCCAAGACTAGAACAATCCTTTCCAGACATATATGGAGACACGTATCTACTAGTATCATACTCTTGCACTGCCCACAGATCTTAATTAGTATCTTACCGTTGACTCCCAGCCCAGCTCTGAACTTCACAACATCATCATTACCGCTCTCGAGATGCCTCTGCGTGGTCATGCCCTGACCGTCGGTATTACTGCCACATGTGGCTTCTCCTTCATGCTCTTCGGCTGGGACCAGGGTGTATTCGGAGGCATATTGAACAACCAGACCTTCGAAAAACAATTCGACTACCCCAATGCCCTCATACAAGGTCAGATTGTCTCTACCTACGACATTGGGTGCATACTCGGTGCAGTCATGTCTCTCTACTTCGGTGACCATCTTGGTCGACGTCGCTCAGTCGCCATGTCCTCCATGTGGGTCATCCTCGGAGGAGCCATACAAGCCTCGGCCTTTTCACTCCCTCAAATGATTATCGGCAGAATCATCGCTGGTCTGGGAATCGGACAAAGCACTGCAGTAGTACCGATGTGGCAAGCTGAGACCAGCAAGCCCGAGCATCGTGGCAAGCTCGTTGCTCTACAGCTCGTGATGGTCATCTTTGGCATATCGCTGACCAACTGGATCAATCTTGCTATGACTTACGTGCTGGACAACGAGGTGACCTGGCGCTTTCCTCTTGCCATGCAATGCTTCTGGGCTGTAGTCACCATCAGTCTGCTGCCTTTCATGGTAGAATCACCTCGATGGCTCTGTTACAGAGAAAGACATGCAGAGGCACGTACTGTGCTTGCGCGCTTGGCGAATCTCGACGAAGATGATCAACAGGTTGCTGGAGAGCTGAAAATCATTTCCGAAACAATCGCCGCGGAGAAGGCTGGCGGCAAGATTGCGTGGTCGGAAGTTTTCTCTGGAGGTGAACAACAGAACTTTAGGCGTATTGTTTTGGGGGCCGGGACCTCCATCTTCCAACAGATGGGGGGTATCAATGTGGTATGCCTACCTTGATAATCTCTTTCTGCTTGTGAGCCACAAGTATACTGATCAAATCGTCAGGTCGTGTATTACTTCCCCGTCATCCTCACCGAATCTTTCGGCTTCAGTCCCAGACTCGCGCTGATACTCTCTGGCGTCGACTTCATCTCCCTCATGTTCTGGGGATCTTGCGCATCACTCTTGATTGATCGCTTTGGACGTAAACCTCTAATGCTGTTTGGCGCGATCGGTTGCGGTATCTGCTTCACACTGGTAACGGTCGGTCTGGCTCTCGGCACAAAACCTACTCTGGCCATGTCTGTGTCCTTTATCTTTGGGTACCACTTGTTCTATGTAAGTTATTGCACTCGGTTAGATGTGTGAACAGTTACCTGACTAAACTTCTTTCTAGGGCGTATCATTCCTCTGCATCCCATTTCTCTACCCGTCCGAGATCAACTCGTCTCGCATGCGCAGCATTGGCAATTCTATCGCCATGGTCACCAACTGGCTCTTCGTCTACGTAGTGGTCCTTATTACCCCAAGTGGTCAGTCATCATAAGTGACATCCGGCAGTCCTCGCACTCGCTAACATCAGTCTAGCCATCACCAACATTGCTTGGAGATTTTACATCATCTTCGCCGTATTGAACTTTGCATGGTTCCCAATCATATACTTCTTCTACATTGAGACCAAAGGACTCTCTTTGGAGGAAGTGGATCTCATGTTCAAGATTAGATACCATTCGACCACGAAGATGAGCTATGAGGAGGCTGCTGTACTTGCCAAAGAGGAAGCGAACGTGATGCGCCAAGGTGGTTCGGTGGTGGCCACGGAAACGAAGGGGACGAAGGATTTTGTTGAAAGAAGAGAATACGTGGGAGATGGTCGTATGTAGATGAGTTCTTGGACCTTGTACCTCTACGCACGACGCCAGATCATAATTAGTCACTTTGATCACGTTCACTTGTTCCGTGGTCAAATTTACCGCCCCAGAGCTTACTTATGACTCTCAGTCAGGACACGAGACCCTGAGACGCTTCGGTATGCACGTGGTCAGGGTGCGGAAAAGGCTACTTGCCGAGTTCCGGGTCGAAAAGTGAGCGAGGCCAAACAGAGCTGCGTTGATCACGCACGTGTGCAATCGCCTGCAACCTTGCAGTCTTTACACCCTTGAGCAGTGGGTACACTGTTTCTCAACAAATACCCAACGAAGGTCAATGGGTCCTGATTTACGGCAGGCAGAAAACATGTCGCGCTACATACTCCCACGTGCAGACTATTTGCTACTTCAATGGTTGAACGCAGTATATATGCCGCGCCCTCAATCAGTGGGTGGCAAGAGGGATCGTGTGCACTGAACGATAACCAACGATTCTTACTTGTGCGTAGCCAACTGTTTGAGCTATAATACCCTTCAGAGAGTACACCTTCTGGACTCCCAAGTACTGTCAAGCCATTCCAAGCTTTTCCAGGCATTCGCACCCGAAAGCTTGATTCACCATGGCAGAAGTATATCCCGAGATTTCATCCCATGACAACACCACCGACAAACGACCGCCGCAACACACGTCGTCGGAATTGAGCGCATCGGAAAGCAACTCGCTTGAGACCAGGACTACTCGACAAAAGATCAGCGATTTGTTTACCATTTTTGCTGCTGGTGCTGCTCTCATCAGCGATGGCTACCAGAACAATCTCATGACGATGACGAATGTCGTGCTGCGCAAAGAGTATCCCAAACAATACACTTCTTATTTCAGTACCGCCGTCTCCAATGCTTTGCTTGTTGGCGAGATTATCGGGCAGATTGTCGTTGGCCTCACCTGCGACTATTTTGGCCGCAAGTTTGCAATCATTGTCACAACTTTCATGATTGTCGTGGGCGGAATTCTTGCGACTGCGGCCTCAGGCACCACCATTCACGGCATGTTCTGGATGTTGATCGTTGCACGCGGTATCGTCGGGTTTGGTACTGGCGGTGAGTACCCTGCAAGCTCGACTTCCGCAAGTGAAGCTGCCAACGAGCAGAATCTGAAGCATAGAGGTCCGCTATTCATCCTGGTCACCAATCTTCCACTGTCTTTCGGTGGCCCCCTCGCTGTCTCGATCTTCCTTATTGTTCTGTCTGCCGCTGGCCAAACCCATCTCGGAATTGTATGGCGCGTCTGCATGGGCATTGGCTGCCTCTTGCCCCTCACTGTCTTCTACTTTCGAATGAAGATGCTCAACTCGAAGTTATACCGTCGTGGTGCCATCAAGAAACGAGTTCCATACACTCTCGTGCTGCGATACTATTGGAGGCGACTTCTGGGCACATGTGGTGCATGGTTCTTGTACGACTTTATCACATTCCCTAACGGAGTTTTCTCGGCCACAATCCTGAGCGGTGTTGTTAAGAAGGGCCCTCACAATATCCGCTCGACTGCAGAATGGCAGCTCTTACTTGGGGCAATTGCACTGCCTGGCGTGATACTGGGAGCTTGGCTCTGCAACCGTATTGGTCGTAAAAATACAATGATGCTCGGCTTCAGCGGCTACCTGGTCTTTGGTCTGATCATTGGTTGCGCCTACGAGCAAATCACCAAGATTTTACCTTTGTTTGTCATCTTTTACGGTCTGATGCAAAGCTGTGGTAACATGGGTCCCGGGGATATGCTCGGCTTGCTCTCGAGTGAGAGCTATGCCACAGCTGTGCGTGGTACCTGCTATGGCATTTCAGCTGCGCTGGGCAAGACTGGCGCGGCATTGGGCACCCAAGCCTTTACTCCCATCCAGTTGCACCTTGGCAAGAGATGGACCTTTATTGTGGCGGCAATCTGTGGTGTCGCTGGCATCCTGGTCACGTACTTCTTCGTGCCTGATCTCAAGGGAGATGACCTCAAGAATGAGGATGAAGCGTTTCGTGCATTTCTTGTGTCTAAGGGATGGCAGGGCGAAATGGGGGAAGATGACCTCCAAGCTCTTGCTGACGACGGTATGCCATCTTCAATGGTGGAAGAGGTCAAAAGAGCTTGATTTGGAGGTCGGAAAAGATCAATATAGAATCCGTGTTCTATCTGGCGCCAGATTACATAACAGTATAGCATTGTCACTTTGCTTCATCGTAGCTACAATCAACTTCCTGATTTATTTTCCTCTCCAAAGGATTGACCACGCTAGCCGAAAGTAGCTCAATGCCAGAAACTTCCAGATTCACACACACGGAAACTAAACGCTTCTGATCGAACTTGTGACAAATCCATCGCGACTCTTCCTTCCTCTCTTCCAATCAGAGAATCTCGATGTTGCCCATCCACTCATGTCATTGCATCAATAGCAGCTTGTGTCTTGTTCTCCGACACAATCATAGTCAAAGACACCATCGCAAAAGAAGACCATGAACGTTACGAAGTATTCAAATCACTCGAGACCAACGACACCTTCTCCTCCTATGATGCAGTCGACGGCATAGTACCCATTGCTATACTCTACGACGACGTTGCTGTCAGAGCCGAAGCGAGGTTTATCGATAGTGGACTTGGCCAGCACCGGATGGCACAGTTCAAAAGACAGGTGGGCGGCCTTTTGGCAGCGCAGGGCAATGGAGGTCGCGAGCCCGAGACGAAGACTGAAAGCTGTGATGACCAAGTACAGGGGTCATAAATTCGCAGTACCAATGTCGGAACCGGAGATTTGATTCGTATGATGAAGTCCACCGTGATAGCTGTATCAAGGCACAATGCGTTCACGACACATAAGGGGTTCCAAGGAGAGCTGTTCTCCAATTTTTCTTCTCCCTCGAGTGCCCGAACTTGGATTCGACTGCGCATTCCAGCAGCTTCTCCTGAAGTCGCTCTGTCACAATCAGAGCATGTGATTCAAGCAATTACAAGGTCCCAAACACTAAGCATTCTCCATCTCTCGTGAGTTTTGTACTCAAGTAAGTCATTGTCTATTGTACGAAGGCCATCCAGATCCTCAGAAAACGCATGCACTACTGCTCAGCTGATTAACAAGCCAAGACAAAGCTGTGCCACTCTGTCTTCCAGTCACCGTCTTGACATCTAGGCCACACTCGACAAAGAGCTTGTGCCCATTGTGAATCGTCCAATTTTGGTAACTCGTCCCACCGTTCGGCCTCTTCCCTTTCCTTTCTCTCATGCACGTCTTATTCTTTAGAGATACACTCATGGAGTTTATCGTCACGTTGACTTCCGGTGCAGATCCATGAGCGCGTGATGTATCGTAGTACTTCGAGTAAGTCGCAATTATTGCCACCATGGCCTCTCAGGCCCTCATTTCGAAGCTCCAGTATCTCGAAGCGTCGAGCGTAACAAGGCTTCGACCTGGAGATGAGGCTGAAGACCGAATGGGCAAGATTCTTGTCCATTGCTATTAGTGCGCTGTCCAGTTGATCCTTTGTGCTTGTATCGATTGTTTGACCATTTTCGCATGCATCCGCAAACTCTTGGCAGGACCTCCAGCTCCAGGTGAGTGACTGTGGACAGAGAACAGATAGATGCTCTTTGCGAGGAGAAGGTAGCCGTCTCAGCGCTTGGTAAGTAACAACCTCTTCGGCATTGCCCTGTGAGCGGAACATACACAGCGAGAATTCCTCCAAAGTAGGACAAACGTGTCGTAGAGTGTCAAGGCACCCCGGATTTGCGAGTAAAAACCGACTTTGTTGGAATGAATCCGCTGATAGCATTGCTATGGATGAGAAGAGGAGACGCCGTAATTGAGGACCGCAATGGCCAAGTGCAAGAGCGATTGATCGCGGTTCGAAGATGCCAGTCAACTTCAGAGTCTCAAGAGGTGGCAAAGAGAGTAGCAGGACTTCCAATGCCTCCGGGAGACTGGTCAGAAGGTCTATCAATGTCATCCGTCATGATATGGAGGACCAAATCTCTAAGCGACGACAATCGGCATGAGTCGTCAACCGAAGAAGTTCGCCAGTATTAACATGGCTGTGGACCATGAGACTCTGCAACTTCGAAAAGTCAGTGCATTGATCCCAACGCATCAGCGCGTGTGCTGTATCTCTTGCAACTATCTCCAAGACCTGCAAGGATCCTCGGGCGGATGTGAACAAAGCGGGAGTGATCGTCTTTTCTGGCCATTGTCGTCTTAGCTTCTGCCAAGCTAGAAGATGCAATGGGCCGCCGTCGCTTTTGTTACAAAGAAGGTGGATCTCTCGAAGATTAGGTGCTCCGCCAGCTACCTTTTCTGCCACAGCATCCTCGTTGTAATTGACAAATCCTCCCTCGTCAAGAAAGGTGTACTCCATAGTAAGGCTGTAGAGACGTGGCGATGTAGCAAGTTGTAGGTCTTGTGGGTCGATGTTGATCGTAGCCTCGGGCTGCTGATAAATACTGCGCAGCATTAAATTCTGCATGTGTAGCTGTGGTTGTGGTCGACTACTGTTGATGTATTCCAAAATCAATGGAGGCATCCGTTCCATAAAACCCCATGTGAGTCTTTGGAGAGCAGGGAGTCTCTTGACGAACTGGCTGAGAGGTCTCCATCCAGCTTCACTAGTAACGAGCTCCGACTCATCTCGATCTATGTGAATGTACTTCCGGATATTTAGTGGTCAATCTCCACAGTCCATGAAACGATAAGATGAATGGGGTCTCCAAAGTCTGCTAGGAAGTAGTCGAAGATGGTGCACATAGTTGAAGCTCTCGGAACGCCCAAGTACGTGTTTCCAATGGTCGATGCTAACACCAAGCGTCTCATGCGACGAAAATTTGATACTTATCGCACGGAAAATGTGCCTGTTTGTTGCTTGTCTGCATCCTTTGTCTGCTAAAGAGAAGTTGACTAGGCTGTCCGAGTCGAGATGGGAACTGATCCGAGTGAGCAATTCCGGCGGCAGAGTCTCCATCTCGGGACACGTTCGATAGTCGTCAGGACATGTGTTCAATGACTAGGTGCGGAAAGCTTGTTTGACGCTTGGTGTACAACTCGCAAGGCGTACCCTCCCGGTGTGCGAAAGACTGTCACACTCGTAGCTGTCTCAAGGCACGAATTTCTCTATATCCGGTGCGATGGCACCGGAATACAACCTTCTAACGACACTCCGCGCAGGAGTACCAATATAAGATATTATTATTAAGAATAGATTAGTGTAACAGGGTTTAGCACCCTAAGCTCCTACGTTTTCTGCGTAATGTATCAGAAAATCGACACCCCAAGCTTGCCGCGAGATCTCCACATGTTGACACCGCACACGTGCTTTGATCGGCGAATCCCGCCAGGGTCCTGATTCAAATCATACCAAAAGCATCCCACAACAGGCAAAGCATTCTCGAGATGCCCACCTCAGCAACACTTCTGCGTACGCTCAAAAGTCACTGTGAAGAAGTTGGCCATTTCAAATTGTCTCCGAATGCGCAGCTACTAGCATCTGCGGATAATCGAGACCTGAGACTTCGGGACGTCACCACCGGTGGGTTGGTTTTTGCGACAGACGCGCATGGTGAATTAATCTTCAATATTGCTTTCTCGCCTGACAGCAAGCGAATTGCGACAGTTGGCTCCGAAGGTTATGCTCGGATATGGAATACAGACTCCGCTCAAGAGCAGTGTGCCTTGAGTGTCGACGGTGAACCCATGCTTGCGCTCGCCTTCTCTCCAGATGGTAAGCTACTGGCAACAGCTTCGGAGGTCGTGAGATTGTGGAATCCGGACACTGGACTACTGCTGCATACTCGACTTGGTCCAGGCGACCACAATTTTCTTTCTCCTGAAGCTGTGTGGCACAGGGACGAATACCCAAACGAAATTGGTCAAGTAAGATTCTCCCCCGATGGCCAGACATTGGTTTCTACATGCCATAGTACCAACACTACACGGCTCTAAAATGTGCAGACCTGGAAGCTACAACGAACTATCCAGGGCTACTCGGCCAGATTTTCGCCCGACGGAATGCAGTTGGCATTTGTCGTCAACGGATCTGCAGTTATACATCAGCTGACAAACGCACAAATCAAGAGCATCATCAATCTGGGTCCTCGACTGAGCCAAACCCCTGTTTTCTCGCCAGATGGTCGAACTCTTGCTTCTTTTGGTCCAAAGGTAAGATTGCTTTGTGGGACGCTGGAAGCGGGCAATTGACACGATTGCTGGAAGGACACGAGCGCAGGATACATTCGGCCTTCTTCTCTCCTGATGGCAAAATTCTAATCTCGGGAGCATCAGAATGCAGCTTCAGGGTTTGGATAGTTGAGACTGGAGAGTGCCTGTTGGTACTTACTCACAAAGAATGAGCCAGATATCCGTGGGGTCAAGGTAGATGCGGTGGCAACGCGATGAAGGTCTCGTTCGGGAGTGATGGAGCGAGAATTGCTCTTGCATTTCCCAATGGCAGTGTAAGGATCTGAGAGATACATTGGGCTAAAGAAGCTGTATAGTTGCGTTTCGTTATCACGATTTTAAAGCGTATGAAGCTGCGTGAAGGCACAATGTGGTTACAAGATCGAAGGCCGTGCGCGGAGAGCTTTAACCCTTCCCTCTTCCGACGGTCAAGACTGGAAAATGACTGTGCATTGCTTCAACTCATCCACTGACTCGTCGTGACATTGGGATCATGTCTTTCATCTCTTCCAAGGGCCTTTGAACCAGACATGCTCCTTCTCAATCAGCTTTCCCTCTGGAGTAAAGTCCACACCTTCTGCCTTCAGCAAGTCAAGCTTCTTGCTCTGATTGATACCGCTCGGCGCTTTCTGCCAGTCACCCATGAAGCCACCCACAAAGCCATTAGCGGCGATGACTCGGTGACAAGGCACCTTGGGAGCATACGGGTTCTTCCGCAGAGCTCCGCCTACGGCCCGAGGAGAAGACGAGAGTTGTCGTGCAAGGATAGCGTATGAGGTGACGGCGCCGGCAGGTATGCAGAGAAGATGAGTGTAGACACGCTGCGGATCATGCATTAGAGGTGAGTTAGGAGCGAAGGGAACAATGCTTCACCTCTTGGAATGCTGTGACTTCGGATGGGGTGGGCAAGATAAAGTCATTGCCGTTCAGTGTGGTGGTTTTCTGACGTTTGCTGGCTTCCGGGCCGGGCTCTTGGGTGGTTTTGCGCTTCTTAAAGTGACGCGACGTTGTTTCCGTGAGTTCAGATGGGCCTACCATGATTGGAGTCGCCTGGAGCATAGATTGGGCTTTGGAGGTGGTCTTGAAGTCGAGCGTTCTTCGCGATTGTGTTTTGCCGGAAGCCACTGGAAAGTGAAAACGATTTATCAAGTCGGAGGGTTTTGAAGAACAAGTCGTCCTGAGGTCGAGATGAGCAACATATACGAGGGGTTCGTGATTGGTCACTTTGAGAGCAGTGGCTGGCAGTTTGTCATTCTCCTGAAGCTGGAGCGGTTAAGATGGTTGTAGGAATGCACAATGATTTTCATCTGAGCTCAAGACTAAAGGAGAGCACAAAATCGTGTCGTCTCTCACCGCGCGTGATATTTCTGTAGAAATGACCATGCATTACTGCAGTGCATGGGATGAGTTTTGATTGACGGAGGAAGCAGCGCTAGAGCAACGTTTGGTTGACGTCATGGTTCGATGTTTTGTAGAGCACGCATTGCCCAAATCAAGTCGTTCACTAAATGTCTCAGAAAATGTCGCTCGTAAGGTTTCGATCTCACAGTGTAAGATGCTGTCGTCTATGCAGCGGCCTTGCGGTGTCCGCGATGTCGCAGCACCGTCCAGATTGACGAGACAATTTCGGCCGACAGATCCGGGAAGTTGGCGTTTCGCGGAACAAGCATGACGAGGATGCTGACAGGCAGCCACAACACAAGCATTCACAACCAATTGCATCTCCCTCTCGATTCCGAACAGACACGATGGCTGCACCCTACGAGCATGAACGCCTGATCGCCGAACTGGCAGTGCAGAGGGCCTCCCTCCTGACCAAACGAATCCTCGCCGACATCGACAAAGGCGCCTTGGATAAAAGCGACCGCACTCCCGTCACTGTCGGCGACTTTGGCGCTCAGGCTCTGATGATCGGTGCCATACACCACAACTTTCCCGAAGACTCCTTTATCGGTGAAGAGACGGCCACCGCCCTACGCGAGAATCCGCAACTACAAGCCCGTGTCTGGGACCTGGTCTCCACCACACATCTGCAACATGAAGAGTCGGATAAACAATTGGGGAGCATTGCCTCGGCAGAAGACATGATGGACACGATTGATCTGGGCAATCACCCTGGAGGCCGCAAAGGCCGCATCTGGATTCTGGACCCCATCGATGGCACCGCTACCTTTATGCGCAACCAGCAATACGCCGTCTGCTTGGCCTTGATTGTCGATGGGGAGCAACAGGTGGGTGTCATCGGATGCCCTAATCTGGACATCACCTCTGGCAAGATCTCAGAGGAGAATGCGGATAATTTGGGCAACGGGCAGATGCTTTCTGCTATCAAGGGCCAAGGTGCATTCATCAGACCCTTGAGCAAAGGGGCACTCCAACCATCCAAGCCAATAGAAAGACGCGAAGATATCTCCAGCGATCCTACAACGCTCGATTTTGTGGAGTCAGGAAACAGCAAATCTGTCGACCTGGACTTCCATCGCAAAGTAGCCGAGAAGCTGGGCGCCCCATGGCCTGGTACCGACATGTGGTCATCGCAAATGCGATACATTGCCATGGCCGTTGGTGGAGGCGACGTCATGCTGCGCTTCTACAGCAAGAAAGGTCACAAGTCTTACGTCTGGGACCATGCAGGTGGCTTCCTGATCTTCGAAGAGTCGGGCGGCAAGGTCACTGATCTGGATGGCAAGCCCATTGATTTTGGCGCTGGAAGAAGGTTCGAGAACAACAGTGAGATGGTTGCCGCTCCCGGAAAAGCACAACCGCGTATGCTGCAACTCGTCAATGAAATGCTGCACGCTTGAGCTGTTACCACACCTGCTCGCTTGCTTGTTTAGTACCATTGGCTCGCCATTACAAGTAGACTAATTGCGTGCTCTCACGGACGGCAAGATCATGCAGGCTCATGTCGCCGCTTTGCGTGATCAACCAGAAGAGCACAATCTAGGCCCGATACTGCAGCCCGAATGATAGAGATCCTCGAGCATCTCATTTGAGTCACGTCACTTCCACTCACCTCTACTACAGAGCGACCACAAGCTGTAGCAAGGCACAGTAATATCTCATACCAACACGACTGGCGCAGAGAGCTCTGAACAGATACATCCCAGTGATGTCGCCGCAGATCTAGAAGCCGCCGTGCATTGCGACAACTCCGAGCGTGACAGTGTCCGTACATGGTGTGGAAGGAAGAGTACCAGACCAATTGCAAGATATCCCAAGCTTCAACATGAACCGAGGCGTTCCCCAGACAGTCCATCAACTCCAGGTTTCCTGCTGTCATAGCTAATCTCAGGCTTTCGCAGACCTACCTCAAGCTTTCGCAACGGTATCTCTTCCGTATAGGACCTCCCTAATTGGGAACTGGAGATTCTACAGAAGATAGGTACAAAATGCGAGCCACCAATGGTCACGACCACCCAAAGTAGAGCGACAGTGAAGCCGGCCGTAACTCCAATGCCAAGTTGCTTCGCCAAGTCCCGCCCGGACATGCCAAGCTGATAACATTCACTTTCACCTTCTCGCCCCATACAAGAGCCTCGGGATAGGCAATGTGGCACGTGAAATTAGGCGATGCTTTGTCTAACCTTGCAATCAAGGCGTGCGATCGCGCGACGCTCGTGCTGTCGGACGTGAAGCGGAGTTGGTACGCTGGTGATTAGACGCATACGCTGGCCAGACCCAGATCTTCGGAATCTCCATGTAGGCAAGTCTCCGAATCATCATTTCTGAATCAAGAGCATCTGAAGAAAGTGAGATAGCAGCCGTGATATCTGCTTGCGGAACTCATTTCGGACCCTTGCTCACGGCCATCAACCGGACGTCTAGACCCTGTGGAGAAGGAGATAACTACAAGGCCTCATTGCCAAGCACACCTCTTGGCCCTCGGACTTCCCATCGTCGACGTTTTGACAACCTTCCTAATCAGGCATCTGAGTTGCTGAGCGTCGTCGCGGCAATATCAGGAGATAGCCTTCCGGTCAATTAACAATCAGGAGCCAAGATGTCGCTATCTTTACACCACAAATGCAACCCTCCACAACCTCTTCGCTTTGCTTCTTGCGTGAACCAAGACTCTTGGTACCAGACGTAGTGGCGTGAAATGGTTTGCCAAGCTGATATAAACTTGTGACCGCGGCAATTTCACACCACTATCAAGCGAGGAGGATGCAGGACGACAACGCCACGCAGATAGGTCGTGTGTTCATGTCGCTCATGGCATGGGATGTTGCCACACAATGCAGAGAGAGCGCAATAGAATGGGTTCTGGAAAAGATAAGGACCAGCATTGCATTAACGGTCTGGATCTGAGGGGCATGATATAAAGCAGCCCATGCACGATCTGCTTGATCAGTGCAATTCATCCCATCACTTCATCCTTTCATTGTGCTGAACGCTTGGGTTTTGTTCACCATGGCCGAACCAGAGAAGAAGATCGCAAGAGAGGACATTCAGCCCATTGGCAAGGATGACGTGGCTATCGGTAGTGTCGCTGAGATGGTGGGTTTCTACACATCGAAAATGTCATTGACCAGTCACAATCTTAATCCTCTGACAGAAGAACGAGTCGGGAGAAAGTCTGCCCAACGACCAATTTCAGAAGTGAGTATTCATTACTGTCAAGCTGTAGTGCAAATTCTGACAAGCGCTCAGTGAACTCAACGTCACCGTCGACGATTACGTTCATGCAAGAGAGGAAGCCAACAATTTCACCCTTGAGGAAACCAGGACCATGATGGAATCGGTCTGGAAGATTCACGAGCTCGACCCCAACTTCCCGGACAGCATTCTGGACAAGATTAGGGAGTTCTTATTCAACGAGGATGTGTTTATCAACCCCGAGAAGCATGCCGACCTCATTTCGGAAATCAAGATCGAAGCCGCTTTGATTGTCAACAACTCTCCTTACGCCGAAGTCAGAGCCGTTGTCGACAACACTGATGATCCCAACATGCCTTGCGCGTCACTTCGTGCATACATTATTGGACTGCTCTTCGTCACCTTGCTTGCCTTCATCAACCAGCTGTTCTCCATCAGACAGCCTTCGATTACCGTCGAAGCAAACGTTGCACAACTGCTCGCATATCCCGTTGGAGTTGCTTGCGCGAAATGGCTTCCAGACGTAGGCTTCACCTTGTTCGGCTCACGTCACAGTCTGAACCCCGGACCGTTCTCCAAGAAGGAACACATGTTGATCACTATCATGGCCAAGGTCGGAGCTAACCTCCCTTACACTGACTACGTCGTCTGGGTACAATTCCTTCCCCACATGTTCAACCAAAGCTGGGCTAGCTCCTTTGCCTACCAGATCGTCATCGCTCTTGGTACCAACTTCATTGGTTTCGGTCTTGCTGGTATATGCCGTCGCTTCCTCGTATACCCAGCTTACTGTGTGTGGCCTACCTCGCTTGTTACCATGGCCCTCAACAACTCTTTCCACGACAGCTCCAACCCTTCTGTCATGGGACCTTTCAAGAAAGTCCTTACAATGTCAAGGCTGAAGTTCTTCGTCTTGACCTTCACTGCCATGTTCTTCTACTTCTGGTTCCCTAATTTCATCTTTGAGGCTCTGAGTATCTTCAACTGGATTAACTGGATTGCACCAAACAATCTTCACCTCTCCACCATCACTGGTATGAACAACGGACTTGGTATTAATCCTTTCCCCACGTTTGACTGGAACATCTTGCTCTGGGATCAGATGGACCCTCTAATGGTACCCTTCTTCAACACTGTCAACCGCTTCGCTGGTCTAGTCATATCCGCTTTCGCCGTTCTTGGTGTTTGGTACAGCAACACCTTCAACACTGGTTACCTGCCTATCAACTCGAACAAAGTCTTCGATCACTTTGGCAAATTCTACAACGTTACTCGCACCCTTGATGACCGCGGCTTCTTCGATGCTGAGAAGTACACTGATTACTCGCCCGCTTATATGAGCGCCGCGAACTTGACTGTCTACGCTTGCTTCTTTGCCATCTACACAGCCACCATCTCCTACGCCATCATGTACCACCGTCACGAAATCGCCATGGGCTTCAAGAACATGTTTAAGCGTGGTGACAAGAACGAGTACAACGACGTCCACAACCGTCTGATGTCTGTCTACCCCGAAGTCCCCGAATGGTGGTACCTGATCTGTCTCTGCATTTCCATCGCCTTTGGTTGCGCCGGTATCGCCGCATGGCCAACATATACCACTGTCGGTGTCGTCTTCTACGGTCTGGCTCTCTGTCTTGTCTTTGTCATTCCCATTGGAATTATCAGAGCCATCACCGGTATCCAAGTCACTCTCAACGTCTTGGCTGAGTTCATTGGCGGTGCTTGGGTCGAGGGTAACGCTCTTGCCATGAACTTCTTCAAGTCTTTCGGCTATGTTACTTGTGCTCACACCATTCAATTCTTGAACGACCTGAAGCTTGCCCACTACTCCAAGATTCCTCCTCGCCATGCCTTCTGGGCACAAATGGTTGCTTGCCTCGTCTCCACCTTTGTCTGCACTGGTGTCCTCAACTTCCAGATTCACATCAAGGATGTCTGTACTACTGACGCACCCAACCGTTTCTACTGCCCTGGTAACAACACCTTCTTCACTGCTTCTGTGCTTTGGGGTACTCTTGGCCCTCACAAGGTCTTTGGTAAGGGTGGTCTCTACACTCTTCTTCTCATCGGTTTCCCTGTCGGTCTGGTCGTTCCTCCCATCCTTTACTACGTCACCCGCCGTTTTCCCCAGAAGAAGTGGCTGCGCCAGATCCACCCTATCGCCATCATCTACGGTGGTCTCACCTGGGCTCCTTACAACTTTGCCTACGTCTGGCCTCAGGTCCCGATTGGTTTCATCGCAATGGTTTGGCTTAAGAGCCGCTACCTTGCTTGCTGGTCCAAGTACAACTATGTGCTCAGCGCTTCTTGGTCCGCTGCCATTGGTATCTCTGCCATCATCATTTTCTTCAGTGTCCAGTACTCTGGAAAGGTTAGTCTTGACTGGTGGGGCAACAATGTCTCGTACCAGGGTTGCGAAAGCACTGCTTGCAGAAGACTCACGCTCGCTGATGGAGAATTCTTTGGTCCCAGAACTTGGTAAATGCTTGTTGTCACTGTGTTGAGCTGAGGCATGCAGCTGGTGGAAGAATCACTGTGGCCGTTTTTTGCGCTTTCGCTCAACATATACCTTTTACGATTATGATGTTCAGGAACGAGAAGGACTTCATTCTTTCCTGGCTAATTGCCAAATTCGGCTGCTTTTTCAAGACGCCAATTCAATGGAAAGCCTCTCTTTGACCATTTCCCTCTTCTTTTGCTAGCTTCAGCTACAAACGTGAGATGAATCTGCCTTTCTATTGCTGACTTGCTGCGGGAATAGCTCGGGGTGAAACGTCTCGGGGTGGACTCGAAAATGTGGAGCTGTGCTGAACACCTCCACATGTCAACGGTCGGAGTCTCCGCAGTCAATAGCGTCCATGCTCTTTGACCATGAGACAACCTCCTTGTGGCCAAAACAATCTCAAAGTCATGCCGTGCCTTCTTAGTGACTGTCGCCCGACCAATCTTTGACATTGACCTTGACCTTGCCGGCTGGGATATTTACTGACCGTGAGACCTGTCGATGCTTGACAAAGGCAATACATCAACGGCGAACACTTCGAGAAGCGCCTTCTCTCCCTCCCGTGCGCAAAACACGATCACACTCTTTGCAGCTGCCTCAAGGCACGGTACTTATCAAACTTTTATGCGATACCATCGAGATACAGCTTTACGTGAGTTTTGTGCACCAAGTTCGTTGATATGCAATACAATTGTGCCTTGCTACATCTCGTCGTTGCTCTGCTTTGGACGTTGGAGGAGCCTCAAGCGGAAAAGACGATGAGCTGAACTGAACCGAGTCAATAGCCTTGGGACGCTTGTTGCTATCCACCACCCGTCTGATCCCGTCTACGTCAAAAAATATCAATATGTGGGTGGAAGCTGAAAAACGTCTGCTCGAAAGTAGGTCTGCTTTGACACCCCGAAGCGAGCTGTAGCAAAGCACTCTCAGAGCTTCCAGCCGCAGGGCTCACTCCTTGTTGTACAGGACCATGCTCTATAAATTGAAGGCTGCCGACCGTGTTCAGCAACATCTCCAGATACACCTGTTCCTCTCTATCTCTCTTGTCCACCTTTCTCTTCCAGAATGAAGTATACCACAGCTGCTGTCCTTGCCGCAATCGGTCTTACAAAGGCTGCTCCTTTGGAAGATCGATCCTTGAAAGCTGCAAACTGTTTTGCAGTAGATCTTGTGGTGGACGTCCTACGTCTCTACCCTTCGGCGTCTCCATTCTGCTCGTCGGTACTGCGAATCCCCACAGTGACCACTACCAAGACTGTGTCTTCGACGGCTTCTTACACTTCTTCCCTCACCACCACCGTACCTACAACTGTGTCGACCATCACAAGCACCGCGGAGCCCATCACCGAATACTCGACTATGTGAGAGCGAATAATCTTGCTTGTGGATGCCATCCGTGACTGACTATTAGCAAGTGAAACCACCATCACTACATGCATTCCTTCCGCCGTCAACAAACGCGAGATTGAGAAGCGTGCTTTGATCCCGGCCAGCATCAGTATTTCAGGAAGTTGTGCTGGAGCTCCTGGGGTCCTCAGAAACATTGCCTGCAATGCCATCACCAGTGCGTGCAATTGTTTGGGAATACCGACTCCCACGTCCACAATCACACAGACTCAAATCTCTTCGACCACGGCCTATCCTACCGCAACCGTGTATTCTAGTATCACCGCAACAGCCACCGTTACCGGCACCACGACGGTCCCTACCACACTGACGTCTACTGTCAACTATTGCCCAGTGCCTTCAAGCTGCAATAATGCAGGTATCCGTTGGGTAAGCAACACACTTTATCAGCGCATTGATGAACTTCACAATTTGTTCAAATCGCTGACTCAACCCTCAAGGGATATTATCCCAATTATGAAAACAACAACATCGGCAACGGGGATAACTACTACAGCAACTATGACCCAACTGTGATCAAGTCAGAGACTCCCGACTACCAATCCACCGCCACAGTCGCTGGAGGCCTGAACCAAAACTCCGTCAGCGACATCTCCATCTACGGAAGCAGCCAAACCTTTCACTCCGACTTCTTCACTCTGAACCACGTCGGATACATTTTTGCTCAAAACACTGGAACGTACACCTTCACTCTAGGCAATGTCGACGATATTGTTCTGCTTTGGCTTGGCGACACCGCAGTACGTGGATGGACACGAGGCAATGCAAATGCCTTGGCCATCTACTCCAGCCAGCCGACAGCTTCTGCCAGCATTGAGTTGGTCCAAGGCCAGTACTTGCCTTTCCGGGTCGTGTTTGGCAATGCACAGGGCGCCATCTCGTTTTCTCTTCAGCTTGCGGCGCCTGATGGTACTGTTATCTTGGACAGCAACACTCAAGACTCCAAATTCCTGGTTCAGTACTCGTGTGATGGTGTTGCAGCACCTGCTTTCCCCGCTTTCGGAGCCGAGACTTGAAGTCGTCTCTGCATTCTTTGGAGGTTCGTGGGAGGAGAAGGCGAGCGTGGTGGAAGTCAGTGGGACTTCGTTTGGAAGCTTATCTGCCTTGGAGCAGATCACTCTCACTTCCGAGTTCTGTCCCCTTGCTTTTGAGATGTTCGATGGCTCTTGTTGTTAGTAGTAGAAGTGATCATCACGTCGTATGTACACATGTCTCTGGTTGTCGGCTCACTTCAACGATGCCACCCCTGCTGCTCCCGCTCCACTTGTTGTTGGTAGAGTTTGAGAGGCCGGAAGTGCTCGTCACTCGCAGTACAGTAGTTGTGAGGTAAATTGTTCCAGTCTATCTTCGGTTGCGGGTCCCCCACACGATAACCGCGGCAGTTCAACCACAACTCGTCGATGAGGCGCTCCTCATACCAGAAGCCAAATCCAAAGTTCTCGAATATCCGTGCGTTCGTGCCAAACAGACGACCATCGGGCCTTCTATCGGTCTTGATCCGAATGCGGGCAAGGGAAGAGTTCAGTCTTAGCATCTCGAAAGTCGACAGTCTCTTGCGGTGGCCGGATCTGTCAAAGGGCGCAATTGTCGGAGTCCAAGAGAACTGTGGAGATATTGGCAGAGAAAGAGACTCGGACTTTCGGACGTTCGGGCCATGCAGATGACAATCGATTCGGTATGGTTGTAGGAGGTCGAAGGTGTGGGCCACAACCTTTTGTGACTCCTCAGGTGGCCGCAATACAGGGCCTAGACGTATACTGTACGATAATTCAACGGCCGAATCTAGTTGAGATGGATGCTCCAGGCCGAGAATCAGTTTCTGAGACCAGATCAGGCCCGACACAGTATCAGTGTCACAACACGACGAACGAAGAGACGCTTGCCACCCAGCAGCCATCAACCACAGCACACGTATAGCACGAGTCTCCTCGGTCCAGCTTGGATTGCTCAGAGGTATATGTACATCATAAGGGACTCTCTCTGGATTTTGGAGAGTCGTATCGTAAGGCGTGTAACAACGATATCGAGGAGGATCGGCCAGCTTTTCGAATTGCAATGTACTGAAATAGTCGAGCTTGGAGCGAAGAATTGAGAATGCAATATCGTGAATCCGAACTGCCTGCGCGATTGTATGGAAGATTGTCCAAGTAGACACGTTGGGCCATGGTGTCGTCTTCCCGGCAACTACAAAGTCATCGATCATCGCCTGAAGTATCTCCGGCGTGAGATTATCGGAGTGGTTTCGTGTCGCAAGCCGCTCCCGCAATGACATGTAAATTAGCACTGGAGAGGCAAGTTCATCTGGCAGACTCCGGAAGATTATCGTCCTGAAGATCAGTTGCGCGTTGAGATTGAAGACGGGGCGACGCCAGGACGGCAGCATACAAAGCCTTGAGGTCTGGCAATTCCAGAAGAACATACAGCGGTAGTGGCGCTGGCAGGGCGGAGAGAAAGTCCGTCATTGTGAGCGAATCGAGTTTTGTAGGTGGCAAGAACTTGTCGCCCTTGCAAGCCGATGTCCTTGTCGCTTCCGCTGGAGCCGCTGGATGTGTTAGTAACAAGATTATTTCTCGTATGCACAAAACCATCCCCGCACTTCTCCGCAGATCACCTCCGCACTTCTGTTTTCCCCTTGACGATCTTCACCTCGACAAGAGGCATCTTCTTGACTTTAGGCAAATGTCGCAACTATATTTGATGCCATGCACGTCTTCGCCTTGATCTACTCAAGCAATTGCAAGCCACCCCACCGGACTTATCGCGTATCATGCCGCTACAGAGTTCCGAAACACAAACGAGCAGAAGGGTAACACCGTGGCGGTTCACGCGGAACGTCACAAGACCTCGTATACAATCTATCACAAAACGCATTCTGGTCGCTTGCTCGGTTGAACTCACCGTGACAGACGCGAGATCAACCGGATGCTACTGAGGACATTGCCATAATTGAGGTACCGCTGCTGATCAAACGCGGATGAACAAAGGTATATAATAGCAGGTAGGTCCGCACTCATCTGTACAACCATCGGCTACCATCATGTACATCAGAACCACTTCTCTTGCCACTGTGGGCGTACTTGCCTCCAGTGCTGCTGCTCTTGACAATGGCTTCGGCCGTACGCCGCCGATGGGTTTCAACACTTACAACCCTGCAGCATGCACCATCAATCAAACCTTTATTCGTGACACCATCAACGCCTTCTCCGACAAGGGTTTTGCTTCGTTGGGCTACAACATCTTTGGACTCGACTGTGGTTGGCAAGGCACTCAGCGTCAGAGCAATGGCTCCATCACCTACGACGCTGGCGGTTTCCCAGATGGCATACTTCCATTGAGCAAACTTGCCAACAGCAAGGGCTTTGTGAGTATCTTGTGCCAATGCCAACCTGGCCACTTGACTGACTCATCATCCAGAAATGGGGCATGTACACCGATCAAGGCGTCAATGCCTGCGATACTGGAGTCAACCGTCCTGGTTCGTTGAACCACGAGAAGCAAGATGCAGCTCAACTTGCCGGCTGGAACGTCGAGTACATGAAAGTCGACAATTGTTACATCACCGCTGGAGACAATGCACCCAAGGATCCAAGGACTGACTTTCCATCCCGCTATGGAGCCTTCTCGGATGCTATTCAACAAGTCGGTATTAAAGGCATGCTTGTTTGTCAGTGGGGTACACCATACTCCAGCCCTAGCGGCCTTCAAGGTCCTGCCGAGTGGACTCCTCCACTTTCGACATCCTTCCGTGTCAGTGACGACATTACAAAAGGATGGGCCAGCGTCGCGCGTATTTACAACGAAGCGATTAACGTCAACCTCCGAGGATTGAACGGTCCTGGGCACTTCTCGGACATGGATCTGCTCGAAGTTGGTGAGGATGGCATGACGACTGATGAGCAAGCATCACACTTTGCCATCTGGGCCATGTTCAAGAGCCCCCTCATGATCTCGACCAGAATCTCAACCATGTCAAGCTCTACGCAAGCAATCCTGCAGAACAAGGCTTTGATCGCGATCAACCAAGACACTTTGGGCAAACCTGTCGTCTTGACCCAACGCTTCACTGGCGACAACGACCAGTTCGCCGGTCCTCTGGCAAACGGAGATGTAGCTGTCCTCCTCGTGGATCTGTCAAACGCCAAACGCAGTCTCGGTATCAACTTCTCCGCCCTCAACATCTCTTCCGCAACAGTCACCGACCTCTGGACCGGCAAAGTAGTGTCAAATGCAAACAGCTACTTCACCACCGTCAACGGCCATGGCTCCGTCGCACTCCGCTTGAGCAATGTCAAGAAGACTACACCCACCGCACCCACTCTTCGCTACTACGAAGCCGAAGCAGCCAAGGTTGCAGGTAGCGCAGGAGTAGCATCTTGCTCTGGCTGTTCAGGCGGCAAGAAAGTCGGCAACGTCGGCAATGGCGCTGGCAACACCCTCACCTTCACCGGTATTCGCACCAGCCAAGCTACACAAGACGTCCGCTTCGACTACATTGATTGCGAGATCGGGTATGCCTTTAGCGGAGGTTACGGTAACGTCAGGGGAGCGAGCATCAGCGTGAACGGCGGAGCTGCACAATCTGTCAGCTTCCCACTGACTGGCTACAACTGGGATAAAGACGTGACAAAGGGATTCTTGGTCAGATTGTCTGGATTCAGCACGTCGGGGGATAACACCATATCTATTTCGGGCTTGTCGAGTGTGTCGCCGTACGCGCCAGACTTCGATAGGATTGGTGTTGTTGCTTGAGTATAGAGCAACAAATGGCTAGTATAGATCCCAGCATGATGACATGATCCTCGAATGACGCTTTGACTTTCAACTACCAGCCACTCTTGATTGTGTTGAATGACCGTGTCGCTTCCAATAAACTATCATGCATTGCATCATTGTCGCGAAACTCCCACGGGCGCGTTACAGGTCTGACCACTCAGACCATAGGATCTTATCTCCAGATAAGATCCTGGCTTGCTAAAAGCCGACGGTATCACCCTGGCTTGGTGTCAAACAGCCTCAAAGAGACGACAACAACTCGTATTCTGACAATCTGAATGGTGGAAGTAAATGCTTAGTAATAACTCTAGGCTTGACGGGCACTTTTGTGGGCACATAAGTGTTGCGCAGGGATATTCAGAAGATTTTGTTCTGTCACGAGAATCTGCACACAAACTCTCTGCACCTGATCGGACCGTGATGTTGAGAACAATGACAACTCTTATAAAGCCAGACTGTGCATATAGTTCACTCTCGGTCAGCTTTGTGCATGTCAAGACTAAGTAAGATCACTTCGGGCTGATCATCATGCGGCAAAAATGGCATGTTGTCGTCGTGGAAGAGATGACCGAGAGCAAGGTATCGAAGTCGATGCCAAGCCTTCCCTCGGACAAGCGATCCTCCGAGACGCGAGGCCGTCAAAACCATGACGTGCTTGCTCCCCAAGACGCGACTTTGTTACACTTGAGATCTTTCCCTCTTCTTTCTTTGACACGCCTTGACGAGTGCAGACGCATCGATATGTCATCTTGACTCACAGTGAATATAAATGTCTGAGAGCGATAGTGGTAGATTCCGACCGGCCTCGTTAATGGTCTCCGCCTTTTCCTGTCGTCACCATCAGAGACGCGCCCAACATCATTCGTCCTCGATGCCACACCTGTTCATTCGTCCATAAAGCATACTGCAGCACCACAAGAGTCTCAGAAATGACATCGCTGGAGTGTTCGCGACATGACCTCTCGTATGCGCCTGTCTGGAAGGATTGAAAGAGCTGTGAAATGACAAGGACAACAAGACTAAGCATGCGTCAAGCAGCCTAATGTCCGACTGCACTGTGTGATCTAAAACACACCTCAGCTATGAACTGCAGTCCTTGCCGCCACCATCTCTTCTCGTCTGATCGTGAAGCGGTAGGATGTTCGTTCTCCAAGGTCTGTGGTGCTGTTTTGCGTGCCTTATCCCCTAGGGTATGATTCCTTCTCGGCCATTTCTTGAGAGTCTCTTATCTCCTCCTGCACGGCACACTCTCTGACGACACCAAAACTCTTGGAGACATTCTGTTGTTCTTTAAAAATTGTCGCTGCTACACATAGTCTAGGCAAACCCTCTTTCGACCCTCTTGTCCGTTGTCACAACCTCAATATCCGTGTCTACGGTAATCATGTCGCGAAGCAGAGTGCTGTCACGACGTGCCATGATGCGTCCATGCCCCTGATCAAAACTGTCCTGCTTGCTCATGTCGCTGTCCTCGTGCACGATCCGTACGTTCGTCCGTCCATACTTGTTGTCCAGCGTGCTCTGACTGCAATCTTGGAGAGGTATATGTCCACCGCGTCCGCTTCGAAGATAGCTCGAGTGACTGCCTTGTCCGCTTTTGCCGAGCTTGGAGGCGCTTCTCTTGCGAAGACCGCGAAAGAGGGGTGCGAAGGTGGGGAGACAGGCGGAAATGATGGCGATGGATGGCTCGAGGCTGGACCATCCGAATGCTGGACCGAGAATCATTGTGACGTCGACTTCCCGCATGAGTCTCGTAAGGTAGTAGATGCGAACTCCGCTGGCCACGCAGACACTGTTGGTTGAATCAGCTGCGTCTTGACACTGTCTTCAACATGAGCAATACGTACAAGCTTCCGAGCAACAAGATGCCCATGATCGAGATCTTTTCTCTGTTGCTTGTGCGTAGCTTCAGGATACGTGGAATGGGAACAGCTAGTACAATCAAGTCGTTGATCATGTTGACAATGCCGAAGGCGAGAAAGAAGCTCAGCACATCAATGCATACACCATCTGAGGCTCCAGCGTATCGTCTCCAGAAGAAGCTGACAGGTCGACAGGCCACCGCCATGACAGTCCACATGATGAGAGGGTATGAAGCCGTGAAGACTATGGCGACCCAGAGCATGATGTAGAACGTACGATCAGCCGAGACTTCGCGACTGCTCGTTACATAGAAGAGGCGTCGGTAGAGCAGGAGAATGCTGACTTTGGTTGACGTGACGGAAGCTGCATAGACCCATGGTTCGGCATAGACGACCTGCAGAATTCGAAAGTCAGTATTCAAGCACGACATTGCACACTTGTTTTGTGTTGTACTTACCTTCAATAGCGTCATGAGCCTATGGACGTTCGTTGTCCACACGTGTGTCCCTGACCCATACTCACCAGCTTCAGACCATCAGCAAGTTGAATGAAGAGTAAGCTTGACGACTCATACCAATAATTGTCGTTGCAACCAAAGCGCCAGTACATACCAGGCCGAGGAGAATTGTGTAGTCGTCAATACCAAGATTTCTCGACTGCGAGCTGTACATCAGGCGAATGTGGAAGCGCAAAGCCACAGCCGCAAGTGCCAGCCCTAGAACAACACAAGAGACGACATCGTAACCTAGAGTGACCGAAGCTTTGAGATCAATACCTTCAGGTGGTGGTCCAAAGATGGCTTGAATCCCGGCATCAACACTGGACATCTTGGAAGGATTTAGTCGGACCAGAATCCTGGAGATGCTTCTTGAATGTTCTTATGGATGGAGAGATTGGTAGGCTTCAACAACGATAAGACATTGTCCAGGCACTGCCAGAGTCCCAAGAGTCTTGGATAAAATATCCGAGCCCATGATAATGATGGTCGGACAAGCATTATGTCTTCCTTCGTTGGCGAAAACTCTCTTGATGTTCGACTGACTCTTCCGTACATGCCCTGCCGTTTCATGTCGTCTATTTGAGACTTTCGGACGGAAACAGCTCTATTTGGACTCGTGTTCATCGTACAGTAAGCGCGTCGAGTGCTTGCTCACGCCAGAGAAGCTAAATCGGTGGGTTTGTGCTGGGATGTTGTGGCAATGATGATCTTGTTGCTAAATTGATAACGTCTCTCATCTCAGAACAATGTAAGAAGTGACGGGAGCGAAAGCACGAAACTTTGTCCTTGCCCCAGCTACAAAGATCAAGAAATCACACGGTTGCACCTACCTTGCCTGGAGGTTAGGTTGACGCAAGTCACTCCACATCATGAGTTCTCTTGCAGAGGATCGAGTGTCTAAGTTGTAGCAGAGTTATCGTCAGAGCTTGACTCCGTCGCACAAGCGACAGCGTAGGCGCAATTAATGCTGCGATACACGTACACACGATATAGGCAAGCTTACCTTCGCATCCTTTGCCTAGAAGCGGTGAGACACGGCAAACTCACAAGAGAGACGCGTCTCCGACGATGACTCGCGGACTCTTGTACCTATGGTGTCTTCCGTTCCCTGGTGGTCGATGAGTTGCGAAGGGCTCTACATAGTAATTTATGATTGTCAGAATTGACTTTTGGATTGGGAGACGGCGTCGGGCCGGTTAAAGCCGGCCGGTCAAAGCGCTCTTGCTCAATGTTCGCCCGAACCGAACAGCGCGTCCGTGCCACAGCTCCACACCGCATCACGACCGTGTTTGACCGACCCCAACAAGCCCCAACTCTGCCTCCAATCGTCTTGTCACAAACTCTACCAATTCAAGCATATGCGTGTTCAATGCTCCTATAAGAATTGAGTGGTCACACGCTTAACGTACGCCGATGTGCGACGCGACCAAGGGTCGCTCATGCCTTGACGACTCTCAGGCTCATCATGAACTGCTCTCAGCATCGCCCGACAGCCGAAGCGATCATCCCCTGAGGCCCCTGAATGTCGTGGTTGATCGAGGTCATGGCTTTAGTATATTTTGTTCGACTGCGAAACCCACCTTTCATCTAATATCAGTTTCCGCAACTTGTCGATCTCATCAAAGCTCGTCTAAACCATGAATAGCGCTCTGACCAAGCACAATACACTCCGTAGACACCAAGTCTCTAGCTGCTTCGACGTCTGAATGCCTGTCGGCAGACGCCATCACCTCCTCTGCATCCTCTGAACAGTCGGCAAGTTTGACACGACCAAAGTCAATTGCCGGAGTGTACACGTATAGGCAATATGACAAAGTTCGGCGTCTTGGAAAGTCATCCATCCACGTACTCCCCCAATGGTCATCACATGCTGGATCGATCCCAGGATGTTTGACTGGAGATCAACTCAAACCCAATCAAGCCTGACACGCGAGCTCTAATTCATGTAGACCAGAGTCTAGCTTTCCAGAGCTTTGTTCTGCCCGGTTGTCATTCTTGTTGAGCGGAGACTGGAAGACGAGCCTCCAGACAATTTCGCTTATCTTACCCATCAAACACATCTTCTAGCACGTCGGAAGTATCAAGAAGAGAGGTATCATCCACCTCAATTGCAGTCTGCTGTTCCCTCGCATCTTCACAGCACTGCCAAACATCGATCTTCGTCATCCTTCACCATGAAAGCAGTCAACAGAGCTCTCCCCCTTCTTGCATCGGAGCAAGTAGGTCCAAAAGGCTGGATCAACAACATATCCGTCTTCGAACTCGCTGCCGACTACGATGCTACCTACATCTCATCCATGCTCCTCTCAGCATGGAAAAACTTCAAACAGCGAACACCAATGGTTGGCGTTGAAGCAGTACCTGCAGATGCCGGCTCAAAGCCCGCCGGCATGCTCAAGTTACAGCACTACCAAGAGAGGGAAATCACAGACTTTGTCATCAAAGATCACCGCAATGACGAGAACATGCCATCTTTTGTCCAGTTGAATGAGCAAGGCTTCCCAGGCGCGGCTATGAACGATGAGAAGGTCTGTCTCCGTGGACTTGGAGGACCGTGGCCCAACTTTGGAGTCGACAGACTTGCGACCAACCTCATGCAGGTGAACTTGATCAAAGGCGGACTGTTGCTCAATCACCTATGCTTCCATGCCATGGGAGATGGTGCTGGTATGTGGAAGTTGACTGAGCTCTTCGCCGAAGATGTACGCCGAGCCCAGGGTCTACCAATCGAGCAGCCTGCCACAGTCACCGTCGCCGATCGCGAGAAACTCCTTCACAGCACCGGCAAGTACGACAGTGCAGCCTTCGCAGCTGCTCACCCAGAGTTCGTGCATCTTCCCTTCATCCCGCCAGGTCTCCCCCCAGCTCTGACTGGCGCCAAACACCACGCACACGTTTTCCGCTTCTCGCCAGACGCCATCAAAGCACTCAAAGACGAATGTGCGCCCTCTAACGTACGCCTTCTCAAGAACCAAGCTTCTGTCACACCACTGCCTGGCTTCATCTCGACCAACGATGCCTTGACAGCACTTCTCTGGAGATCCGTCCAACTCGCCGAACACGCTGATCCTTCGTCCATCGCTGCCGACAAGACCTCGATCTGCCAGGTCGCCCTAGACACACGCCGTCGCGCTTACGAAGACATCCACCCTCACACCATTGGCAACATCCTCGGCTACACAGCAGCATCACTTCCTCTTCCAGAAGTCATCTCATCCGAGAAGGTATCGCTCGCAGACTTGGCCGTCATGATTCGCATGGCTGTGAACAAGTGTGGCAAGTCATATCACGACGAGCTGGCCCACTACATTGAGAACATGGACAACGTCAACTGTCTCGCTGGCAGCGCTTTCCTTGACATGCCTGGTGCCAACATGCTACAAAGCAACTGGAGCGAGTTCGATTACTACGGCATTGAATGGGGCTCTGCTCTCGGTAACCACATCAAGGCTCTGCGTTTCCCTGCCGGCGGCGTTTGTGCTGGTTTCCAGATCATCATGCCCAGTCCGGCCAATGCACCCAAGGGAACAGCAGAGGTTCTTGTAGATGTGACCGACGATGCATGGCAACACTTACTTCGCGACGAGACATGGAACCGTTATGCGAAGAACCCTACCAACACAAGGTACGACTAGAATCATCCGATGTTTATTCAATAACATCATCACCAGCAACCATTTTCCATAGAGGTGCGCTACATCGTCTCATCACTCGCCGCTATGTTCAGTAGTTCTGTAGCGAAACGGGGCCGCCTTCCAAAGTTAGACGAATTTTACTATAGTTTCTCAACAATGCTATACTCCCAGTATGCTATACTGGTGGTAAGCTCAAGGAGCACGCCACAATGGCTGAACCACGATCAGCGTATCGCAATACGCAATGCCTGCCAAGGCGCCGAACGGTCTTATGTCCGGGTAGTCAAAGTCTATTTTGTGAATCGCCCAGCAGTGCTCTTTGCTTACGTGATGAAGACGTTGTCTGGTAGTCGAATGCCTCGGTGGTTACAATGTTGACATACCAGTCGATTACAAATCTGGAGGCCATGCTTTGTCACAAAGTTAGGGCTGCTGTCGAAGATGCAGTCAGTCTCTATACAAATGCCATCTGACATCTAAGTATAAGTATCCGACTTGCCAGTCTAGAGTAATGTCATCTGCATATATCTCTGTGTTGGTTCTGCTCGCCTGTGTTTATACAATACTTTACTCTCCTCACCGACAAGACACGAATATGTCTCAGAACGCGCTCCTTCTCCATAATGTCGGCGAGCCGCTTGCTCTTGGGAATCGCCCGATACCTCAGCCAGATCAGGACCAATTACTAGTAAAAGTTCTTGTTGCCGGGTGTGAGTACCTGCTATTGGATCAACCACTTGAGGATGTTTGTAGCTAATCATCAATACACACAGTGAATCCCCATGATCAGAGAACCCGCGATATTGGTCTCTTCGTCACGGAGATGCCTTATGTCATTGCCAGTGATCTCGTCGGAGAAGTCGTGACTGTCGGATCAGGGGAGTATTCCGCTAGATTCACAATCGGCGAACACGTTTTTGGCCACACTTTTGCCGAAGGCGGCTTCAAGAACGAATTCAACGCTGCACAGGAGTACGCTCTTGTGGACGCAAGGTTTGTCGGTAAGGTGGCTGATAGTGGGTTGAGTCTCGATGAGGCATCTACCATTCCTGTCATTGTCCTTGCCGCGTTTATCGCACTGTTTGCGAATTCTGGTCTTGGCCTTCCTGCTCCGTTCTCTCCTGAAGCCACATCTTTTGACTATGCTGGCGTTACGCTTCTTGTCATTGGCGGTGGGTCAAACACTGGACGAGCCACCATCGAGCTCGCCAGGATGGTGGGAATTGGGAAGATCATTGCGGTTGCTGGACATCGTAATGAAGCCTCGTTGAAGGCTGCTGGTGTCACGCACTTCATCGACAGACAGGCTCCCAATCTCCTGGAACGGATACACGCCATTACTGGCGACGAATTGGTACATGCAGTTGATACGGTCAATACAGGACTTGACCAAGAGCTTAGTGTCGCTGCTCTGTCCAACACCAAGAAGGGAACCCTGATCACCCTACGCCGACCCGAGGGCGAATTCGACTCGGACAAAATCGGAATCAAGTCGGCTGGTTACGACCGTCGTCTTGTGTTTGGAGTATCTCCCATGCACCCAGAAGTGACTATGGGCTTTTGGCAAAACGTCCCGCGATGGATCAAGGAGAAGCACGTCAGTGCGAGTCAATTCGAAGTTATTGAAGGCTTGGATGCGGATGCTGTCAACAAAGCGCTGGATCGATACAGAGATGGAAACGGTGTTAAGACCAACATTCATCTTTGGCAATAGAAATGTCATCCTCGTCTAGTGAGCAAGACCACGATTAGCTGCTGCAAGCCGTGAAGATGAAAGTCGAAGGTCAATACAAAGCCACGGTCGAAGATTACGGAGACTGTGTACAGGAAGAACGAACGAATTAGAGATCAAGGAATTCTCAAACAGCTCAGATATTCGTGCTCCAGCAAACGACGTCAATCAAGATATGAAATGAACAATGTTAAACACAAAGAACCTCGAATGCGCCCCAGGAAGTGCCAGATGGCGCATTACCACAACCAACACTATTGCCAAGGGCAGTTCCGCTGAAAGGCCATCCATAGAGATTGTTCGTAAGTGTAATACCGCAGCCCTGTTGACTATGTCCAAGAACATAACCTGAGAAGGATCAATCAGTAAAACAAGTCATCGTCGCCAGGGATGATCAAATACTCACAGCCAACAGTACCAGTTTTGGGTACGGCAGTCAGACTCGCAGTCAATGCTCCTCCGAATATCAAACCGGCAGTGGGGATTGTGCATGTGCCTTCTGCGATTGTGAATGTTGTTGCTGTTCCTGCGCTGCCGTCGGTGGGTGGTACCTTGCCAATTGTCAGGTGTGTAAAAGAGACTTGTGTGAGAAACAGAAGACTTACAGTGCCTGGGGCGGCGCAAGTGTAGCTGCTGTAGATGGTCACTTTTGCTGATGCAGGGCCGCCTGTAGGGGCGCCGCCGACATTCTTGCGGGCTTCCAGAGAAGGAGCGGCTGATGCGGAGAGGGCGAAAAGGGTAACGACGAGGGGAATCAGGGTGTACATCTTGAAGAGGGACAGGCGAAGTTGAGTAGAAAAGTAAGAGATTGGTGATTGCTCGAGAGATGCAAGAGGAATGTGATGATGCTGATGCTGTACTTCCTTTTCCACGGACCAAGACTCACTCTTATAAACACGACTGTCTCGGTTCTTCACCGTCCATTCTCATGTTCTAATCGTGTCTGCTTACAGGACAGCTGGTATTGATCCTCGCTCATGTCGAAGGACGATGATCCAGATCAAAGATACAAAGGACTTTGCATCGTCGACGCACTTGTGGCTGCGTATGATGAAGCATCGTTGAATGTGGCTTGAGCATTTCGTGTCAGCAACATGGCGTCTACCCCGGATCTAAGAAGCTTGTATGGAGAGCTTGATGACAATTCGGTAGTAAGAGTGGCGAATTGAGAAGCTAGGTGACGTGTATTCGAGTATCGAATACCGTGTTACTCTTCCAGCACGCTCGAGAAGCCTTCGAGACCTACATGAGCTGTGGTAAATCTCCGTATCTGCAAAGTACAGGGCTCAGCTTAACCCGCATCATGGAATACTCGTTTCTCTGTACATATATGTGCGAAGCAGGATGACTCGAGGAGCTGAAGTCAAGATCAAACTCTCTCCACATGTGTCCGAGATTCTCGACCCGGGCTTCAGCTCCGACTTCGGCAACCCCGCGGCGTTCTCGTCTTCTCTTCCAACACCTATCATACCTCTCCAGCAGGCTCCTGACCATTGAATGCTGTCAAATCCTCAGTCTCTGATGTTTTCTCGACTCGTTTTCTGTCTCTCCAGAGTAACAGTTGTATGGTCGCGGTAACAACAACTAGACAATTGTCAGCACAGGCCAGCGGCGCCTCTCCTCCGGAACCCGACTTACTCAGCAGACCCTGCAGTACAGCGACCCATGTATATCCCTTCTGGGCAGCTGGAAACTCTGTCGTCTTCCAGACAAAGTTTGGCGCCTGTCGTGGCGTGTCAGCTTCGTTCCCATGCTTGGTCTTGCTCTCGCGAAGTAAGCACTTACAACAGCCTGGACGACGTAGGCTAGATCGTTTGCCATTGCGACGAGAAGTGCTCGCTTTTCCGTGTCGGCGGAGCAGATTTCGTTGATCCAGCTCAGAATTAGCGGACCGGCACCCATCTGAAGATGGAACGTCAGCTTCGGCTCTTGCGAGGCTCAATCGAACTGGCGACCTACTCCGATATTTGCGAACCAGTATACTATCATGCGACTGGTGATGTTGTCGTACAGTGGCATCTTGAGAAGTGCTATATGGAAGACCATCTGGAAGTAGTCGTCAGTCATCAACGATTCTCGCCGGGTTGATCGCTTGGACTCACAGTTATGACCGCTCCTGCGTATATGAATGGCCAGCGAGCGCCCTTCAATGGGCCGTCCGACAGCCAACCCCAGGATAGCGCCACCACGATGAAGATGGCAGTATTCGGAAGGGGTACTGAACATACTGTCAGGGTCGAGCAAGACACGGCAACATAGGTACACTCGACTCACAGTTGTTGATCTGAGGCACAGTGTACGATTTTCCTGGTACTGGCGCTGGCTTGGCATTGAAGCTCTTCAACCAATATCCCATACCTGCCTGAGGAGCGCCATTGTTCCAAACGATATACAGAAGAGCTGGATAATGTCAGTTACGGTCAAAAGCATACACCGCCACAGCACTTACGGAGCAGATAGGTGTGCCAGCTGAGCAAGATTGACTTCGCCTTCGCCTTGGTCCACGGTTGTTTTCCTGCTCGTCCGATAGCCTTCATTCTTTCGGAAGCAAGAACGTGTTCTTTCTCGGTCGTCCACCATGTCTTCTTTCCATCCTGGGGTAGGTTTGGGAAGAAGATGTAGCCCATCAACGCAAGCGGGATGGTGATGATGCCGTCGATGATGAACAGCCAGCGCCAACCCGCATGGCCATGAACACCACTGAGATTCTGGTATGCAGCAGCTTGGAGGAAACCACTGAACATATTGCCGACCGAACCAGCCAACCAGAAGATCATGGCGCGTTTGCCGATTTCTCTTGGAGTGTACCACGAGCCGAGCATGTAGTGGATACCCGGGTAGAAGCCTGATCTGGAAAGGTGTCAGTCTTGCGGCATATCACGCGTTCAAAATACTCACTCGAAAAAGCCAACGAGAAATCTCAGAGCGTACAGAGCTTTGTAAGACTCTACTCGAGAGGTGCAGATGGTTGCGATACCCCACCCGACTTCAAGAGATGGTATCACCCAGCGAGGGCTCACTCTGGTCAGTAACAAATTACTCGGAATTTGTCCGATGACATATCCAACAGTCCAGATAGATGTACCTGATGAGGGTCAGCACGAGGAACAGTCGGTGAGGTGAGTCCACTGACTAGTGACAAGCTCATTCCCGTACATGTTCAAGTCCTCCTTCATGCCACTGAGAAAAGCATTGTTGACATTGGTCTGATCAATATTCTTGAGAAAGTATCCAAGCGATGCAAAAGTAAGTACGAAAGCATCAACCTTGAAGAGAAGCCATCGCTGGTCTGGAGGTAATTCCCAAGTATCCCAGACATATCCTTTCCAAGATTTAGTAGGCTTGACGACGACGTTTTCTCTAGAGGTCTGGCTGGCCTCGCTGTCGATTGCATAGACTTCCGAATCAACGACTTGCTTCGGATCCTTGTGGTCGGCCATGATGACTGGGAAGTCTGGGGAGTTGAGCAGAATATTGTCGTACAAAGGCGACTAACATATATATATATAACTAAATTTGCAAGAAATGCTGACGTTGTGCCATCTGGAAAGGATTTTGTATGGCTGCAGGACCAAGTCTGGAATCGAAGCTCTCATAGCTGGCCACAATTGCGTCTTTAACTACGCGATCAACTGCTGGGACTTGTTTACGTATCGTTTGGTGTTACTCGGATGTGGGATGCTTGTATGTGCTTTCGAAAGACTGGGGTTGAAGCTGTTGCTTTGCGTGATTCTGGGCGGAAATGACACCTTTTTGCAGATCCACCCTCAACCCCCAACCTCAATATTTAGGATGCACTCTTATTGATTGGTGAGTATGGCGACTTCATCCTTATCTTGGAGGACGACATGTGATGCATCGAAGAGTGGATATCCGGAGGCAATATTGCCGGAAACGCGAGTCGTGGTTCAGTATTCCTGTATCACTATATCATGCCCGTCATCGGAAGGATTGCAATACGTGCTTGATGGCATACTGTCGCAATTGAGACTGGATTGCTAATCATACTCGACCTCGAGCCACTTTCAAAGAACACTTTGCTGCCGAGTTGGAAAGTGGTAAAAGGTTGATAAGGTTCGACATTTCCTCCTTGTACGAAACCCGAGAACCAACACAACGTCATCAATCAAAACATGGCAACCACCGAATTCATCAGTGTCACCTTTCCCAATGCCTCTCACGAGCTCAAACCTATCCCTGGCGCAGGCGTCGACGTCGACTTTCTCGTGAGGTATGCTCGTGCTCTGGATGATTATGGCTACAACTACACCCTCATCCCTTACGGCTCCACTGGTTTCGACCCATTCACCTTGGGAGCAACCATTCTCGCAAAGACAAAGAAGATCAAGATTATCATTGCTCTACGACCAAACACATTGTACCCGACCGTAGCAGCCAAAGCTCTTGCGACTCTTGATCAATTGAGCGGAGGCAGAGTGGTGGTACATTTTATCGCCGGAGGTAGTGACGCCGAACAAGCCAAAGAAGGAGATTTCCTCACAAAAGACCAGAGATGTGAGTAATATCCTGCACAGAACTACTTGATTTGCATCACAGACTAACGATTCCCTTTGTAATCCACAGACGGCAGACTGGAAGAATACATCAAAATCCTCCGCCGAACCTGGTCCTCCAAAGAACCTTTCGATTGGTCAGGAACCTACTACACCTTCAAAAACTTCCACTCCGACGTCGTCCCCAAGGATAAAAACATCCCCGTCTCCGTCGGCGGTTCCTCAGAAGAAGCCTATCGTATCGGTGGCTCTTTAGCCGACATCTTCGGTCTCTGGGGCGAACCTCTGAAGGAAACAAAACAACAAATCTCTCGCATCTACACAGAAGCGGAAAAAGCAGGTCGTACAGATAAACCTCGTATTTGGGTGACTTTCCGTCCCATAACCGCAGAAACCGATGATTTGGCTTGGGCAAAAGCACACAAAACTCTTGATGCATTAACCCAGCACACAGCAAACGGTCTTGGAAAATCCGCTCCCAATGCACCAGAACCGCAAAATGTGGGTTCTCAACGTCTTTTGGATATTGCAAAAAGAGGGGAAGTGCAAGATCGTGCATTATGGTATCCTACAGTTACTGCAACGAATGCGAGGGGTGCTAGTACTGCACTGGTGGGAAGTTATGATACTGTTGTGGAGAGTCTTTTGGATTATGTAGAGTTGGGTGCGGATTTGATATCGATCAGGGGTTATGATAATTTCAATGATGCGGTGGAATATGGTACGCATATTTTGCCAAAGACGAGGGAGGAGATTGGTAAGAGATTTGGTTAGAAGACGTGGATTATTTGGTTTGGGGAAGGGTCATGTCGTTCCCGAATGTATTAGCTGTTCCAAAAAGCAGGATACTTGCCATGGACAGTGTTGATGACTAGGAAGATACGTCTCTCACTGACTGAGTTTCTCAATATGCAAGATCTTCGCTCTGAACGTCAACCTCTATCATCACAAAGGAAGTGAGAGTTCTAAAGTTCAGCACATGAGGAGACGGTATGGTTGAATGCATCATCATGAAAGTAGAGAGAATATGGAAAATCAGCATTCGAACCTACAAAACCGAAAACCCCATTATTTAAGTCGTGTCTTCATCAACTCTTTCAGGTGTTGCACCTTCTCATCTACCTTGTCCGGCTCATCCATATTGTCCGCGAGCGCTATCCTCAGATCCAGAGCAGACTTGATGACGCTAATATCGTGAACACCCGAAGACGTGGCTTCAAGAGAAAGAGCCATAGCTTCACGGTATCGATTCCAGAACGACGTCGTCTCATTGAGATATGGTGTTTCATGAACAGGCAAAGTCCACATCGACGTCCCGTTCGCCGTAACATTACGATCCCAGTCCAAAGTCTTGCTGTCAAAGACCACAGGGTCGCTGGTCGAGTTTGTGCTGTTGACAGAGCCGTATTGCATGGACCATTCGTCTTCTACCAGATTCATCCAGTCATCCATCAACCCTTGTCGAATCTCTCCATCCACACCCGGGAAATGCGCCAACATACCACCTCTACCACCCTCATACTTGTGCTTCTGCTTCAACCCCGGATACGTAGCCACAGTCGTATTAATAGTCTCCTTGTAATAATCCGATCCCTGGATTTCGCTTTGGAAAAGTTCATAAGCGTTGAACCATTTACGGGGCATGAATACAATGCCACTTCTCCAGCCTTTGTCGTCGGAACCGCCGTTTTCGCGTTCGAAAGTTAAACGCATGGCTTCTTGCTCCACGTTGCCGCCGAGATCGACATCTTTGTGGCATATGGGAAAGGACATTGCCGAGGTGAACATGCTGACTGTCCAGGGGTGGACGCGGATGAAGAAGACGCCGTTGTTAAGGCCGTGCCAGTCTTTGTTGCCGACGAAATGGATGTGAGGAAGATCTGGAGGTGGCAAGAAGATCGAGAGAGGAATATTGGGGTTCAGGATGACTGCGTCGGCATCGGCCCACCTGAGGAAGTGTCAGTATTTCGGGCATCTTGAATCCAGGCAGGGTAAAAACATACATGATCCACTCGGCACGAGTATCAGCTGGCTTTTGCAGCTCCTGACCTACGAGGTTGAGCAAGAAGATCAACTTTGTCCAGAAACCACAGCCTTCATCTCTCTGCAGGATTTCTGTCGAGTAACCCCATCGTTGTGCTTGACGCTTGTGAGTAGCGATTGCTCGCTTGTACGTTGGTGAAGTGATTCCAAAAAGCATGGAAGCACTCAAGATGCGGTTATATGTCAATGGTAGTGTTGTGGCGTTGGCAATAGCGACATTCGTCTCATTGACGACAGGAGGACTTGGTCGAGAAACAACGATGAGTGCAAGTAAGCCCACGAAGACAAGGCATCCGATAAGTGTGTAGTGCGATTTTCGAGGCTGTCCTGTCCTCCATCGCGCTGTTTGCGTGCCAACAGGGATGAGGAGTATCGCTGTAGGAATAATGTCAGGATTACGATAACGCAAGCGGTCGTCATGGATTAGAACTACCTTTTGATATCATCACCTTCGAGTATGCCAGGGCGCGTTCAATTGTGGTTTGTTGCATGTGCTTTGATTCGAACAAGGGTAAATCATCTCTTTCTGACTCGTAGTCTGAAGGAAGCTCGTCAACATCGTGGAATGGCTCATCCTTCTTCTCAAATACATCAGAAGAACTCATGGTGACGAAGCCTGGAGATCGTGCAGGCGAGTTGTGGATAGAGGAAAGGCAACGGAAAATGGCAGAAAAGTCACCCTCAGGCAGGGCGAGGGGCGATACTTCATCTTATCCTCAGCGGAGAGGCACTGACGCCAATGTCGCTCCATGTGGCTATGTCCAGCTTACCGTTTGTTAATTGGGAGCAGATTTGTTCCAGCTCAGTCGAGGAATATTCCAAGGACGTTTGATCCCTGTACCGTTGTACACGAGGAAAACAACCTGAGTTCAGCTCGCCGTTGAAACTCTATACCGCTAACCCGAACATCTCCTACCTCGAAGGATTCACCATCATCCCAATCCGGATTACCTGAGCAAACCGCCACACACAGGTGAGATCAAGTTCAATAATGAGCAGCGACATGAGGTGGTGTCTCGAATGGTGGCGTTGGTGAAGAACAAAAAATCACATGCGAATCTGTGGCCGGTGAATGATAAACGTTGGCCTTAGCCCTGTAAATCTCGTACTTTGTACTCTTATTTCGGCCAGTCCGGTCTTTGATTCACCAAGAGAGTGAGCCAGCCCGTGGCAAGGGTCCAGCGTTCTGCAATGCCTGGAAGCTCTTCGCAGGTCATGTTGGGGCACGTCGCAGATCCAGTGCTGCGTGCACGTTTCCACGCAGTGTGTTGATGAACACCTCCTATCAGTACGTCCTGCATGATGCATATTCATCGTTGAGCTGGGAATAGTAATTTCTGACGCAGGAACGCGCCACCGCACAGGGGTCGATCCTCCACGATGTTGACTGTGAAAGGGCGAGATGGCTGCGTGCTGAGCAGCTGAAGGATCTGTGGACGTTCTTGGCAAGACTTCTGGCACAAGATAAATTGGAGTGAAACATGATGATGCAAGACAAGAATATATACATGTCGAATAGAAACCAAAAACTCCTGGATGATGCTATTTTCCGTTCTGTGCCCTTGCATGTCGTGATATCATTTACTTGTTCAGACCGACGTTGGCCTCTCTGACTCAAAGTCCGCTTCTAACACAAGTGTCGCTCGTCTCACTCGATCCCATCGGCACCGTTCCTATGAGAGCGTTCCGAGGTGTCGAGAGTCAGGAACGGATGCTCCAGAGCTTCGTCGGCTGATATGCGCTTCGAAGGATCGAGCTCGAGACAAAGAGACATGAATTGAACGGCTTCCTTTTCTTCGTCGATGAGCGGTAGGTCAGTCTTGCGGCGTTCCGTACACCACAGCAGAATCTTCTCCCAGCTATGGCCGTTCTCGCTGATGGTAGGAATGTTTGTCTGCAAGACCTGACCATGCAGTAAAGCAGCTTCGTTCATGCGACGCTTGCCAAAGATACTGCACAACTCGATGAAAGCATCAATGTCGTCGGCCGAGTGGAAGAAGGGGAAGCGACGGCTGAGAAGAGTGAGGAGGATGATGCCGCAACTCCAGATGTCGATGATACAAGTCTGAGAAGTGCACTTGAGCAAGACTTCAGGGGCACGGAAGCCTCTGGTGCCGGCGCGGTTTGCTCTGCGCGAGTTTCGAGAGTCTTCTTTGGGGTATGCAGGTGGCGGAGGTAGTGTGCCAGCGTCACGATATTGAGTGCGTATTGAGGAGTATAACGAGTTCGAGACACGGTATCGACGGTCTTCGTGTGAGTACTGGCAGTTGCAGTGGTGCCAATCTGTTCCTTCTCTTTCAGCCAGACCAAAGTCGACGAGGACGCCTTTCTGTGTTGTGGGCGAGTATAGGAAGTTTGTAGGTTTGATGTCGCGGTGGATGATTTGGTGTTCGTGGACGGCTCGGACGGCAGTGAAGAGTTGGCCAAAGTAGACACGCATGTCGTTGATGGTCATGTCGCGGAAGTAGTCTCGGAAGTCGCGATGTTGGAAGTAAGGCAGGACGGCGACGACCTGGTCTTGATGACGGAAGGCGGTGATCAGTGGACAGACGTTCTGGGAGTCTCTCAAGTCGTGCAGCAGCTCGAGCTCGTTGAAGATGCGCATGGGTGACGAGGTGACGTAGATTTTCTTGATGGCAACATAGCGAGCACGCGGTCGGTCTCGTGCGGACTTTGTTTGTGGTGAGAAGGAGACGTGGTTCCAGTCGTTCTTGTACTTGTCGTAGAGAAGGTCCTCGGCCTTGTAGACGGTCGAGAAGGTACCTGGAACTGGGTCAGAGAGTGGCTTGTTGATGGGATGGGTAGAGAGAGGCACCTTCTCCAATGCGGTTGATGAGGCGGAAGCGAGTCGAGATGTTCTTGAACGACTGCTCGAAGCGGTTGATGTCCTCCTGGACTGAAGTCTCGACCTCTTCATCGCTGCCTTCGGACTCTGTGGCTTGACTCGAGTCCATGCTGTTCTTGCTCTCGTCCATGGCATCTTCGGTCTCGTCTTCACTTCGCATGTGATAGTCGGCGACTGGGATGGCCTCGCGCACCATCTTCGCCCCACGCATGCTGGCCATGATACTGAATCTTGTGTGCTGTAGCGATTAGAGGACTTGTTCCATTCTTGCGATTGTTGATTGTTTATTGTTTCTGGCTTCAGAAAATGCCCCTCGTCACGCTCGATGATGGAGAAGGCGCAGAAAGAGGCGCCTTGCCCGATGGGGAAAGACATCAACACGGGATTCGTCTTCTCCGCAAACATCAACACCGAATCTTTGCTGCTCCTGCTGCTTCTGCTGCGCCTGCTGCTGCTGCCCACCGTCGCTCCTTCTCATCCACATACTCAACCAACACATCTGGACTTGCTGTCAAGGGCGTGCCTCGCCCATCATGGAGGCTCTCTCGGACTTTGACATCAACGACGCGCTCAAGACCTATCTCAACAACCCACTGGAAACCCACACCCCCGAAGCGCATCCCGATCTGCTCGAATGCGAACATAGTCCCGAAGACTTGACTCCCGCCCTGGTCAACGCCATCTTGAATCCTATCGTGGACGCCATCACAGAGAATCCCGAGGCTGTCGCCCGTCCGCCCAACTTTGACTCTTTGCAGTTTCTGCTCAAGTGCGCCCCCACCCGTCAACATGACGCTACTCAGACACATGTGCCTGACCATGACCTCAGACAATTCAACCTCATCCCCACCCAGTCGCTCTCCAAGCTGCTCGACCTCGTCCTCTCCGCCCTCTCCGCCGAGGCCGACTCTGTCCACAATGACATCGAAGCCGACGAACAAGACTCGATCCCTCAGCACAAGCTCCTCCTCGAAATGCTGTCTTTCCTCCTCATGTGGTGCTTCACCAGCGTCGAAACAAGAGTCGCTTCTGAAAAGTCTGCTGCACCCGCTGCTCGTGGACGAGGAGGAAAGGCTGCTGCAAAGCCAAAGGCTGGGAAAGATGCTCCCTGGGATCCTTCAATACAGATCCAGTCTGCCCTCAACACCATGGCCAAGGTCATGAAACTCAAGCTCGCCCGCATCTTTGTCACCACTTCCGAACGCGACACTTTCATTGGCCTCTTTACCCGTCCGGTCTACCTCATGATGGAGAACGAAGCAAGAGTCAAGAATACTGCCATCAAGATGCATGCCTTCAAGGTCTTGTGTATTGCCGTCAAGCACCATGGTCATGCTTCGGGTGCTCAGACAAACATCATCCAGAGTCTTCTCTATTTCGAACACCTCTCAGAGCCCATGGCTGAGCTGCTAAACATTCTGGCTGAGCAATACGACTATCCCCAACTCTCCGAAGAAGTCTTGCGCGAACTGAGCAACCAGGAATTCAGCAGCAGCGACTTGAAAGGACCCAAGTCTGTTTCCACCTTCATCACAAAATTCTCAGAGCTGGCACCACGACAAGTCATCAAGCAAGTCATGCTTCTCGCCAAACTGCTCGACTCCGAATCATACACTTTACGTTGCTCCATCATCGAAGTTTGTGGCAACTTGATTGCCATGTTAAGCAAGCAGGAAGGAGAAGAGCGTAGCGAGAACCACAAGGGCCAGATCAATGCCTTCTTCGAAGTGCTCGAAGAACGTTTCCTCGACATCAACCCTTACTGCAGATGCCGCGCCATCCAAGTCTACATGAAGCTCTGCGACCTCGAAACAAAGTACCCCAAGCGCAGACAGACAGCCGCAGATCTTGCTTGCAGAAGTCTTGAAGACAAGAGCAGCAACGTCCGCAGAAATGCCATCAAGCTACTGGGAAAACTCGTCCAAACACATCCATTCGCTGTTCTACACGGCGGTCAACTCTCGTACTCGGACTGGAACTCACGATTGGAAGTTTGCGAAGCTGAGCTCAATGCACTCAAGCCGCCGCAAGAGGCTGCTGGTATGGTTGAACAACAAGACGCCACCGTCGACGAGGAGCTTTTAGATGACGCCACACAAGTGTCGCCCGTCAAGGAGAAGCCAGCTATGACCGAGGAGCAGAAACAGGCTGCCTTCGAAAAAGCCGCTGCCGAAGCGGTCACTGGCGAAATGATGTCCAAGCTGACCTTGACCCGCCGCTACTATATCGAGGCTCTGAAATTCATCGATGTTCTTCACGAAGCGTCTCCGATCATCACTCAACTCTTGGCTTCGAAGAACAAGTCAGAAGTCATCGAAGCCATGGACTACTTTGTCATCGCAGACGCATACAAAATCGAAACTGCCCGCACAGGTATCCGAAAGATGTTGCGCCTCATCTGGACCAAAGGAAACAGTGACGAAGGAAAGGGTGTACAAGCTCATCTCATAGAATGTTACAAGGGCTTGTTCTTTGACGCCCCAAGTGGCTTCTCTGCAAACGACGCTGCCAATTTCATCGCCAGAAACATGGTCAGTCTGACTTTCGGAGCGACTGCCGCCGAATTGACCAGTCTGGAGCAATTGCTCAGCACAATGATGCAATCCGACTTCATCAAGGACGCTACCATTCAGAAGCTGTGGCAGATCTACGGCATCGAGCGAAGAGAAATATCGAAGAATCAACGCCGTGGTGCAATCATCGTTCTCGGCATGCTCGCTTTGGCTGACCCTGAGATTATCATAAAGGAGATGGAGACATGTCTTCGTATTGGTCTTGGAGCATACGGCAGAACAGATCTTGTCCTGGCTAAATTCACCTGCATTGCGCTGATGCGAATGAACAACCCGAAGCATACCAAAGGTGTTCAAGCAGCTCCCACCTCGACAAGACTGCCCAACGATCATGCAGTTCTTCAAAAACTCGCTGCTATGGCAGACGTCAAATCTACGAGTAAGGAGTGGTATGGTCTGGCCGAGCAAGTCATAAGTGCCATCTATGCACTTTCGAAACATCCCGACGAGCTGGCATCCGAGATTCTCCGTTTCAAGACCAAGAAGGTTTTCTCACCGGCCTTGATTGCCACCAAGTCAGAGCCGGAGGCAGAATCTGTGAAAATTGAGGACGGCGACGTTGAGATGAGTGGTATGGATGATGAGCCCATGGAAGATATACCTCCGATCAAGAAGGAAGAGGAAGAGGTCGAAATGCCCAAGGTTGAGGACTCTGCACTGCCATTGTCTCAACTACTGTTCACTGTCGGTCACATTGGCATCAAACAGATTGTTCATCTAGAACTCTGTGAGATGGACTTTAAGCGCCGAAAGATGGACAAGGAGAAGCAAGCTACTGCTGATCCGGCACCAGTCAAGAAGGGCAAGGGTGCGAAGAAGTCGGATGCCAAGGACGTCAAGGAAGAAGAGCAAGATGACCTCGATCTCATCACAGGCACAACCGAGGATGACTTTACGGACGCCATCGCTCATGTGCGTGAGAGAGAGCTTCTCTACGGACCTCAATCTCTGCTGACAAACTTTGGTCCCCTGGTTCGCGAGATTTGCATGAACAACACCTCGTACGCCAACCAAGAGCTACAGGCACAAGCTGCTCTGTGTTTGGCCAAGCTTATGTGTGTAAGCTCCGAGTACTGTGAGCAAAACTTGGGACTACTCATCACAATCCTCGAGCGTAGTCCGGATGCCACAACGCGTAACAACTTGGTCATCGCTCTTGGAGATATGGCGGTCTGCTTCAACCACCTAATTGATGAGAATACCGACTACCTCTACCGTCGCCTATCCGACAGATCACTACCAGTCAAGCGCACATGTCTTATGACGTTGACGTTCTTGATTCTCGCTGGTCAAGTCAAGGTCAAGGGACAGCTCAGCGAGATGGCCAAGTGTGTCGAGGACAGTGATGACAGAGTACGAGACATGTCACGAATGTTCTTCAGCGAGCTGGCAGGCAAAGACAACGCGGTCTACAACCAATTTGTTGACATGTTCAGCTTGTTGTCTCGCGATGAAGAGCTCGAAGAGGATCAGTTCCGTCGCATCATCAAATTCTTGTCGGGCTTCATCGAAAAGGACAAGCACGCGAAACAGCTTGCAAACAAGTTGGCAGCCAGATTACCGAGAGCAGAAAACGAAAGGCAATGGAACGATGTCGCATATGCGCTCGGTCTGCTTCAACACAAGGACGAGGAGATTACCAAGGTGGTCAACGAGGGGTACACGGTTGTTCAAGCAGCGGCTTGAGGATGACTTGGTCAGATGTGATTTGGCGTTGGTGGAAGATGGTGACTTGTATATTGTTGATACCCATTGAGAATGAGATTGTTTTACTGTTGCACAGCAAAAGTCGGTGATGATGGAGATCAAGTGTTTGTTGATTCCATGCCAAATCGGCAAGAGTCGGTCGGCAGGAGTCGGACATTCGGTGAAGGAATTGACGGGAGCCCGCAGCTTCTGCCCGAGAGCAAGGCTTGGCGCGGTTTAGAGATTCGTCGTAGGTCAAGCAGGAGCTGGAAGCCCAACAGAGAGAGATTGTTATAGCCTCCTCTTGACAGGATCTTTTGTTACTTTCGTTTCCCTGTGTCTCTCATTCCCTACAGTCGCCATGTTCTCCCACATGATCCCTCGCGCATCGCGCCCGCTGCTCCGCTCCGCAAACAACACGTTCCGCGCCTCGCCTTCAACCCTTTACCTTGTCGACAAGGTGCAATCAAGGAGATCATACGCCACCGAGACCGGTACGCTTGGATGACTACGACACATGAGTGAGCTTGGCTGACTCTTTTGCGCAGAGGAGAAGGATTTGGTCATCATTGGTGGCGGTGTTGCCGGTTACGTTGCTGCCATCAAGGCTGGTCAGGAGGGTCTCAAGGTGAGCAGACTCGTACACAGCTTCACGCGAACAACAACTGACAAGATTCCCCGTCCAGGTCGCATGTATCGAGAAGCGTGGCTCCCTCGGCGGTACCTGCTTGAACGTCGGCTGCATTCCCTCAAAGTCTCTTCTCAACAACTCGCACCTCTACCACCAGATCCTTCACGACACCAAGAACCGCGGCATCGAAGTCGGCGATGTCAAGCTCAACCTCAAGCAGATGATGAAGGCCAAGGAGACATCGGTCAACGGTCTGACCAAGGGTATCGAGTTCCTGTTCAAGAAGAACAACGTCGAGTACATCAAGGGTACTGGTGCCTTTGCCGATGAGCACACCGTCCAGGTCAACCTCACCGAGGGTGGTGAGACCAGCGTCCGCGGCAAGAACATCCTGATCGCAACTGGTTCCGAAGCCACTCCTTTCCCCGGTCTTAACATCGACGAGAAGAAGGTCATCACCTCGACTGGCGCCATTGCCCTCGAGACTGTTCCCAAGAAGATGGTTGTCATCGGTGGTGGTATCATTGGTCTTGAGATGGCCTCTGTCTGGTCTCGTCTTGGTGCCGAGGTCACCGTCGTCGAGTTCCTTGGTCAAATCGGTGGTCCCGGTATGGACGCCGAGATCTCAAAGAACATTCAAAAGACTCTTGCCAAGCAGGGCATCAAGTTCAAGCTCAACACAAAGGTCATTGAGGGTGACGACAGCGCTGCCGACGTCAAGATCAAGGTCGAGGCTGCCAAGGGCGGCAAGGAGGAGACTGTGAGTGCTTGAATATTCCCACTTTTACGACAATCTACTAACACAAACCACAGCTCGAGGCAGACGTCGTTCTGGTCGCCATCGGTCGCCGTCCCTACACCGCCGGTCTCGGTCTGGAAAACATTGGCCTCGAGGCTGACAACCGTGGCCGCATTGTCATTGACCAAGAGTACCGCACCAAGATCCCCCACATCCGCGTCATTGGCGACGTAACATTCGGTCCCATGCTCGCCCACAAGGCTGAGGAGGAGGCCGTCGCCGCCATCGAGTACATCACAAAGGGTTACGGTCACGTCAACTACGGCGCCATTCCCTCCGTCATGTACACACACCCCGAAGTCGCCTGGGTCGGTCAGAACGAGGCCGAACTCAAGGAAGCCGGTGTCAAGTACAACGTCGGCTCGTTCCCCTTCTCGGCCAACTCGAGAGCAAAGACCAACGCCGACTCTGACGGTATGGTCAAGTTCCTCGCCGACTCCGAGACCGACCGTATCCTCGGTATCCACATTGTCGGCCCCAACGCCGGTGAGATGATTGCAGAGGGTGTTTTGGCACTCGAGTACGGTGCTTCGTCCGAGGATGTTGCGAGAACTTCGCATGCTCACCCTACCCTCGCCGAAGCATTCAAGGAGGCTGCCATGGCCACTCACGGCAAGGCCATCCACTACTAAGCTTTTGACCATGAAGCTCTGTGTAGCGTTGGTCGGTATCGAAAATCTGGACAAGTGGTGCTGAGCAAAGGGGGCGGGCGTTTTACAGCAGATGCGTCTGTGTTTCTCTTTTTTTTTTCTTGCATGCACACATTCTTGAAAGTCTTAATGGCAAAATCTTTTCATATCCGCGTCTCCCTTCATTTTCTTTGTGTGTATATGACCCGTACTGTACAACAAACAAGGTTATCTTTGTTCAAAAAACTGCATCGCTAGTATTTGTTATCGTCATAATTTCCGCCTCGAAGTGATCATCCGATGCGGATAATTCAGAACATACATTGGCGTATATATCACGAAGAATAACAACCACGAGAATCACGAGGAAAAGGTAAAAGAAATCAGAAGCAGGGGGTAAAAACAGAACTTTCTTTTGAACTCATGACAATTCTTTCTCTTTTTTTTGCCCCTTTGACTTGAAATCTCAGGACTTGGCTAGGACAGGGCGGGGGAGCTGCATAACAAGAGGTAATGTAGATGGAAAGCACTCTTTTTGGGGTAGCTTTTTGAGAGAGAGATAGAGGAAGCAAAAGAAAAAAAACTAGGGAGTGCAACGGCCCATGTAGCGAGGGTAGAGGCAAGTGTCACGGACGGTGTGCTGTTTGCACAACCAAGCGAGGAAGCGCTCGAGACCGAGACCGTAGCCACCGTGGGGGGAAGAACCGTATCTGATGAACGGATGTTAGCAAAATCATGGTCTTTGAGACGAGCAAAAGGGTTGGCGGGGTGGAAAAAAGGAAGAAAGGGGCAAGGAAGAAGAACAAAAAACACATACCTGCGTTGATCAGTGTACCAGTAGTAAGGCTTGGGATCGATGCCCTCGCGCTCATAGGCAGCCATCAACTCATCATAATCATCCATTCTCATACTTCCACCCACAATCTCTCCGACACCGGGCATCAAGCAATCCACAGATTCAGTGACACGCTTATCCTGAGGATCCTTTTGCATGTAGAAAGCCTTGATCTCGACGGGGAAGTGGGTCAAGAAGATGGGCTTGTTGATGATGTCTGTCATTCTGCGCTCTGCGGCCTCTGCAATGTCGTCGCCGAATTTGTGGGGTTGGTCTTCTTCGTTGGGGATGTTGTGTTCGACGAGCCAGTCGATGGCTTCGGCGTACTTCATGCGCATAAAGGGGCGTTGGGGCATTTGGAAGTCAGGGTTGAGGTCTTTGATGATGGCGGCAATCTTAGGGTCGCTCATGGTGACTTCGATGACGCGGCACATGACTTCTTCCAGGTGGACGAGGAGGTCGTCGAAAGTGATAAAGTCGAGTTCGGCTTCGACGTGTGTGTACTCTGAGAGATGGCGGCGGGTGAGGGACTTCTCGGCGCGGAACGACTTTTCGATGCAGTAGACGTCGCCCATGGAGGGGATGACGGTCTCGAGGTAGAGTTGGGAGGATTGGGTGAGGAAGGCGGGTTCGCCGTAGTAGTCGAACTTGAAGAGGGTGGCTCCACCTTCGACCTGGGTCTGGACGAGAGCAGGGGGCGAGACCTTGCGGCAGCGGACCTCCTTGTAGACTTGGTGGAAGGCATACTCGACGGCGTCGCGGACAAACATGACGTTGGAAGCGACTTCACCACGGAGAGTGAGATGGCGGAGGTCGAGAAGAGTCTGCGCGTCACCCTTGGCCTGGACCTTGTTGGTGATGGCCTCGTCACCACCGGGGGCCTTGAAGAGGACCTTGAAGTAGTCGGCGTGGAGTTCACGGTTGTCAGGAGCGTGGGCACCCTCAGGGACCTGTGCGAGTTCACCGACAATCTCCATGCTGCTCTCGCGGGCAAGAGTGATGGCATCGTAGGACTTTGCGAGGTCGCCCTGGAGAATGCACTGCATGAAGCCGTAGCCATCACGGAGGGTGATGAAGACGAGACCCTTCTGCTGGCGGTAGCGGTGAACGCGACCAAAGACGCGGACGCGAGTGCCCTTCTCGACACCGTTGCCACGGAGCTGGACAGCCTTGTTGTCGAGCTTCATCTTCTTTGCCTCGGGAAGAGAGGTGTCCTCCTTGATGACAATCTTCTTGGCCTCGTCGAGCACCTTCTGGCGGTCCTCTTCCTCCTTTTGCTGGCGGATGACGAGGTCCTTTTCCTTTGCGGCCTTCTTCTTCTGGGCGTCGGCGTAGTTGGCGGCCTTCTTCAGGGCGGCCTTTGCGGCGGGCTTCCATTCGGGGTCCTCTGCGCTCTTGCGGACTTGGTACTGGGCGGCATCGCCGTGCTGGAGGAAAGCGTGCTGGACGGACTTGTAGGGAGCTTGTTCGGTGCCTGAGGCAGACTCGGCGTCAATGCCCTTCTCCTCGTCAATGTATATGGAAGGTTTGTCGGCCATGTTGGCGGTTGCGACTGGCAGTCGATGTGTGTGGTGTGGGAGGTCAAGTGTGCAGCGCAAACAAGTGAAGCAGGCGGCGCGCGCGCACTAAATCAACAGCGAGGGGAAAAGAGTCACACTGCTTATCGCCCTGACTCAGTACTCAGCTGATAGCGGAGGTGCTTGACTCGGGGCTCGATAGCATGCGGAGACGGTCGCGACTCGCGAGTCGAGGGCAGCTGCCAGCCGGTGACAGCAAGCCGCGACAAAGCGTGCTCGACACTCGACACTCGACCATACACGAACTCGCTCGACATTCTTCCAGACAAAACCATAGGATAAACGACGCATGACGCGTGGTTCATGAAGGAATAACCACACTACACGCGATGCGACAATCATCGAAACAAAATCCCATCTGAGTCCGACCCCGGAGTAACGAGCCCCAAGACGGCGACCGACGATGGATCTCTCTGTCCAAAAGGCCCTGGCCGACAAGCTCTACGACCGCCGCAAAGCTGGTGCGCTGGAGCTGGAAGCCATCATACGAACCTCTCTGGCTGCCAACGATCACGTCCGCATCGAAAAGGTCGTTCACCAACTCTGTCACGACTACGCATACGCCGTACACCAACCGCATGCCCGCAATGGTGGTCTCATTGGTCTGGCCGCTGCTGCCATCGCTCTGGGTATCGATGTTGCCCGCTACCTTCGCGACATAGTGCCGCCTGTACTGGCTTGTTTCTCCGACCAGGATGCAAGAGTCCGCTATTATGCCTGCGAGAGCATGTACAACATCGCAAAGGTCGCAAAGGGCGAGATCCTGATCTACTTCAACGACGTCTTTGACGCTCTCTGCAAACTGGCTGCCGATACCGAACTGTCGGTCAAGAACGGTGCCGAGCTGCTCGACCGTCTGGTCAAGGACATTGTCGCAGAGTCGGCCGCTTCCTACGTCTCCATCTTGGACAACGACGCCGACCCCAACAACGACGATCCCTTTGCCGAACAAGCCACCGCTTTCTCTCTTGCAAGGTTTATCCCACTGCTCCGCGAACGCATCTTTGTCATCAATCCCTTTACTCGTACCTTCCTTGTCAGCTGGATCACCCTTCTAGACTCAATACCCGACTTGGAGCTGGTCGTCTTCTTGCCAGACTTCCTTGGTGGCCTGCTACGCTTCCTCTCCGACCCGAATGTGGACGTTCACACTACAACGAAAGTCTGTCTGGACCGTTTCCTGGTAGAGATCAAGAAGATATCTGCAATCAAGAGGGGCATCGCCGAAAGCAAGAGAAGTCTCATTGCCGAAAGTCAGCCGAGGAACTCAATTTCTAGCAGAGATGGACTAGCTGTTGCAGATCAAGACGTAGATGCACAAGCCGACAACTCCAACACGAACCATGACGACGACAAGGCAAGCTCCGATTCGGCTTCATTCGTCAGCTCAAACGTGGATGAGAAGAATGACAATGACGCTGGCGACGAGTGGATCCCAGGACAAGATGTGCAGATCGATTATGCAAAGATCCTTGATATCCTCATCCAATTCCTCAACGACACGGCTGAAGAGGAGATACAGCTGACCACTCTTCGCTGGATCGAAGGTTTCTTTGACCTGTGCGCAGAAGACATGCTACCCTTTGTTCCTCGTCTACTTTCACAAGTCTTGCCAGCCCTATCGCATGGTGTACCTACTGTCCGCGCAGCTGCCAACAGAGTCAACACTGCCCTCATGGGTCATATTATGTCATTGCCTGAAGATGGCCAACAACAGCAAGCACAACCAAAGACACCAATAGAACCCACAAGAAGAGACTCAATACCCATCCGCCAACGAAAGGCAAACAGTCCAGACATGGTGGCCGAGTCTGCCACTGCGGAATTCCATGCCACAACCATTCCTCCGACCCCACAACCTTCACCGCCAGTCTCGACCGAGCTAGATTATGAAGCTGCCGTCAATTCTCTGACGCTACAATTCCTCAACGAGCATGAGGCGACTCGAGTAGCTGCTCTAGCCTGGCTAATTATGCTTCATCGCAAGTCACCTCGTAAGACTTTGGCCATTCACGATGGAACTTTCCCCGCTCTGCTCAAAACCTTGTCAGATCCTGCAGATGCTGTAGTCACTCGTGATCTGACATTGCTCTCGCAAATATCCAAAAACAGCGACGATTCTTACTTCACCTCCTTCATGGTCAATCTCCTGAAACTCTTCTGCACAGACAGAAAGTTGCTTGAGAATAGAGGAAACCTCATCATCCGCCAACTGTGTTTGAACCTCAGTGCCGAGCGCATCTACCGCACGCTAGCAGACTGTCTTGAAAAAGACGAGGATGTCGAGTTTGCGAGTATCATGGTTCAGAATCTTAACAACAATCTCATCACGGCACCTGAATTGGCCGATCTCAGGAAACGTCTACGCAACCTCGAAAACAGAGATGGTCAGACTTTCTTCGTCACCTTGTTCAGAGCGTGGTGTCATAATGCCGTGGCTACCTTCTCGTTGTGTCTGCTTGCTCAAGCATATGAACAAGCCTACAACCTACTGCAAATCATTGCAGAACTGGAAATGACTGTCAACATGCTGATTCAGATTGATAAACTGGTCCAGTTGCTCGAGTCTCCTGTCTTTACCTACCTCCGCCTTCAACTGCTTGAGCCAGAGCGTTTCCCTCATCTTTACAAGTGTCTTTATGGTCTTTTGATGCTTCTGCCACAGTCTTCGGCTTTTGCAGCTCTCAAGAATCGACTGAATAGTGTCAGTGCGATTGGCTATCTGCACATTGCCCCAAGAACGTGAGTTTTGCTTCCTCCATTTGTCTTGCTCTGATTACCGATGCTAACATAGACTCCATAGGGCACCAACTACACCATCAGTCTCAACCTTTGACCGGCCCAACCGTCTCAAATCCCGCGAAGACCCTGGTATAAAATGGTCAGATCTCCTCGAGAAGTTCAAATTCGTGCAGGAAAAAGCACGACGAGCGCAACAACGACCATTGCGACTAACCTCTCTTCCCAACGGCCTTACACTCCCTGACATGGATGACGAACTCGAATCCCCCACACTGAATAAAGAGACTTCGGCGCCGACAAAGGATAAACCGACGGGGAGGCTCTCAGGATTGGGGAGACCGGGGTCAGCGGCTAGTATTACGAGGCCGGCTGCTACACCTACGCAAGGACAGCAGGGGCATCAGAAGAGTAGGAGTAGTTTGAGTCAGTTGGGGAGGTTTACGAGGAGTACGGCTGCTAAAGCTACGGGCGGGGGATTGAAGAAGTAGTGATGATGAGGAAGAGGAGAAGAAGAAGAAGTGATGAGCAGAGAATTAGTTGTAATGGAAATTTCGGAAACAGTCCTTTT